ACCTACCTAGGTAGACATGCAGTGCGGGAACCCCCTGTGCCTCCTCCGTGTCTCCAAAGAAGCTGGCCCACCATCTCATCTAAGCGCGCCAAGGGCCTCCAGAAGTATGACGCCTCGGAGGACCGCTGAAAGCCGAATCATTCGGATTGCATGGTATCACGATCCGGGGCATTCCGGCTCGGGTGCGAAGGCATCCCCGGTACGGAGCAGAGCATACGAGCACCTGAACCGAACCGCGAGCTGGGCTACTCTGGCTACTCTCCCTCCATTGAACAGCTAGGTAATGGGTAAGAGGATTAGGGTTTCAGATTAGGATTTCACTCCAGTCGCTACTTGCATCGACAATCCGGCGCAATCAATCGCCTCGAAATAGTGAAAGTTCTTGGACACTGGTTTGGCTTTGTGCATATGAACATTCGTAGGGAACACCTCGTTGAAGAATACGCGAGGCCGCGGGGTCACGAAACGTCTGCTCGGAAATCAAAGCATGATGCGAACAGAGGATTCCCGTGGCAAGCTCCGCGAATGATTGGCGGATGACAACGTCGGGCTCATGGCCTGGTGACCTTTCCAGTTGCAAGCATGCAAATCCACACCCATGGGAAAAGGCGGAAAAGGCGGAAAAGGGCGTTGTGTTTTCCGTACGGAGCACCTTCCGAAGACCTTGGGCCTCGTACCTAGATACCGAGTAGTAGTAGTAGTGATGATTCTTTGCTGGTGACCAGAAGCGAAGACTAAGATGAAACGACCAACTCGGAGAATTCGGATGCCGCCTGCGTCTCGCGGGCAGATTCCGGGTCTGCTTGATTTCCATCCGTAATCTGTGAACCTTCTCGGACTCCATTCCTGACTCGGTAAAGGGCCAGAGCATTCAAGTGATGGTAGCTCTCCAAGTTGGGGAGGGCTGGAAAAAGAGATGCGCGCGACACAACAGGTACCACTACCGATAGGATCAAGGACGGGCGCATACGAGGAGACCTGATCGACAAGCCACCGTGCCTGAATCCCAGACTCTCTGACATCAAAAGAATGACTCGCTGATGGACGGTGGAGGCTGGGAGGGGGCGACGTCAATCCCAGATTTCAGGTAAAGAAAGACCTCACCCCTGAACAACAGAGGGCTGAGAGGCCCACAGGCGGCAGGACTTGACAGAAATGGTCAAAAAGGATTCTGGCTCATGGAACCTTCAGAAAGGCTCGAACTCGGGAGTATGATGGAGAATGAGATCACCAGGTCCCACCTCGGAAACAAGAATGACATGGCCGCGATGAAAGAGCCGTGGAGTACGAAGGAGGCTACAATGACAGGCAGGTTTCGACCCGGGTTGCACAGTTTTGTGAAGCGACAGCAGTAGGGTGTAGTATGGAGTAGCTTGCAAATGGTCGACGTCTGGTCGACGAGGATCGACACGAAAAGAAGCATCCGCAGCATCAAGAAGAGATGAGTGACGCGCAGTAGGTACCCAGGTACCCATGAGGAGCAGGCAAATAGAGGGGTGGGAAACTTATACGAAAGCATACATATTTTTGTTACACACGTCGTTCGAGTATAGGCTATCCATCAAGCCGGCAGATCATTGCCGTGAGATACATGGGCCTGACATCGACTGCTCCTGACTCGAACCTCTATTACGAGTACTACGGATATGGTCACTTCTACCTAACAGGTAAAGCTGGATTTAGCCGGGCGAGGACCTGAGGACCTAAGGGGAGACCCGGGAGAGTCCCACAGGGGATCCATTGCTTTGTTTTTGAGAAATTTTTCTTCTCTCTTTCTTTACCAGCCATGTACCTAGTACCTCGGCGCGCGGGTCAGGCGAGATAATTTCGTTATTTGATCAACTGCCCCAACCGCCCATTCGGCCCATCTCCGAGACCCATGTATCAATCACTCTGGGATTCCAGAATCCCGGTAACCGTTCTTTCCCCGACTGTTGGCTTTGGGTGGTATTGAATCATGGCTGGAATCTCTTGGTCGGTAGTAGCGAGTTGGAAGAGGTCAAGAGTAGCTTTTTCGAACAATCGTGTAAGAATGACTGCGGTAGGCCCAAGCGCGGTTCACTTGGACTGGTAGAGGAGGTTATTGCAGGTGACCAGCTGGCCAGATGAACTACCCAGGCCCAGGCCTTGGAGAGTAGTGGGCCACCAGGAGCCCCAAGAAATCATGGGTCTGACACATGAAGAGGAAGTCACTTGACATGGACGAGTTTGGCGACAGGGATGAAAGGAAATCCTTTTCAGCGCGGCCAGAGACAAGTCTGGTGACGAGGAATTACGAATAGTCGTTGTAGCAGTGAGCTGTCAGGTGGTGCATACCTACTAGGTACCTACTAATAATGTATTTGGTACTAGGTAGGTAGGTAGGTACATGGCATGGAGGTATCCTGAAAGAGTGATTGCTCGTAAGTACCTACGAGGTACACAGGTGCTCCGTAGGTATCTACAAGAAGGGCAACGCAAATACATGTGCACAAATAAACCACGGCACAAGCAGTTATTATTAACATCAAATCACCATAACCATCGTGATATCGAAGGTCGTGTTGCAGTAACCAATGGTGCTTCCTTCCTGCTGGGCGGACCTGACTTCCACACGCCATCCCACCAACCACGTCCCTTGTGCCTCGCGAAGCGTAGCTGCATGGCAGCTGTTGGCACTTTTCCCTTCAATCCCTTGTCGTGTCCCTCCCTTTGGGATGTTGTTGCGAGCGATTTCATCATCATGGCCAGAGGTTCGAGACCCAACCTGAGCCTGAACTCTCCCAGGCACCTGGCACCTGGCACCGGGCACCTGACATCTGGGAGCTTGCAACGTTCCATTCCCTTTCGCCTCCAATTTGCTATCCCTTGGGGAAGCTATAGCCTCCAACCAACCCTTGCTGAGGTCGGTTGAGCCGGTCTGGGCTGGACTGACATTCCGAGTTCAAGTTGGCGTCTTGTTTGCCAAAACCTTGTTCTTCCGAGTTTCGCAAAGAGCTGCTCGAACAATCGTATTTCCCCCATCGCGCGAAAGTAGTAGGCGTCTTCATAAGCGGCCAGGTGTGGGCTGCGCGCGGGCTGTGACCTCCGACGCCTCCCTGAGTGCTGAGACCTTGGACCTAGCACCTTGGAAGCTAACAATCCCGATTTCATTCGGTGCCATTGCTCTGGGTTGGGCCCCCTCCCCCCCTCACACCCCCCCGCTCCTGGTGCCCCCCTGTGCTCCTTGGGATTTTTCGGGCACCAACACTAGACGGGCTGGACGGGTGGGAAAGGGGACCAGGGGGGGGCCTTCTCGCCTTCTAACCTTCTAACCTGGCTAAAGTTGCTAGGCTACGAGGCTGCTAGGCTCCTCAAGCTGCTAACTCCGAGTCTCCCCTGGTCGCTCTTGCAGGTGCTCGTAGGGTGTTAGGCTCATTTTTTTAAAGGTGCTTTGCCCTTGGGACCCCCCGGCGGCTCCTGAACCTTGACCAAGCTTTGCTTTTCTCGACTGTCAAACGCCCTTCCACCCATCGCTTTTGCCTCACTGAACACCCCATCCCGCCCTTCGACCCGCAACTGAACCCTTCTGCCAGTTCTGGTCGAGCTTCGACTTGTTCCAATCCTTCTCCCAAACGACGACGACTACTCGACTCCACCCATGTCAGTCTTGTCACTTCTTGTCCACCATCTCCCTCAACCTTAGCTCCAACCCGCGGCACCGATCGACGGGCAGGGCTTCGACCACACAGACACGCTACCACGGCCGGACAAAGAGTAGCTTCTTTCCTATGCCATCTCTGCCACCTCTGCCACCTCTGCCACCTTGAGCAGCCAAGTTATCTCGACCGCCTGCTGCCGCCGCTTCCTACCCACCTCCCACCACGCCCCCCATCATCCATCACCACACTACTTTTAGTCCCTCCTTCAGGCTTCAGTCCCTTCTTTCCAGTGTGATCGACGCTTTTTCCCGAAAAAAACCATTCCCTCGATTGTTTGCTTCATTCTCCAAAACCGCCGCTCTGCCCAGCTTTGAAAATCCCCAGCATTTGTCCGATCAGCCTCGCTCGAATGTTGATCACCTTTGGAACACCCAGCTTTGTGTAGCTCTTGGGCATCCATTTCGCCCTCGAGAAAGCTCTCGCCTCGGTTGCTTCCCCGCTACAACACCCCCAAAGCACGGGTCAAAGAAACGTCTTGGAGACGACTTTTGTTTGGGTTTTTTCCGGGTCGGTCGACAATCTGTCAAACATCCACAGGTCGAAATCAGCTCGAGATTCTTGTCATTGCTGCCCAAAGGGAAGAGGGGAAAAAGAAAGCTCGGTTTGGCGCTTGACGGTTTTCGCGACGGCGACATCCACTTCCCATTTCGAAATCAACGATAGCGCTCTCCAACTCGTCCGCGACACCCATCTCGTTTCGCGACATCGCTACCCAATTCTGGACCGTGCAAACTCGAAAAAGGCTTGCCTTGCGCAATTCTGCCAGTGTATATCTGATCTCGAGTTTTCTTTTCCCAGACATCAGTCCACAACTGTGGGATTTGTTTGGAATCTGGGAGGGCTATTGTGTTTGCTTTGTTGATTACGAATCCACCACCACCAACCATCTCTCTCCGACCCATCTACGTCCGGATTGCGATTCAGTCCGCCTAGGCATTAATTCTCTGGTTGCGCTGCGCCCCTGCGGGTTCGTTATAGTCAAAGGAAAGACTTGCTGCGCAAGTAGCAAACCCGCCCCGCAGACGTACAGTGTTTTGGTCTCCCATTTTTCCCACCAACCAACCCTTCCTGTGCCAACTGGAACTCAGGTAACCGAACCTGCACAAGGAGAGCTCGGACGTGCGACGACAGGAAGTTTTATGCAGCCTGGCGAATGCGTCGTATAACGATTTGCCATGAGCTTGTCCTGTTGATCGCGTGTTCCGCTCTTGTCTCTGCATAAGGTCATGCCGCATTTGCTGTACCACGTTCCCTTGGGTATAGAGACGTGGGAGGTACGGGCCTGTTGGTTGCTGCCAGGAATAGGATCCCAGGTTGAAAATGGATGAAGTTGGTGACGTGGATATCAAACACGAGAGACCCCATCCCTACGGCCAACCACCTCCAAATCCTATCCACCGTATGCCGCCAGCCGAGACCCCTACGTCGTACAATTATCCTCCTCCGCCAGGCGCAGGTATGCCACCACCGGCGCCGGCGTGGAACCCGACGCCTTCGCCATACAATGACTCCGCGGAGCACCGCCCTCCACCTCCAGACATCCCTCATCAATCGCCATATCCTCCACATCCTCAGTCATATCCTCCCACTCATCCCCCGCCAGGGAGAGAACCCCCAGGTTACCCTCCTCCGGATCCAGGTTACGGCCGCCCAGGCAGTGTATCGGGCCCTTCAAGATCCCCAGCCGATGTTCAACAACCACCGCCACAACCTCCCCCATATCACCCTGTGAGTAGCAATCCCCACGAAGCTCCCTACTATCCTCCCCCGACCGACTACAGGCCGCGTCATGCCTACCAAGGGCCTGAGCCCCAGCTCAACGGAACTCACCAGCAGCCTCCTCTTCACGTTGTGACGGGGCATGAGATGATGCCAGGACAGCCTCCGGGCCCACCGGCTTATGGCCCGCCTTCAGCAGGTCCCATCCCAACCCCCGGGCCGTACGCATACCCTTATCCCTATCATGGTGAGCACAGACGAAAACCAGTGCGAGCCGCCCAGGCATGTGATTCGTGCCGTCAACGAAAGGCGAAGTGCGACGAAGGAAGACCCGAGTGTCAACATTGTAAAGACAACGGGCTGAAATGCTCATATCGAGAAATCCCTCCGCAAAAGTCGGAGAAACAAGTCCTGGCCATTACCGCTCAATTGGACTCGCTGGCCGAGGACGTCAAGGCATTGGCCCAGAAGGCCCTGGAACGCCAAGAGCGGGACGAGAAGATGGATCACTTCCTCAAGCAACAAGACGACAAGATCAACCTGTTGCTGGAACATCTTACGAAGCCCCGGGCAGAACCACTTCGAGCGACGACCGACGTGCAAATGGCAGACCAGCAAAGTCATGGGGTAGCTACAACACCTGCAGTTCGAAGCCCTGCAGTCCCGAGCCCTGCGAACCCCAGTCCTGCTCAACCTCCACCTCCACTGTTCCGCCGACAGGACAGTACCTCCGAAGCCAGGTCCGGTTCACAGTCCCAGAATCCCTCGGCAGCATCCATCCAGCACATGCGGAATTCAGAGACCGAGAGCATCGATACGCCTATGCCCGCCAAGCATACTACGGCTGCGCAGAATCTCGTCCTTTGGCCGTCTATCAAGGCTTTGATTCCGAAGGGCATTACGCCATCTTATGTGATGGATGAAGAAACCAGCCGAGGCCTATTGCGACTTTATGGTTGTGGGGAAGGAGAGGACAAAAACGATGGCCATGAAGGCGCTCCGAGCCCAGCCCACAGCAACTCATCGGAAGGCCGGCGCACGGATGATGACACGTCCTCTTACTCACCGCACGGAGTTTGGGGCAGTGGGCAGTTGCACGTGCCCATGGCGAATCAAAGCCAGTCCGCGCGTGAACATCCCGGTGGCTTGAGTCCCAGTGGTGGGTTGATGTTGGAAGCGGAAGCAGTCGATCGATACTTCCGGAGTTTTATGGACAACATGCATATCCACCACCCATTTCTCGAGCCGAAAGTACTCCGGGTCATGATCCACAAATTCAAGAAAAAGTACAGCTGGGACGTTCGGGCCAGGGAGCAGGTCACGGCGATTGGGAACAAGCGGAAGCGGGAGACGACAGACTCGCCGACCTCTATGGACGATTACAACAATCCCCCCTTTCAGCCCAGGGGATATCATAATACCGTGGCTCCAATCGAGCATTCAGTCGCAAATGCTATTGTCTTGCTTGTACTCGCGCTGGGTAAGATCACCTCTCATCGTGATCCTTTGCCGGGCCCTGCGTCAACCGCTACGATGAGGACTTCCACGCCACATAGCGCACTGTACTCGGATTTTCCGATGCCCATGTCAACGCCTACCTCTCCATATAACCATCACCCCAACCTGAACGGGACGGTTTCGAGTCCGGCGAATCCGCAGGGCAAGAACATGGACGTGATTCCGGGTCTTGCTTACTTTGCTATAGCTGCAGACATCCTCGGAGAGCTACCGGGTGGCGCCGATGTGTCCCACATTCAAGCCTATCTGCTTGCAGGTCTGTATATGGGACAACTAGCACGAATTTTGCCAAGCTACTTTTACATCAACAAGGCATGCGTTGCAGCTCAAATCCTGATCGAGTCGACTCCCTATGTTACAAACACCATGAAACCCGCCCGTCGGAATTTGGTCAACTTTGCATTCTGGTCATGCTTGCAATTGGAGAGCGACATTGCAGCCGAGTTGGAATTGCCCCTCAGCGGGATTGGTCGCTATGAGAGTCCTCAGCACAAAGAGTTCCCGACGAGCCTGACGTTGGATAGGATCCCTGAGTCCAGTGTGGACGACGACATACTGAGGTTTTACTCCTACCAAATCCAACTGCGGACCACGATGAACAGTGTCCATGCCACGCTGTATCGGGAATCGAAGAATCTGCAGGCAAGGCCAAGCGACAGCATCATGTCGGCTTTGGACGACAACCTGGAAAATTGGAGGAAGATGCTGAATGAATGGGATTGGGACGACAATGACCACGAAAGTCCCAACATCAACGTAGCCCGGATGCGAGGGAAATATTATGGTGCCAAATACATCATCTGGCGACCAACCCTGCGATATGCCTTGTTACAGGCCACTGCCAACCCCAATGCCACTCCGACTCCCAAGCTCGCCAGAAGTCGGCCGTCAGAATCGCCTGCAGGCTATGGGCACCATTCCGAGGTGACTTCACCAGCCGTATCGAGTCTCAATACTCCCCATCCATATGGGAGAGACGTTCCTTACATCCAGCCTGAGTTGCTTGAAGGCTCCCGGAAGTGTATTGAGGCCGCAATTCGCAGCACTACTTCTTTTGATAAAGTCGCTCGCCGTCTTGTTGTCACCAACATCTTCGGCACGGCTCACGCGTAAGTACAAAACGTGTCTGTGATTGGTAAGGATATCCCTGACTAACATGGAATTGCAGACAATTCGGGAATATGCTTGTGCTCTACGCGACCTTCACCTCGCCTCACCCAGGCCTAAGCTCGTTGGTGCAGGAGGACGTATTACGGCGATTGCACGATCGCACCGTGCAGATTCTGCGAGAGAACGAGGCAATTTCACCGGTGCTGGCCAAAGATCTGAAGATCTTGGAACACGTGCGCATGAAGGTGTTCCCGCCGTCGACATATCCTTCGGCAAGCACGGCTTCCAGCTTCTCCTCGAACCGATGATGCCCAACAAGTCGGATCAAACTTATGCGAATCCGACCAGATTTTAATTTTCTTTTGTACACCAAGACCTCGGGAGCGTGGATGGACGCCGTATCGGAATTTGTTGCATGTGTTGCGGTATATATGTGTGTTATGTGGGCAGGTCCTCCATTTCCCTGAAATCCCTCGGCGGCATTTGTTAGCGTTCCAGCGAAGAAGACCATCGTCAGCATCGTCGAGTAATTGTGTCAAGTTATCCACCAAAGAGTCATCCTCGTCATTAACCACGGAGTTTACGATTAACGGCCGCAGGGGGGCTTTTGTGAGTTGTTTGATTGCTAGTTGCGCAAGTACCACAGTGCGCCACACGTGAAGAGGACGATGAGGAGGGTTCAAATATTTATCATTATCAACAAGAGGAAACGATAGGCCCACAGCAAGGGCCCATCAAGGGGAATCGTTGCAAGTCCAGGTATTCGCAAGCCCCCGCCATATCTTCCCGTGTTACTGGTGTCCAGCAGTCTTTGTTGAAGGATACCATATATGTTTTCATTCTTCTTTTCGGTGGGTGAGGAGGAGAGGGAGCCAGTTGAAGATTGGCAGCAGAGTGGACCTCAACTGCGAGGGAAAGAAACTTGGAAAGCAGATGGCAGAGAGACAGTTTTTCATCTTGTGGGTTGGGAGAAGGAAGGACAAGGCTACGGACAAGGTTAATCTGTACATTATCATCCAACAAGTCGTACAAAGGACACAGAGAGCGGCCTTCAGGGGGGACTCTGCTGTTACAATACCTTTTAACAAAATGCCTACCCTTCGGCCTTGGCTCTTGATCTTGACCGGCCTTTTGAGCAGACCACTGTGCAGCGGCCTACATGTTCCGTTACCTACAAACAGAGGATGTACACTGGGGGCAACAAGCAACGGGCTTGTACAGCCTTGTTCAGCATCGTGGACCTCCAACAGCGAACCGAAGACGCTATGACGCTTGCCTAGGCGTGCCCAGTCAGTCAATCATTTTTGGCCGACTCGCTTGTCCTGCTTCACTGCCCAACTCATTACGAGTCGCTATTACTATGCGCGGTCTGAGCGTGTGTGTGTCTCCCACTATACCGAGGAAGTACGTGCAGGGATTCGTCCAGTCTGTTTTGCCTATACGTTACACTGATTGGGTGATAGTCATCCAGTCGATATCCGTGGCTTAGCTTAGCTTAACCTACTACCGAGTACTGTGGTGCTAGGTCTGTTCAGTTCAGTTCAGGTCGACTGGTTGGGCGGGTTCTACTCTACCTGTATGCCTACGAATGCTTCTGTGGCGGTGCGTTTCGATCCTCCGAATCATCTCCCCGAGCTACATTCGTATTTTCCACTCTTACTCGCAGGGTATTGATTAGTTGGATGAAAGGTCAACCTGGCTTGGCTTGGCTTGGCTGCGATGATCCTGTCCCTATCGTATACAACCCAGCCCACAACACATACGACGCGCCACAACGACGAGACAATGCCTGCTCGGAAACGCAGGTACCCGACTAAGTGGGCGGGGAGATCGTCGAGTGGCAAGTAGTAGATCCTGATGATGAGCGCTCGCCAGGCACAAAGGATAATAATATATGCTGAGTATGCGAACTGAGCTCACGATGCTTAGTTCGTCGACTACATTCTAGCCACACAACTAGACCGAGAAGGAGAATCGTCGAGAAGAACAAGACACCGCAAAGGATGTTGGAGTTGTTTTCATTAAGCCTCTTGAATACGGAAAGCCAGTTGTTGTCCTGTAGCGATTGCTGAACGTGCTCGAGGCTTGAAAAAGGGTGGGACAAGGCTACGTACGATCAAATCGAGACTCAGCAAGACAGATGGATACTCCGGTAAAGGCGAGGGTCGGTTGAAGCAGCTGGAAGATTGAGTCACGTCAGCATACTCCGTACAGTCCCAGCAAGAAGGCTTCTCAGGACGAATCCTGGGCCAGGAACTTCAATAATTGGATGGTGATGTTGTTGTACCTAGATGGGTCAAGAGGGAAGAAAAGTCTATGCAGGGGAGATCTGTGGTGGTGCGATCTGATTGGTCGAGCCAGCGTCATGGCTTGAGCTGCGTGCCCTACGCGATTCCTAGGAGCGGGAAGCACCACCCCGGGTATATCAGAGGCCTTGGTAGGAACCTCTCTAGGTAGGGACTCGCCGCCTAGCGAGATAGATATTAGGCCTTAGTTGCCAGGCGTCCATGGAAGACCTCGCACTCCACAACCCTCGCATTTGTTGATAGGCCCATATGTTGGGGTCCAGGTACTGCCCACCTGGCGTCGGGTACCCTTGCAGTTGCTCAACCAACAATGCCTCATGAGGAGCATTACCTCGTACCGAGCAGAAAAAAGCGGGATGGGCAGGTTTCGGAGATGCAGACCCGGGCGTCACTGTGGCTGGGGAGTTCGCGGAGTTCTCGGGTGGCCGCATATCACCCCTTAGGTCCCTAGTAGGCGCCTGCGCCTGCGGAAACAGAGGTGCCCGAGGGTGGGTGGAGGGGGGCTTGGCCAGGCAAACGATGCAGGCAACACGTCACAGGTCTCACTCGTCAGGCTTAAAACCATCCACTCACTGGCTGCGGCGTGGTGTCAAAAGTTGCCCCTCGCAAACAAGATTGCCTTGCTACCTTGCTAACTACCTTGGTAGAACCGCTGCCGAACAAACTAGGCGCTGGACTTTGGACAAAGTAGTACCGTCGACTCATTCATTCTTCAGCTCCCTGTCCTTCACGTCCCCATCGCCTCTTTCAATTTCTCTTCTCTTCACAGCATCTCTTTTCAGTCTCGAAGATGGATCAGAACAATCTCAAGCGCAAGGACACCACAAAGGGCCCGCCGCTGCGCATTCTCTCGCTAGGTATGGAGAGACATTTGTCACATCCACGCCCTGGTTATTCGTGCCCAACATACTGACGAAAGCAGATGGCGGCGGCGTTCGCGGGTTTTCGATGCTTATCATCCTCCAAGAACTTATGCACAGAGTCTATGTCGAGACCGAAGGGGAACCACCAGATCGGCATTCTGGCACCCCCAAGCCTTGTGACTATTTCGACCTCATTGGCGGCACTGGGACGGGAGGATTGATTGCGATTATGCTGGGCCGCCTCCGCATGGACCTAGAAACTTGCAAGGCCGTCTACGTGAGGATGACAAGAAAGGTCTTTGAGACAGACAAGACGTTTGCCGGAATTCCATACAAGAACACTTTATTCAAAGCCTCCAAACTTGAAGAGGCGATCAAGTTATGTGTCCAAGAGCACACACTCTTCGAGGATGAGGGGAACGATGGCACAGCTTCTGGAGGACGCGAGTTCCAAGACTTGACGAGCCCCGTCAGTACCAACAGTACTGCAGTCAGGAGGTCGATGAGCGTCAGAAGTTCCAACTCCGTCAACAGTCCTGCGACTCCGATCCGCACCTCTATTATCTCTCCCTCGTTCCCAGCCTGGGGCAATGCCAATGCTACCCTCTACGACAGTCGTCCTAACCGAACCAAGACGTGAGTGGCCTGCCCCTTCCTCTTCCCCAAAGGAGCCATACCATTGCAGGCATGACTGACTGGGAACAGCGCTGTCACCGCAGTTTATCAAGGCACAAATCCTCGAACAGGTTCCTCGATCCTCTTACGAAGCTACGATAGTCGTAAAGAGCCGCCTCCTGAGTTCAACTGTAAGATCTGGGAAGCCGGGAGGGCCACGTCCGCCGTGGGCCTGGCGTTCAAACCTGTTCAAATCGGCCAGGACGTATTTATCGACGAGGGCGCAGGCAAATTCAATCCAGCACCACAGCTACTCGAAGAGGCCGCGGTCAACGAGTGGCCAGGGAGAGAAATAGGAGCTTTTGTCAGCATTGGGACAGGAAAAAGGCCCGAAGGTACCAATAACCGGCAACACGAATGGTGGGAAGATTTCGTCGGCGGCAGCATGGGCGCCTTTGCGGAAGCAAGACGCCGACTCATAGCCAAAATCGAAGGCTGTGAGGAAATCCACCAGCAAATGCTCAGGACAGAATTACCGAAGCGAGGCGTTCCAGTCGAAAATTACTGCCGGCTTAACGTCTCGGTCGGTCTCGGAGAATTTGCCATGAACGAATGGCAGCATTTGTCGCAGATGACGGTCAACACCAGGAACTATCTAAGTGAACCTGCAACTCAAAAGGCACTGATGGATATGGCAACGAAGCTGGCCAAAATCGAATTGATGAAGAGGAGATATCAGCATCAGTCGGAAGCATTCGCTCGGGAGTCGAGCTGGTCGTTGAGACAGAGTAATATCCCTCCAATGCCGTCTCATCCCTCAGCCGTCGAGTTACCGGTGGACGAAGAGCCATACCCGACAACTCCTCCTCAGCATTACCGCATCCCAGGAAATCCCCCCTATCCTGATCAGTTTGCTTCCTCGCAAGACAAATTCGTATTGGCTCCGGGAGAATCACCTTCGCCGCGCTTGTCGGGTGATTTGCCGTATCGAGGTAGGGATGACAAGATAGTCGTACCTCAGCCGCCGCATCCGACCTCAACATACAATCAGTCACAAGTACCACCCCCGAGACCTCCAAAGACACCAATCAACGATCACGTCTATCCCAATTATCCTCCACAACGAATTTCGCCTGTGAGGCCCAATGGGGCTCCTCGTCCTCCATATCCCGACGACGACGAGCCTCCGCCACAATTCAATCGGTACAAGAAGCCAGAATATATCCCCAGGTAGTCAGGAAAGGAGGAAGCTTGATGATTTCACAATACATGCCATGCGCATGCGCGTCTTCCAGGGCCGGAGGATTGGATAGCCGCTATGATTGTACGATTCTGGACATTTTTTTGCTTCTCAACGTAGATACCCAAATGAGCATATGATGGATTGGTATAACAGCACAAAGCTATTGGTCGAAAGCCGGTAGGCCATCAGGATTTTCAAGATATGGGTTTCGGGTTCCCAGGTCGATGTATCGAAATGACGAGAAATTGCACATTGCAGTTGTAGGTCTCGCCGTATAAATTTGGTGGGGCAAAAGCACTTTAACCGCTTCAGCAACTTGCCCTTCAAGTTCGTGCCTTTCCAGTCTTGTTGGCTGTATGCCTGGTTTGTTTGCCTGTACCATCGACATGCCGTAAAGTTCTTCTTCACTCGGACACAGTACAACAATGTAACAATGCCGGCGGCAACTTCACAGCCGCCGGTCAAGCTTTCGCTTCCTCTGGTACGTTGAAGTTGGTGTTTAATGCCTTGGGTGTATTGGCCACACGGCACTATCGACTTTATCATCCATTGGGCAGTTGCTAATGTCTCCTACAGCAATTTCAGCAGGAGATCTATCAGCTCCTTCGCACCGAAGACGTTCTTGTCATCCTGGCCCGCGGGTTGGGTCTTCTGAAGATTGTCACGAACCTCCTGCATTCATACGATGCGGCGGGTAACTCCCTCGTGATAGTTGTCGGGGCAGAGGATCGTGAAAATGAATGGATCGGCGAAGCACTGGCCGAACACTATGCCGTGTCTCGCAGTCCCCTGGCCAAAGGTCTTCGTGTAATCAACACGGACAAAGCCACCGTGGCAGCGAGGGAGAAGATCTACGCCGATGGAGGGATTGTGTCTGTCACAAGTCGCATCCTCGTCGTGGATCTTCTTTCCAAGTTGTTGGATCCAGAAACAGTGACGGGCTTGGTTGTCCTCCATGCCGAGCGTGTTGTTGCAACCAGTTCCGAAGCATTCATTGTACGGTGCTTCAGGCAATATAACAAAATCGGATTTCTCAAAGCCTTCAGTGACACTCCCGAACCTCTGACCTCATCATATGCACCTCTGGCAAGCATGATGCGAAACTTGTTCCTGAGGAAGCCTTCATTGTGGCCAAGATTCCATGTCTCAATTGCACAGAGCCTCGAAGGCAAGAAGAAAGCAGAAGTCATTGAATTGGAGATTGAAATGACAGCATCGATGAAAGCAATACAACAAGCTGTCATGGAATGCGTGGAAACGAGCATTTCGGAACTAAAAAAGGCCAACACGGGGCTTGAGATGGACGATTGGACGCTGGATTCTGCTCTTCACCAAAACTTTGACGCCATAGTCCGCAGACAGCTCGACCCCGTGTGGCATCGTGTCAGTTGGCGAACGAAACAGATCGCAAACGACCTTACAGTTCTCCGGACGATTCTACACTCTCTTCTCAGCTACGACTGTGTTTCGCTGCTAAAGTATCTGGATACCGTCCTTGCGACGCATTCACCTCCTCCGAACTCTAAGCAGCAAGATCAATCACCGTGGTTGTTCATGGATGCTGCCTCAGTCATATTTAACTCAGCAAGAGACCGAGTCTATACTGGCAAAGTCGAAGATGGTGGCGTTCTACCCACATCTAAGTTACCAGATTCACTCACTCCAGTCCTCGAAGAGCAACCCAAGTGGGCTGTACTCGCGGAAATACTTCAGGAGATTGAGACTGATGCTTACCTGAATCCCACGCGGAGTGACTCGAATGATACGGTGTTGGTGATGTGCAACGATCAAGGAACCTGCCGGCAGGTCCGAGACTATCTTCAGACCATGCATGTGAAACCTCTGGCTCGAGAGCCGAACAACGGGCAAGCTCCTCATGAGGTGGAGGAACAAGAAGCCAAGGGCTCCGCAGAGTTCATGCTGAGGCGCAAACTTCGAGAATATCTCGGGTGGAGGAAGACATTTGCCCAAGTCAGCGCGTCTCTGTTTGAGGAGAATCAGAAGTCTCTGAACGAAATCAAGGGAAATAACACGGCGTCTGCTCGACTCGGTAGCAAAGCACCCGCCAGCAAAGCACCCGCCAACAAACGCAGGCGTGTGAGAGGCGGAGGGGCCTCGGGCCTCAACCCTTTGCGCACTGCCAGCGGCGCAGTAGCTATAATCGAGGACAAAGCAGCGCAAGTGGCAGGTCTGCTAGCAGAGCTACGGCCGACGGAAGCTGAAGCGCTTCAAAAGCACGATGTCGTGATTGATGATCTCAATGATGCTGGAGAAGACCTTTTCGAACTGTACAGCCCCGAGGACCAAGTGGTGGTCCATCCCTACGACGGCGACCAGGATGACCAACTCCTTGAAGAGATCAGGCCGAAATACATCGTCATGTATTCTCCATCGGCGGACTTCATCAGGAGAGTTGAGGTTTACAGATCAAGCCACTCGGACCGCAGTGTACGAGTGTACTTTCTTTACTATGGTAACAGCGTTGAAGAGCAGCGATATCTTTCTGCAGTTCGTCGGGAGAAAGATGCTTTCACGAGGCTTATCAAGGAGCGAGGTAGCATGGCAGTCACACTTACGGATGCCGGACAACTGGACCCCGAAGAAGCCTTTTTACGGACCGTCAATACTCGTATCGCAGGTGGAGGAAGACTTGCAGCCACAGCTGCTCCTCCGAGAGTGGTGGTGGACGTTCGGGAGTTCCGCTCGTCCCTCCCAAGTTTGCTGCACGGCCGAAGCATGCATATTGTCCCATGTCAACTGACAGTCGGCGATTATGTCCTGTCACCAGATATCTGCGTGGAGCGGAAGTCGATACGAGATCTCATTGCTTCTTTCAAGAATGGACGACTGTTTAACCAAGCAGAGACAATGCTCCAGTATTACAAGTATCCGTTCCTGCTCATCGAATTTGACCAAAACAAATCCTTCACCCTGGATCCGTTTGCCGACTTGACATCGGTGCTCAAGACGCCAGACGCCGAGACCAGGGATTTGCAAACCAAGTTGGTGCTTCTCACGCTTGCGTTTCCAAGGCTGAAGGTCATTTGGGCATCCTCCCCTTACCAAACGGCGGAGATTTTCGAAGAACTCAAGAAGCAGCAAGAGGAGCCGGACCCATTGCGAGCGGTGCAGATTGGCTTGGATGAGAACGAGGATCCGGAAGAGAGAACATTCAATACCGGGCCGCAAGACCTGTTGCGGACAATTCCTGGAGTAACGGCAAAGAACGCCAGTCGCCTGTACCTTGAGGCCAAAAACGTGCTGGAAGTCGCCAACATGAGCCTCGAGGAACTAGACCCACTGGTGGGCAAAGAGTCCGGGCGACAAATCGTCAGGTTCTTCACTCGCAGGGTTGATGACGAAGAAGATCAGTCAATGTGAATCATTGGTCTGCCCGATATTTGGACATACCCTGAACTAGGGTTGGATGGCTGCTGCGGCTGTGGCAGCGTTCTTCCAAATCGTGATCTCGCATGAGTCACACCCTCGGTTAGCTCTTTGCTTGGGAATGCGGTCGCTTGTCTCACTGGAGGATTGGTTAAGAGGTAGAGACAGGAGAGATCACAGTAGAAATGAAGCGATCAAGACACAAAAGTACCAGCGTAAACCGTGTAAAACACAAATGTGACTGATGTCTCTAACTCAAACTAGACCCATTCTCCGAACTCCCATCAAATCATACCTGCACTCGTACTGATGTTTGTGTGAAAGCTCTTAGCAAAGCGTCAAAGCGTCAATCGAGCCCCATATCTCATGAAGTCATGTTCTTCAAGACCTGTTGAACTCTCGGTGAATGCATCCAAGAAAAAAGCCTCTTCCGTTAGATGTCGTCAATATCGACCTCCTTGTCAGAGTCACTGTCTCGGTCCTCGTCGAACTCGACATTGTCGTCCACACCCTCGTGACCGTAGGTATCCGTCTCGTTGATCTTTGCGCTCTCGGGAAGTTCTCCATATGCCTTCAGAGACCTTGCCTCGTCCGCGCTATACTTCAGAATGACGTCCCCTTTCTCGTCTTGATAGTCGCGCAAACTCAAGAGGATGATGTCTCCCTGGTTGATCCAGACCTTCTTGCGTAGCTTGCCGCGGATGTGAGCGAGACGTTTTTCGCCGTCGAAACAAAGGGCCTCGAGGCGACCGTTGCCCAGCATTTTGAGGACTTGGGCGTATTCTTGTCCCTCTTCCTTGAAGGTCAATTCGCGCTTTTCGTTGTCATTTTCGTTCTTGCCGCGACGTCGGTTTTTGCCACCCTGTCAGGACTCGAATTAGCACACAAAGTCTGTAGAGAACGAATCCCGGCGCTTCTTGTGTGATTTTGCGTTGTTGCCAGGGACTAACACAAAGAAATTCGTGGCGGGGTAAAATGGATGCGGTGTGGCGCTTGTGTTTGTGCGAGGGGGGCTGCTAACTAACCTTTCCCTTATTCTTGGGCATATTGGCCGATTGCTCTCAGTGACAGATAGAAAGTGTGTTGGGTTTTTGGTTGATGGGTTACGAGAGGCTGGGCCCACGTAGTTGTAGAAATATGTCGTGGGGTTTGTGGGAGAAAGAGAGAGAGAGGATGTTTTGTGGAAGAAACTGCGAAAGAAAGGCGCAGGTTGACGTTGTTTGGGGAATTCAGCGGCAGTCATTCGCAGTCATTCGTGGGGCAAATTTCGAGGGCCTCACTAGCCACGCCAACAATCACCTGCGTCCTGCCTAGAATCTTCACCCTGCTTCTCTACTGCTTTTGCTCTTCTGCCCTGCTCATGAGTCTGCTTGTTCCCATGTCAGTCACTCGCTATTGAAAATGCTTAACCTATGGCCTCCGTTGTCACCACTCGCCCCTTCAGGCCCCTCCCCGTCCCTCAGGCCCTTGGATTCGGATTGAAGGCGCGATATACTCCTGTTGAAAATGTCCCGACTCTATTCGATCACAAATTCCTCGTCGACCGCTACAGCCCCAAACGGGCCGCTGTGACAGATTATTATTCGAGACTTGCACCAGACGTCCTTCGATGGCGCGTCATCTCCAATGCCAGCGCCAAAAAGGTCCCCAAGGCCGTGCTGCGTAACCGACTCAAGCGAAGATGGGCCAGTGCCTTTGCAGAAGCTCTGAAGAGAGCTGGATACTACCATAACGGAAGGAAGCGTTCCGGGCCCAAGGATGGCAAAAATTACATCCCCGGCCTCAAGGGTACTCTTGAAATCCTGGTCTACTCCGAACGGGGCATCACCTGTCCTCACGGCGAGCTTGTCGGTGCATGTGGTGCCCTACTGAAATCCCTACAACGAAAGAAACAGCACATGGAAAATGCGAGGTACGACTCTGCGCCAGAAAAGAAGTCTGGAGAGGATTCAGCGGAAACCGACAGCACTGAGGATGTGCCAGCCTCCTTGTGGTCACTCTGGGGGGGCAAGCTCTTCTGAAAACTGGTTTGTAAGAATATGTGATACCCTGTACAATCAGAGATCCACGCATAGACTTTTCCATTCAAGTCATGCATATCGGCTCCACGCAGGAGTATTTCCTGTTTATCGAGATCACTGCGAGGGGCCCGAATCTCTTCTATTCAATGGCTTTCTCAAACTTGAGCACTGTGTGTTTGCTCGTGTCTGCACAAACTCAAATAGATTCTAGAGAGTACAATCCTCTCTGAGATAAGATGAAGACAATGAGGAGAATACGGCGCAGAGAGTATTTAAATTAGCTAGTGACTTACATGGACATGAACATTCACGCTGAGCCAGGCAATGATCGAAGCTGCCCCTGAGCTTCACGTGCTGGACTTTTGTGCGGAATCGCGCCGGTCAACAACTTCATCACGGCACATAATTAATTTAATATCTCCCTTGAACCTAACAGATCACCATTCCCGACACCAATCCCTGGTGCGATAGTCGCTCGGCTTCGATTACTTCTCTGTGCCTTTCAGTCGCTCCTTTCGTTTTTGTTCCGTGCGCTGTTCATTACTTTTTCCCGGGGTCGAAAAGATGTTGGTGTCCTTGACCGTCGGCAAGGTCGATGCGGGTGTCGCGGTCCTGCTCACCCAGGACAAGCGGTTGGTAAGCTGTGTGCTCTCCATGTTACATTGTGTAGAGACTGACGCCTATCTCAGATCGAGTTTCCTTCTATCCTTCTGCCCTCGACCATCACATCGGGCTCGATCGTGGATATCGAGGTCAAGCAAAACCACGAAGCAGAGCAGAAATCGCAAGCCGCTTTCGCTGCGTTACAGAGCCAGATATTAAGCACCTATGGCCTTCATGTCCCCGCGACACCTGTCCTGCGCCTGCGGAATGCCACACAAACCTCCCTCGTCCTCGAATGGGAACCGATTCAGTTGGCAACAACGACCCTACGCTCACTTGCCCTTTACCGCAATGGGAGCAAGGCCGGTAACATACCACGACCGCTAGAGACACTCAGCACCAAGATGAGTGGATTGGCAATCGATACGGAGTACTCGTTTTATTTGGTGCTCAAAACCAGTGGCGGGATCTATACGAGCAACACCCTTACCGTCAAGACCCATGCAATGAACAATCTGACCGGTATAACCGTCACCCCAGGGATACTGCCCCCACAATTGAGAGAGAGTCTCGAAGAAACGATCTCACGTATTGGCGCAAAGATCAACGACACGGTCAAGATCGACACCACCCATTTCGTTTGCACGGAAGGCCGGGGCCGAGATTGGGAAAGGGCAAATGAGATGAATATCCCTGTCGTCAGGCCTGAATGGGTGGATGGGTGCGAAAGAGAAGGCAAAATTATCGGAGTTCGTGGATATTATTTGGATGCGGATCCCAAACAAAGACAGATTGGATCAAATCCAAGTCTTTCGGCGCCGCCAGGTCGACCTTCTACCACAACTGCACCAGCTGTGCAGGCCCCCCAACAAGCGAATGTGCCTCAACGGCCCAAAGAACAGCCACTAAAGAGTCCGGATAGAGAGAGCACTGTGAGCGGCGAACCGGGTCCTGAAGTTCTGCCTACTCCACCTCCTCAGAAAGATCTCCCACCCCCACCTGCGGACGATGCTGAAGAGGAAAGCGAAGACGAAGAGGCCGAGGAGGTCGAAGAGGAGGAAGAAGAGTCTACAGCTGTCGAACCAAAGGGCAAAGGAAAAGCGCCTGAGGTCGAGCTGGATCAAGAGGAGGATGAGGACGTGGATGAGGATGAGACGGAATCAGGTCGTTACGAGCAACTGCCCGAAGCTGAAGGCAAAGGGGGGGCCGAAATGGAGGATGTCGTGTTGTGACAGGAATGATGAAAGTCTACGTCTTTAAGGCTATACTCACATGAGTCGATTTGAGCCGACTGCTGTCTCCTCAAATCGGGCAGCATCAGTTTGAGTCTGGTTGGCAAGAATTCTAATGTGGCTGCAACTCGGAGGGCACCTGCGACAGTGCCTACCTAGGTACTTTGGCTCAGCATCGGACTTTCTTCCATATCGCTTCCTGGCAGGCTTGCGGGGAGAAAACTTTCCATGGATTTCAAAAGCCCGAATCCCACGCGAGGAGCACACGGGCGGTGGATAGCGGCATCCAGCCCGTACAGTCGGGAATCAACATCAGCGAGTGGGACCAAGGTGCTCTCCGGCCTCAGCCCCAAGGCCGCTGCTATGGAGCCACAAGCCGTGAATCTGCAATATGCGAGAGATGAAGGCCAGCAACAACCGCGGGACCATCAGTTGCCTCTTTTCAACTTTCTTGTCTCCACAAGCGACTCACTCAAGCTCCCTTGCGTATCTTTGAGGACTTTCGTTGTATACGACGCTCTTGATAGGGGCTGGGTGCATTGATGGCTGGGTGTACATACCAATCACTGCTTGTCGGTTCGGGGGCCATCCAGATTCCACACCGGAGCCCACGGTTCAAGGGCTCACTGCCAACGAAGCACCGCACATCTTTCAGCAAGCCACAAGGAAAACTGCGGGCGAAATGGACGATAGGGTGCTTCGCCTGCATCTGAGCTGGTCTACTCCGGGGGTGTCAGCACCTTGATTCGAGCTCAAAGCGGCCTCGTACTTCCAGCCTCACTAGCCGCACTACTCTGGCCACTCAGGGCTCAGCCTTGTTGCTGCGCATCTGCAAGCCAAGGCAGTTGACACGACAAAAATACTACCACTCGTCTTCTTGTTCTTTCAGCTATACGATCTTGGAAAAGCATCTGCTTCGAAGACTTGCCCTGTTCAGCGCTACCATGAGTGTCGTCCTCCAGTCATGCCGTATAAGACCGCCTTGCACCTCTTGCTCAAGACCTGTTTCTCCCCCTTCTCCATCCAACTGTATACCAAGCAACTGCACATCCAACACTTTCCTTACTTTTCATTTTCATTTTCAGTCTCTCTCTGACTTTGATTTCATTATCACACTCATTGAATCTCGTTCTGATCAAGCAGCACACTCATTTTAATCTATAGTTCCGGTCAAAGCAAGCATTTGAAGACAGCTACGAAACACGCACTCTCAGTAGTCGCCTCGACTCCGAGCTAATAATTCATATCTACTCAACGACAAGCAACAAAAAGATCAAGATGTACGCTCAATCAATCGTCGCCGGGATCCTCAGCATTGCTGCCCTTTGCAGCGCCGCCCCTCTCGCTGGTCGCAGTCAGACTGGCAGCTACAGCTACAACAATGGCACCTCAACCACGACAGCCTGGCCAATGAGCACCAGCTCCTCCAATCATACCGCTCCCTATGGCTACAACAATGGCACCTCATCTAGCACCCCGCCCCATCCGACGACCACCGGTTCTTGGTCTGGATCACCGTACAATGGCCCAAGCAGCAGCAACCAAAATCAGCCTATTGCCACCATCCTCCCCGACTTCACTTCTCAATATACCGTCTCCACTGGTGCCGTCGATTTCCACACCAGCGAGGGCCTCGTCTGGCGCACTCCGTATAACAATGGAAATGACATCACCACGCTGGTCACGTTTGAACTTGATGCGATGTACAGCGGCAATCAATGCCAGCTGGTCTTCGACCTGGGCAGCGACGGCACAAGCTTCGTCAGCGGTACCGGCAAAGCCCAACTTTTCACGTCCCTCGCGCCCGCCACAGCCGATAGCGAGAGCTGGCCCTCGGGCAACCTTCGAAATCAAGCTCTCGGCACCATCGACGTGAATGCTTACGGGCGCGCCACCTGGGAAGCCGGTTCCGGACCTGGCGCCACTGTCCAGGGCAAGTTCCCTTGCTCCATGATCGCGGGAATGATCTACGGCGGAGAGATTGCCCCCGTTGGTGATGAGGATGTCATCACTTGGACCGCCGGACAGGCTGATGGACCCAAGATCCTCGTCTTCTAAACCAACCAACCCTTGTGGGCATGTAATTTCTCTTGAGCTTGTACGGGTGGCATATGGCGCTAGTTTTGGCTTTTTTTAATAGATAGCGACTGGTTTGGGTTGGGCTCATGACTGGGGCGTTTGCTCTTCTGATTTTATCACATAGCGAGCGAGTACGGGCACGCAGGGCATGCATGGGGTAAGTTCACAGGATTACCACGATCGCGATACATCTTGTTTGCCATTTTTTGTTTTTTGGGGATGACTACTATTTAGAGGGACGGGGCGGCAGGCTGCTCTTCTTTTTGACTCGGATATATATACATATATAGCAAAACACTGGAATCTAATCGTTTTCTCCAGACAAGAATGCTTCCCTCGTTTATTGTCTCCACTACCACCCACAAAAGCCATTAAGTGCTCGCTGGGGAATTAAACATGTTCTTCCTCACTGACTATTATTCCCTGGTCTCCTCCCTTTATATATATCTTCTCATTACTCGGAGCTGGCTCAAATAGGTTGCAGGACTATTTCCCCCCGGGCTGCGTGCCGGCGAGCCCCGAGTCCGTAAGGCGTGTGTGAGTGGCCTCCTGAGCTTGGGGGACGTCCTGCGCCGTTACACTGCGTTTTTGACTGTTTCACCTTTGAGGTATGGAGTATTATCCAAGATCGTATTATCCCTACGAATATGTATTGTGCGTGTGCGTGTGCGTGGACGCGTGCGTCAACAAGATATCTATTCGACGAAAGGTTTTTCATTCGTTTCCGGAATACGTCGTCAACAGAAATTTGGCCCAAGGAGGAACAAACGTCTCAGTAACGCTGGCGCGCTTTTACAGCTTGAATTGGTTTCGTCGTACTCAAAGTAACCTGACTGGGCACTTTCTGTATCCAATCTCGAGAAGCTTTTTTGGGGGGCGTTGCTCCTGATTTTCCAAGATTGTCTCCTTCACAGTCCCACTCTCCCGCATCACACAATCTTATACACCTTCTTGCACCACCAAAAGCATATGACCCCAAATATGACCAGGCCGGCCGTGGTGGCCCAAAACCAGTTCAGGTTGTCCACATCTTGGCCGGGGACTTTGAAATTGCCGCCAAACATGCCGGTCACGATGTTCATCGGGAGCACTATGGTTCCGAGCACGGTCAACTTGCCCAAGACGTCGGCAGTCTAGCGGATCATGTCAGTATGATTTGCACGGGATCGAGCGCTTGAACACAACATACCTTCTCCTGCCTCTCATTCATGTGGATGCTGACCTGGGCCAAGTAGTTCCCGTGCGCCCTGGACAGCACCATCTCGTAATGCGACAAGTTTCCGGTCATGGTCAGGATGTGGTCCTGAATATCACCCAGGTACAGACCAATTTCCGATTTGGGCGCAACTTCCCACTGCTCGTTGCACCGTTTTGCGAAACCTTTGATGACATCGGCCTTATTGCCCAGCAGTCGGTATAGTGACATGACCTTTTTGCGACATTCACCTATACGGAGGAGCATGTCGATTCCACTGCTTCCTGCCTCACCGGCATCTGACTTCTTGTCGTCGCCTTTCTTCTCGCCATGCTCGCCCGCAAGGACGTCAGTGTGTTGGAACGCTCGCAGTATCAAGTCGTCAATCGTGTCGACTTCTTCTTCGATGTGAGTAATGAGCGGACCGTACACATCGGTGATGTCGTCAATGATGGCATACGAGATCCAATCCGCACTGAGAATGAGATAATCCGAAAGTTGGCGGATGCGTCTTCGGACATTTGCCGGGTGAGGTATCTGGGAGAAGTGGAAAGTGACGATACCATATCGAAAAACGCAGACAAACATGTTGATGGGTTCCATATAGTCCTCACTATTGGTGTCCTGCTCAAACGTCCGATAATTGATGAAATAGTAATTGCGAAACAGCTCCACCTTCTCACGAGCTTCTTGCATCATGATATCTTCGGCTGTGAGAGCATGAATCCCGAATGTTTTCGCCAGAACACGCATTTCCTGATCTGTTGGACATAAAACATCGAGCCAGAAAGTCGGCCGCGGACCATATTTCTTCGGCTTGGGCGGCCGAGTAGAAGCAGGCTTCTTCTGCGGTGTCGCGGTGCCCGAGTTCTTGCTCTTTTCGGAACTCTTCCCACTGGACACAGGTTTCAACTGGTTCGTCTCTGCAAGAAGACTAGGCATTCCGGAATGCGTCTCGACTGCCGTTGCGCTTTTGGGGCTTTGCAGTGCACTGGGAGTCTCCGTGACGTGACTGATCTCCAACAAGTCCTCTTCCTCGGAACTTGACTCGATCAATTCGGGTGGATCTGGGATGAAGAGCTCGCGGAACGTCCCCCCAGGCTGCACCAGTTCCGATATCGTCTCAGCGTGAATTGTGCTTTCAAATTCTTCGTTGAAATAAGTGTATCTGTATTGCTTGTCTTCCTCGACATGATGCCAGGCGTTCTTTCGAGGCCGGAGCCTGCCCTCGACAAAGACAGGCTCACTGACCTTCTTTGCCCGCCGTTCACCCGCCTCCCTGGCCTCTTTCTCTTCCCGACTCCACTCGTCCAGAACCCACAGATTTGGCCACTCTCGTTCTCGGCGTTTCCGCCGTTGGCCACTGATATAGTGTTCCTGTGGCTGCGTTCTGTGAAAATAGTCGTCACCAGCCTCTGATACTTCGTCGGTAGGGAAGCACACGTCGACCTCGGCTGGCGCAGTCAACGACCGATGTCGTTGAAGTCCGCCGGGCCGAAGTCTGGGGCTCGGTGGTGCCGAATTTGGGTCATTATCTTCATCAGCATCGATCATGATCAACGCGTCTTTATTTGAAACATTGAGATTTCTTCGGCTATCTGGTGAACGTGTAAGGAAATTGCCGTCGTCGACCATGACATCGCCATAGTGAGGGTCAAGATTAGGGCTCGGAGGAACGGATGGTGGATTGTTAACGTCGTAGCTTTGTTCAGATTTCGGAAACGAGTGTCCAGGAGTCCCGAGTGCCCTCTTTCTTTGCGGGTGCTTCGAAGCCGACGACAGTGTAGACGTATGAGACTTTGTTCTAAAAAGTCCATAGCCAGCCTCGACGGGAGTTTTGGGCTTTGCCCCACCAGAAACTAAGGGTGTGCGGTCGTTGACGTCCTCATTATCCGATGCATTGGAACTCGAAGCATCAGGCTGAGTTCGCTGTCTCTTTTGCGAGCCAGAATCTAATTTGGGGAAAGGGGCGTTCCGATATGATGTAGCAAACAAGGGAGTCAAACGACTGTCTCGCCGGGGACGTAACGTAGGTTGGTCTCGGTGGTCTAGGAGTGCTTCGCTGTCGAGACTGTCATCGCTGATGTTGCCTCTAGTGGTCTGGTAGAAAGACGGACGTGCACTGGGAGACTCTTGGGCCTCTTCGATCAAGGGATCGTCCGTCGGTACATCTCTCCCACTTTGCATTGCGGAGGTCTCTGAAGGAGCAGCAAAGGATTGACGCCTGTTCCTCCTCTTTTTGCCTCCGCGGTGTTTTCTTTTCTTCTTGCCATCCGCATGCGCTGTGGAGACGGTGGAGAGTCGGGCGTCGCCTGGGCCGCGAGAAGTCGATGGTTGACCAGCTCTAGAGGCACTCATGCTCGGTCGGGTCTCGTCGCCTGAGTGGGTAGGTTGGGAGGACTGGCCTCGATTCGGGGGTGGGAGAGGATGCATTCAACGAGCAAGAGGTACTCGGTACTCGGCGCTGTACGCTGTCTAGCAAGGGCGATGATGTGAGTGGGTGCAGACGAAACGAGGTTTGGACCTGGACCAGAACAGGTTGATAAACAAGCAAGCAAGACAGACAACAAAAGGAGCGAACTGTGTATCTCATATATACCCAGAAGATGATGTTTGGTTGCTGGGCTGTGGGGGAAAGGCCAATGCTTGACCGATATACACTTTGGCCATGACGTGTGGCAACGGCGGGTGTTTTCAACGGCGCAGTGCCTTCAAGACTCCGCACGCGACACCCTCCTCGAAACAGAAAATGGCCGCCAGGGACGAGGGTTTCCCCTGCCCAGTGACTTTTTTTGATCATGAACAACTTTGAACAGCTACAAACATTAGGTACACCATCTAGACAGGTACATAAGGAGATAGGAGATTCGTATCGTCGTCCATGAACATGAACGCTGAGGAACTGCAAGCTTTCCCACCCGTTCCATGCCAGCAGAAACCGAGACCGCTTTTCCAATGAGACACGTTCCTCCAACGAGAACCACCAACTCCATCGCCATGCAGATAAACCCATATTCCCCGATATGACTCATCAACTTGCTCTTTGCCATCAGAACATGTTCTCGTTCCCCTCAATGCCGCTCATGGCAAGACTATGCGTGCTCACAGCCCGCAAGCTCTTAGCGTCGCTGCCGCCGCTAGCGTGCCGTGTCGAGCTCTTCACCCTCTTCAGCTTGTCCGGTCTGGCGATCAGGACCTGTGCAGGGCATACCACAATCTCCTCGTCTCCCACTCCATTGTCGTCCCCTTTCTTGACGACAAGCGGGAACAGTACCATCCGAACCACCGCACGTTCACGCTCCAACTCCTCATTGCTTGTCGTTTCGCCACTTCTTTCATTCATCAAACTTGCATTGAAATACACTTTCCGAGCCAGATCGCCATTGGTATCGTACTCGGGCTGTAATGGCGGTAGCATGATGTATTCAGCTCGTTGGGTGCGCATCTCAATCGATAATTCGACCGCCGTGCGCATCACGTTGCGCAGAGATCCCACAATCTGCTCCTCTAGGTGCTGCGGCGGAGGGAGGAAGCGTGACAGTGTGGAGAAGATCTCAATTGCCACTGCTTCGGTGTCACTTTCTCGGTGCGCTTTGAAACTTTCTCGTTTGGAGAGCAATGTGAGCGTGAGGGCCCTCCATTGGTGCACCGCGCTCTGCGCTCTCACTTCTCCGAGGTTCTTCTCCAGCTGCTTCAGTTTCTGTCGTTGATCACGGTCCATACCAAAGAGGTATCTGGTAAAGACATACTCCCAGATCATAGTCATCACCACCGACATGAAGACATCACGTCGCTTGACACGGTCCGCCAGGTAGACGTCCACATCGGAACCATCTAAGATTGCATTGTCGAATCGGTCCACGATTTTCTCGTCCCGGACCTCGTTTGTTGTCCGACAAAGTTTAAGGTCGCTGGATTTGGAAAATCGTAGGACCCATCCTTGGACTTGTTGACATAATTTCTGGCACGCTTGATCGAAGTAGTCTTCGTCGTGGAAGACAACCACATCGTCCGCACCCCTTGACAATATCTGAGATTGTAACTCTCTGATCTTCTCTCTTGCCGCTTCTAGATCTCCCTGGAGTCGTTGAATCTCTGCATTTTTCTCACTAAGAGCTGTATCGATTTCATGCTTGACAATGGATTCCATGCCGGTAGACAGCTCGTTGTGCCTGGATCGAAGTGCTTCCAATTCCTGCAAAGAATCCTGCCATTGCGATTGCGCCTCATCATAGTTTTGCCGGAGGCCGATCAAGGTCTGTTCGTGTTCCTTCTTCAACGAGTCGTGCGTAGCGATCAGAGACGCCACCTCTTGCTTGAGACGCGTGATTTCCGCATCCCGTTCTTGGATTTGTGCATTGAAAGCTACCGTAGAGTTTTCAGTTCGGTTGCGTTCAAAATGAGCTTGTTCCAGTTGCTGTTCCGTGACGATTTTTGCTTCGGCCAAGGAGCGGTTCTCACTCGCGAGCTGGTCCACTTTTGCCTCAAGATCTCTGATCTGCTGCATGCTCTGTCGTTGTCGGATACTTGGAGGTCGCGTAGGGGAGCGGGGACTGCCCGGGTATGAACCATACCCATCCTGAGAGGCTGTTAGGAATAGGAGTTATCCGTTAGATTGTGCCAAACTTACGTATACTTCTGCCATTTCCCTGTCGCGAGCCGCAGCCTTGCCGGCGATCTGGGCATTTGCCGGTCCCTGCGATGACTCCGACGCGAAATTGGCCGGGTCGTACGGTGAGATTGAAGCGCTGCGCAGGTTGCGCAACGATGAGGTTCGGGACTTGCTTCTGCCAAGTGCTTTAGCGCCGGGAGCCGGCGAGTCACGTGAAGCAATTGTGGTCGCCGCAAACGCCGCTGCTCCGGCGGCTGCCACCAAGCCAGCTGCCGCAAGGCTGTTGTTCTCTGCTGAATGTCGAGGCGTAAGAGGTGCGGGCGGATCAGAAAATGGATGCGCCTGTGAAGTAGGCTCATGCGCATCTTCATTGATGGCTTTCAGTGTCGTCTTACCTGGCGAATACGGGCGATTGATGTTGGTGTGCCAATGCGAGTCAAACGCCGAGCGATCCACTGGTGCTGCAGCTGACCGATCAATGAGATTCGAAGCCAGTTGGTCACTGTCTTCGTGATGTGGAGGAATTTTGGCCTTTTGTTGTCTTAGCTCTTCCCGACTGTGATGGTGACCATGAATGCTGGGGCTCCTCCGAAGGGGACTTGATATAGCTTGAGGACTTCTGCTTCGGATATCCGTGTTTAGCGGGGATAGTATGGCGGGAGAAGAATTGAAAAGGACCGAGGATCTGTCCTTGGAAGTGGACTCCACCGGCGAAGGCTTTCTTCTCGGCGTCTCGAGACTAGCCGACTGATCGACATGCTTTCTGCTGGCCACGGTCTCGGATACATCTTCTGTCGAGCTGGTGGGGGATTGAGGTCGAGGTGGACGTAGATTCATATCTGCGTTGCTGTCTCTAGTAGACCTGAATTCTCCGTGTTGAATTGTGGGACTTGGGACATAGCCGCTGTCCCTTTGAGATGTAAAATCGCCAGAGGATAGGGTCGGCGACTCGAACTGGACACCGCTGTCTCGGTTCGTGTCCGCATCGGTAAGCTTTGTAATAGGATCTAGCTTAGCAAAAGACCACCCGGCAGACGGTTGACGAACAGGCGACGGCACTTTTCGGGACGATTCTCTGGTTGACTCGGTTTCTCCAGCACCAAAGCCAAGTCCTGCTGCGACACCCAGGGCGGTGTCCATAATATCGTCATGTTCAGGTGGTGGAGTAAGGGCGTGATCTCTTGGGAGGTCTTCAGGCTCTTCACCTGTCCAAGCCGGAGGTGATCTTCTTCTCTTTCGCCTGTCACGCGTGGTCTCACTCACATCCGACAAATTGTCGGCATTCTCTGGGGGCTGTTCTCGCGATCCTGAAATCTCCATGCCCTCAAAATGAACAGCTTCAGCGACTCCAGGCTCTCGAATTTCCGTTCGGTCGAGCTCCGTCTGCGGCTCGATATCCTCGGCCCCATCGAAGATTCCGCTTTTTGTCTTCCCCTTCTTACCCTTTTTGCTCTTCTTGCGCTTCGAAGTATCTTTGATGGTACTAAAATCAGTTTCGTCAAGTCCTCTTTTGCCTTCTGTATCCTTATGAATTGCGGATGTAGCGGGCGCCATAGCATCCTCTTCATTGATTTTGATATCAGTTGGTGGTCCCTCTGGCGTGATATTGTCGTTCTCAAATACACCTTGCTGATGATCGGTCGCCTCTGGAACCCCGCTGTCAGCTGCGATGAGCCCTGCGTGTTCGTCTTGCGCCTGAAACATGCCATGCTCTTTCAATGATGGAGTCACTTGATCGTTTTCTGACTCGGCACCAATCTTGGCTTTAGACGGATCTGATACTATCCCGGCAGTATCCGTTGCCGTTCCAAGCAATCTATGACCGATCCTGATGATGGGTTGCGCAACTTCAGGCTCCATATCATGTGGCAGTGTATCATCTTGAGCGCTTGTTTTGATAGATGAAAATGCAGGTTGATCCGGTGTAGACATTGAATCATGCAATTTGTCCAAAGCACGCTGACCAGGTGCGCGTTCAGCGGATGAAACTGTTGATCCGTGAGTGTCTGCGGCAATGTTGGTGTAGTCCTCAGGATGCAGCGCTTCTTGGTCAACAACCGAGACAGTTGATTGCAAGTTGTCCCCAGTCTTCGTCTCATGTGACTCCAGAGGCAAATCCGGAACTTCGGGCTTCCTTTTGGCGTTGTCTTTCTCCAATTCGGCGGCGACTGCACCCATTTCGAGACTTTCAGCGGTCCTTGATATTTCTGGTTCGGTAAATGGTGCCGGTGTCGACGTCCCGGACGCATCCTCGGCCGTCTGATCTTCATTTCCTGTCCAAGCAAGAAATGATTTCCTCTGCTTGTCCTTTTTTGACTTCTTCTTGCTTGGCGCTGGAGCAAAGTAATCGGCACTCTCAGCTTCAGGTGCGGGGACCGAGGTTTGTTCTGCATTGACGTCCTCCATGGGTTCTGGTGATCCTGTCTGTTGAATTGGTGTTTGTACAGCGGATGCGAATTCGCCATTAGAGTATGGCGTTGCTGTGCCTGATGTTCCGAAGTCACCAGTAGCTGTGAAGGCTTTACTGTTCTTACTCTTCTTCTTGGTCTTTTTGCTGGAGAATCCCCATTCAGATTCGGGCTGCACCTCAGCTGCTTGTGATGATTTGACAGAGTTTGGAGGAACGTCATCTCGCCGTGTATCGATTTCATTCTCTGCTCTTGGTCCATCAAGATCATCCGTCTTCGCTTCTTCTTCGAAAGCTGATTTTCTTTTGCTCTTCCTCTTCTCCTTTTGGGACTTTTTCGCTTTGGGAAGGTCAGACCAGACAGCGTCAGGCTCCTCCACTGTAGGAGCGTCTTCACGCTTGCTCTCGATTGTTCCTTCCGGCATTTCAGGTCTAAATTCAGAGCTGAAGGAAGTTTCTTCGGGTACGCCCGTATCATCTGCAGCTGATGGGGAAGTCTGCATGACTTCTGGGATTCTACTTGGCGATCCATGGGACACGTTCTCTGTTGGTTCGACCGTAGTGAGACGCTCTGCAGTCAATGCCTCCGTAGCTTCCTTGGCAACATCATGTTCGTGGTCAAGCTCCAGAATCGTTGCGTCGATTGATCTGGCAACGGCTTCTTTTTCAGGCTGGAACTCACTTGGTGTCGCCACTTCGACTGGTTCGAGATCATCTTGAATTGTGGACTGAGGTGCATTTACCTCGTCCTCGACTGGGAGTATCTTCGACTTCCTTTTCTTGTCCTTCTTTGCCTTTGCCGACGAAGAAGCAATTTCTTCCTTCGCGACAGTGTCATTCGTTTGTACCGCAGTTGGAACTTGTTTTGGAGGATTGATCGCTGCAGGTTCGAAGACGGGTCCAGCTTCGGCTCCCTTCGCTATGGCCTCAGCTTCCGTATCTTCGAATTGTTGGGGATCAGAAACAGGCTCTTCATAGGTGGATTGCCACTGTTTCTTGGTCTTCTTCTTCTTCGGTCGCGTAAATGAGTCGTCTTCTTCTAGTATGTCATCGATGCCCTTGTTCACCTTCGTCGTTCCGCTCCGCACGTCTGTTGTGGGTATAACTTCGACCTCCGCACGTCCGGCGGGAGGTGCTGTTGAGGACTCGGGCGGAAGTTCTTCGTGGAACTGCAGTGTCTCAACCCGGAGTGGCTTCGCTGTATCTGGGCCAGCTAATTGGTCGAATTGTGAGTGCGTGGCAGGCGTTGCTATTAGCATCTCAGGCAGATTCTCCTCTGTGATGTGCGCTTGGCTACTTTCTATCGACACTGGAGCGACGAGAGTCGACGATTCTTTAACATGTGCGCAATCGGTGTCCGCTGTCATCGGTGCTTCATCGACTTCTTCAGCAAGGACAGGAATTCCACGAACCCCAGAAGCTGCTAGTGAGTCGGGACCACCACTGGCAACATCAGCTCTTTTCTCCCCTGAGAGCGTTGTGGTGAGCACATCGGCAACGGAGTGCCTATTTGACTGAAATTTTTCGATGCCACCCGCTTGAATGTCTGCGGGTGCGACCTTATGGACTTCCTCAGCTGTTGTTCCCACAGAATCTTGGCCCTCCATGACTGCATGCTCTTGGATGGGCAAAGCATCCATCGAGACCTCGTCCTGTCGTTCAGCATCACCAATGGTTTTAGATTCGGTATTGAGAGCGGCAGAATCGAAGCGATGGTCTTCGCCCAAATCTTCTGTTTGCGGCGCGCTGGCAACCTCTCCTTCGATTGCCGAGAACGAAGGTTTCTCCTCTGAGTGTTCACTGTTGGTAATTGGGGTCGGACTAGCTGAAGCTTCAACTGATACCGGCAGCTCCTCAACGTCTGCAAAGGTCGGCTGTCGCTTCTTCTTCTTTTTGCCATTTTTCTTGCTAACGGTGAATTCATCTATTCGAGGCCCCTGGTCGGGTATTGCTCCCAACGCATCAGATACTGCGGGTAAGGCTTGTGTCGTTGCTTTGTCCAAGCCTTCCACGTTTACAGACTCAACTTCTGGTGTACTTGCGCCAAGTTCAGCGCCGCTGTCATCCAAGGCAAGCTGCTGGTTGTTCCTTTCACCATTCTTCGTTTTCAAAGTCGGCCACTCTTTCTCGGCAACAGGTTGTACGGCTTCCGGAGGGCCCAGTGAAGAATCATCTTCTCCCATGGCTGTCTCGACTGGTTCTTGTTCTTCGTTGCTCTGGAAGGCCGATTGACTGGCTTTCTTCTTTCCCTTCTTCAGCTTCTTGCGGGAAAGAGTAGCTTGCTCGAAAACTGGATCCATTGAGGCTGTCTCGTCAATCCCCGATGTAGTCGGATCTTCTTCTGGAGTTCTGTTAAGTGGTTCCGCCCGCACATCACGTTCATCTAGAAGTTGGGCCGCGTTTTGGACGGGTTCTACCGCGACGAGCTTCCCCTCCACAGGCTTTTCGAGATCAGTATTATCCTGCCTGGAGACTTTTTGGACTTTGTCCGACTCTTCTGCGTTGTCGGCTGCTTCTGGTTGATGATCAAGCTCTTCTAGTTGAATTGAAGTGGACTCTTCTGGCGATAGATTATCAGCAGCCATTTCGCCTGCTCCCGCTGGAGCTGAATCTTGCTGAGTTACAGCTTTAGACATCGGTTCCTTTTCTGGAAGATTTACATCCTGTTCTCTGATCCCGTTGTCGATCCTGCTTTCGATATATGGACCTTCATGCGGGCGAACCGGTTCGCTATCCTGGGGTAGACTGGCCTCATTCAATTTGAAGTTCTGGCCCTTTTTCCGGTTCTTTCTTTTCTTATCTGCAGGAGCCCACCATTCTTCAGCTTGATCTCCAGGAGTGGGAAGGTCGTTCTCCGTAGCGAGGGCTTCAACTGTTTCCAGCGTTTGTGTTCCATCGTTAGTGAAAGGTCCAGCCATATTGCCCGTTGTTGGCTGAGAGGCCTCTTCCCTCGAGTTCTCAAAAGCCGCCTCAGGAGTTGCAAATTCGATGTTGGATTGCCGCTTCTTCTTTTTCTTGTCCCTCTTTGACTTCGTAGACATGGGTGTCAACTCCTCTTGCCAATCAGCTTCCAAGTCCTCTTGACCGATATTTTCGAAATCTCCTTCCACAGTCAATGCATCACCCTCGGGCCGAGCAGCCTCTGGAGCAGATAACGTCATTGGTTCTGAAGCAGGACCTGATTCGTCTGTCCTCGTCTCAATTGTCCTAGATTCAGGCGTAGTTTCCGATTCAAAATTCGATTTGTCGCTAGACTCTGTTAGAGTCTTTAATTGAGGCGCTTCAGGAACTTGGTTTGACTGCCGCTTCTTCTTTTTCTTGTCTTTCTTTGCCACCACGTACATTGATGCCATGTTTTCCTCATCAATATCTCCAGTCATAGCCGCAGCGCCTTGCCTATCTCCCGGAGGGGAAATAGACTTGTTGATATTGGCCCCCGTGGATTCATCAAGTTCTGGCTCTGGCTCATCTGTCACCGTTTGGTTCTCACTAGGCAGAGGACTAGACTGCGTTGCTTCAGCCATGAGAGTTGACTGGCGTTTGCTTTTCTTGCTTTTCTTTTCCTTCTTGGATCGCTTCGATGAGAGGCTTAAATCTTCCTCTGTCACGGGTTCAAATTCATCAGTACCCGGCGGGAGTTCGCGACTGGACGCAGGTTCAACAGCCGCCTCGTTACTAGCCTTAACCCCAGCTCCATCTGCTGGCTCAACGGTAGCATGAGGGACCGCCTCGATTGGAGTTTCAATGTTAGCTTCACTGAGTGACACCCCTGTAAGTTCGGTTGAAGTCTTGACGGGAGCTTCAATTGCAGTCCCATCGCTCGGTTCAGTAGTAGGCTCGACAGTAGGCTCGACAGTAGGCTCGATGGCAGGCTCGACGGTATGCTCGATGGCAGGTTCAGTAGCAGGCTCGGAAGGATATTCAACAACAGACTCAGAAGTAGGTTCCGTAGCTGGGTCGGTAGTAGGTTCAGGCGGAAGTTCCGCGGTAGGTTCAAGAGCTGATCCCTTGGCGGGATCTGTTGTTGGCTCGGGAGCGAGTTCAGCAGTAGGTTGGACAGGAGGTACCAGGACTGCTATCTCTGAAGGGGAATTTTCAATCGCTGGGGACTCAGCAGGAATGGTTGTCCGGGTGTTTCCAGCAATTGCTGTCTCAGTAGCAGCAGCATCGTATGCGAAAGAATCGTGGATGTTGGCTTCAGCCTCCATGATCTTCACAGACCGTATTCCCTCGTCGGACAGCTTGTCAAGGCCAGACTCTGGGGCAGGAGGCCTTTCTTCGGGAAAATCAAGCGATGCTCGTGAACCGGCATGGTGTTCAATGCTGGAGTCTGATGGTTCCGGAGCAGCATCGGTGTTGTCCGCAACTTCTGACGTTAAGACTGTCATTGGTTGCTGCTGGGCAGCGGCTAAGTTCAGATCTTCAACATTAGGACTGACTTTGCCTTCTGCAGGCCACAGATCCTTAGCCTCTCCAGTCCTTTCGTCCCACGGCGTAACTGTATCTGCGCCTTCGATGTGGGCCGCAGATGTGGTGGGCATGATTGACTGGAACTGTTTCTCGTTCTCGGCTCCAACGTCGTCGGCTGACCCAGCTACATCATCAAGCAAGGGCTGACGCTGCTTTTTGGCCTTGGACTTCTTTGATTTCTTCTTGGAGCTGGATATTTCACCAACGTCTTGAGACCCTTCTCCACTGAAAGCTGGTTTAGCCTCGGGCTGAACCTCGGCAAGCCGTTGTGTTGTTAGTTCTTCTGCCATCGAACCATCCTCTGGGACACTGGAGTTTGTGATAATATCTGCGATCTCTCCGTCTTGCACAGATGAAGGCATTTCGCTGCCTTCGAAAGCGCTGGCACGTTTCTTTTTCTTATCCTTCTTCAACTTTTTTGTCGTAATGGGGAATACATCCTCATTTTGGCGGGGCTCTTCTTCGACGAGGCTTGGGTCTTCTCGAGCTAGAGCTCCAGAGAGTTCCGGAGCAGTTGGCACGTCTTCTGTGTCCTTCGTGTCCCGGTTAGCTTCGGAGAACACTTCCTTCGCCCCACTTTCATCTGGTGAAGGGGCCTCCCGAGCAGACATCGCTTTTTGGATTTCATCTGAAGTAGACATTCGCTTCTTTTTCTTTTCTTTTTTCGATCTTTTCGTACCGAAAGCCCAGGTGTCGTCGTCCTGGGGTGTTATTGGATCTCCAGGAGGAGTCTCATCGGTAGGTGGTTGGGCATTTGCCAGGCTTTCGTCGTGGGTTGAGGTTGCGGGACGTTCTTCCATACGGTCATCTTCAGCAACTGCTGGTGGTGTTGGCGCAGAAATATCCTGTTTGTCTTGGACTCGCTCGCCATCACCGACAGCAGAGGTGGCTTCGAACTCAAGCTCCAGGTGTTTTGCAACTCCTTCATCTTGTGCTACGCTCGCCTCCGATCTTGACACGACGGATGAGTCTAGCGCTCTCATCTCTTGTTTCGTCTCAGCCTCAGGACCGACAGCATTTACCGGCGCGGTGGCATCCTTTGGCACTAGAGTCCCTGCAGCCTCTAATGCCTCCACGGGCGTTTGGCCACTGTCTTCAGGAAGCTGTTGCTTTGCGAGTGGAACTTCAGTTTCAACCGAGTCTACGGCAGTGTGGGCATCCAACGTCTGGCCCTTTCCAGACTCTTCTTTCTGCATAGAGGCATCGAGTTGCGTATCCTTGGCATCGGAAATTCGCGGTGCTTGGTCTTTGGCGACTTCTGGGCCAGAAATGGGGCCAGAAGAATCAATCGACGCTACCGCAGAGGTCACATCATCCGCTTGTGGTGCAAATGACTCGGGTGCCGCCCGAGGCACTTCGACAGCGGATGACTCTTCGAATACTTGTCCGGTGATATCTTCGATCGTTATGGGAAGACCCTTTTTCTTCTTAGACTTTTTCTTCTTGCCCGACTTTGAGCTTATCTCTGTGGCATAATCAGACTCCTGTTGGGCTGTGTCCGCAGAGCCAACAGATATCTCTGGTGCGGCATGCCCTTCTAGGGCCGGCAGCTCCCGCTCATTCGAGAAGCCTGTTGCGGTGAGCGGTTGCTGAAGTTCTAGCTCGGCAGCCTGGGCAGCCTCACCAGGTTCGGTCTGATCAACACTCATTTCAGTCTCATTCCAGTTGAAGAGCTGAGACTGCTTCTTTTTTTCCTCCTTGCCCTTCCTGAATTTCTTGGAGGTTAGAACACTACGATCGTCTTGGGACATCGATGGCATATCCGGCTCGTCGCGATTGATTTCGAAATCATTACCAAATGGATTTGGAGCCTCCCCAATTGGTGTTGGCTCTTTTGTGACCTCCTCAGACAAAATCGGCCCTACCGGCTCGACCGGCTCGACGTCTTGTCGTTCCTCCATTGCAGGCTGTAAGCTGCTATCGGTTTCCACAGGTGTAGAGTCCGGTTCCACTGGATCATCCAATGTTGACGCCTTCTTTGCCCTCTTCTGTTTTCGTTTCTCTTTCTTGGAACGACCGATGACCCCTTCCCTGTCAATTGATCCCGAGATTTGCTCGCCAGAAGGGCTGGAGGCCTCGCCTTCCTCTCGGATGGTGGACAATTGGGTCCCTCCAACGTCGGGAATCTCCGGTTGAAATGCTTGATAGGCTGCCTCGACGGTCGCACCTGCAGTCAATCCTCGAGCTTCCATGGCTTGTTTGAATGCCTCTTCTAGAGGATCCTGGCTTAGTTGCGCTGTAATTGATAATTCATCCTCTGCAAGAGATGGCTCTGGCGCTGCATCGCCAGCCGCTACGATTTGCTCGTCGACGTCGACAGAATGTGCGGGTTCTGGCTGCGAAGGTGTCTCAAACTCTAGGGCTGGAGTAGCTTCTGTCGGCTGCATGTCTGTTGCGTCTTCGAAGGGCTCATCATTCCCAGAGGCAACATCTTCGACACCCTGAATGCCCGACGCAAACCCATCTTCCGGCTCTGTATGCTGAGGTAGAACACCGGTGTGCTCTTTGTTAGATTGCAACATCGGTGGGGAGGCTTCATCGGAGGTCAATCGGGCATCCTCCTTATCCTTGTCTTCCGTATGCTGTGACCTCTTCAATTCGTCGCTAGGTCCCGTTGCCTCCTTGACGCTTTCCATCTGCAGCTCGAGACCCTGCTGAGAGTCTTGAACGGGTTCGGCTTGCTCCTCGAGACCTGGAACTGGATCAGAAGGCTCAGCTGCTGAAGATAGCGCAGGCAAAGTCGCCTTGTTGGCCAGTCCAGATTCCTCTTCAAGCGTTTCTACCTTTTCAGGCCCGACTATGCTTCTCCCCACAACTTCACTGGGATTTGATAGGAGACCATCAACTGACTGCACCGGAACCATGCTTTCAATGTTCGATGGAGATACGAGTTCGTTAACGGCTGATTGCTGCAAGCTCTCGGTCCTCAGCTCCTCGGTGTTAGCTGCGGTACTGGCATCCACCAGAATATCAGGGTCAAGCCTGCGCCTGTGAATTTCTGCGAAGACGTCTCGCCAAGCGTCACTACCAAGTGTTGCTTTGGTGGGGATATGCGAGTTTGTGTTCTGATGCATATCAATAGTTGCTTGAACTGATTCATGCCCAGTTGGTGGTTGCGAGGCCGTCTCATCCCGACGTCTAGCCACATTCACTGCTTTTGGTTCAGCTGCTGGCGCAACATCATTTAGCTCCTCTGCATAAGGTCGAGCCTTCATGGGCGTCTCCGCTTCTCCCTCCGGCATATTTTCCTGTGAGTCTTTAAGCGCACGGTGGGCAGCAACTGCCAAGGCAGAGCCGACGACAGCACCAGCGGCAGCGCTAGGGATTCCGTCTTGCCAAGCAGCTGATGTTGTTCTCGGGGTCGAAGTACTCCTTCTACTCCTACTACGACTTCGCGTCCCTGTCGGAGATAGACTTCTGCTTCGTGCACTCATATAGTCCTGGTCAGCATCCGTACTTGCGACGCTGGGAAGAGGACTATGAGGCCCAAATTGCTCGTCTACTTGGGCCTCGCCATGGAAAAGGTGTGGATCCTGCAGCAACTCGCTTGGTGAATGGAATTCGTATTTAGGTTTGGACTTCTTCTCCTGGTCACGAGCCCTTTGTGCTTCGCCGGGTACTGGCGTCGCTGATCGAGAATCCAGATAGTCTGGGGATTCTCGTCTTTCCTCGACGTCATTCCAATATGAGGAGCTGTGTCGTCTGCCACGCTCACGGAAAATTTCGGCACTGATGCGTGACGGAGTGAAAGACTCAGCCTGGTCTTGAAGATGAGCTTCAGCTCGAAGATCTTCCATAGACGGATGTGCCGAGCTGGTTTTGCTGGATGGCAACGATGGGTATTCCTCAGCAAGTTCGGTTGTCACTGTTTTCGCATAGTTTTGTCGCTCCACAAGATACAGCGGCCGAAACTCTTTGCTGGAACGGAATTCCGTCGACTTGGGCCTTCCTTGACGAGTTCGAGGAGTAGTCAGCGGCGAACTTGGGGACATGACTGGCGAGCTCATGGAGAAGCGTGGATTGGTTGGCGATAGAGGAGGCCGTCGAAAATGCAGGGGTACAGCGGTTGGAGAACTAGCCGCCATTGGACCAGAAGGGATATCACCTGTCCGAATAGCAGACAGACGTCGAGACGCAGCGGACTGGGAGATTGGGGCTGGAGAACCTTCCTCAGGACTCTGCACCTCCTCGACAACCCCAGGCGCAGGTCCGTCGGGCAGAGTCTCGGAATGATCTCCTGCCATCAAAGCCGCAAGTGGTGCCGCGATATGCTTGCCATCTGTGGGAATGATGGCTGCTTCGGTCTGGATACTATTAGTAATACCGGGCGGTGAAGATGTCTCTCTCTCGGACCTTGGCCCCGAGACACCATCAGTACCCATTGGCATATCCGTGTCCATTGGCTGTGGCATTTCGGGGCGACTCCCTAAAAAAGACTGCTGGTCTGCGTTGTCCTTAATCGGCGTTCCAGCGATTTCCTCAGCAGAAACGAATCCGTCGTCGACAGTTTGATCATTGGAAGCCTCTTTCGGGTCAATATGCACGGTTTGACGATCTGGGCTGCGTCGATCCCTTCTGGATGGTTCTGAGACTGCAGACGCGGTGTCATCAAACTCGGCTTTGTCCTTAGACCTGCGCTTCCTTCGAGACTCCTTTTCGTCATACCGCTCTCGATTTGCTCGACTGTCTGACTTAGACGATTTTGAGCTCTTCTTGCTAGATGTACTGACATCGCTCTTGTTGCTGGAGAAAAGGTTGCTGAAAAAGCCACCAGATTCCTTCTTCGTTCTTGAGTCCGGCGCGCTACTCGCGACAGACCGGTTGTCACCCTCATAATATCCGTCTGAAGGTTTACGGTGCCTTTCCCGTGATGTTCTCTCCTCACCCTTGTTGCTGCCACCCTTGATTGACTCTTCACCAAGATCTCCATTGCTGTGCCTTGAGCTTCGTCGAGACCTTTCATTTCCGTAGAGATCGTCATCGGTGCGGGATCTCCGAAGCGGTTCGAAGTCTGTGCTCTCAGCCGTTCGTCTGTTCTTAGAATTTCTTGGTGTCTTCTCACCAACATCGCTTTTGGAGCCAGTCTTCGACCTCTTCGGCTTCTCCCGTAAACGTTCCCATTCCTCAGGATCTGAGTGGTATTCTCCGTTTACACCTGAGCGCCGACCCTGCGACTTTGGGTCACTGTTCGTAGGCAACACCTCGGATCTCGAGGACTCGTATTGGCCTCCGCTCGCTAATCCAGTGTCGTCATTTCGAGCGTTGTCCTTCACCACCTGGTCTGCTGTGAAAAAGACAGATGTGCCTAATCCTAGGCCCAAGGCAGGAAAATCGGTTGCACCGCTCGTTTTCTCGAGATTACGGTCACCGTCAGTGGTACGTAATAGTTGTCTCGGAGTTGTGTCTTCCACGAGCTCAGAAGGGACTTGTTGTGCTGGAGACGGTAGAGACGCATCCACAGAAGAGCGGGAACGCTCTCGACGGCGTCGGTCACTCTTGCTCGGTCTAACAGTGCTAGATGTGTTATCCTTCTCACGTAGGTCGTTTCCGCTTCGCTCGCCACCATCTTCCAAGGCGAGAACAGTCCTCGACTTAGCCTCGGGTGGGACTGTGGTGGGATAACTCCCTATGAGACCCAGATCGCTCACTGTTTCAGCAAAAGGGCTTTGATAAAATGCTTTCTGTGGGTTACTTTCAGCCGTCTCTGCTGGTAATGAGCCTCCTCGCCGCCCTTCAGGCCCACCATTGAGAGAAGCCGACTTGGCTTCCTGAGGGTTAGATTCTTCTTCAACACCGTGGTGAACGATCCCCAGAGGATCCTCCGCGGGCTGACGTTCCGGAAGCTCCTGGGCGATTTCCTCGGCTTCTGTATCATTGATCGTCCAGGCACGGCTTATTTGGGGTCTATCATCGACGACGGGCACTTCCTTCTCAAGTTTCTCTGCTTCCTTCTCATCTAGAGTCCATGCCCGACCTACCCCAGGCCGCTGCTGGGTTTCTTCGGTGTTTGAAATCGCCTCTTCAGTAACTTCATCCGGAGTTGGAATATCTGCATTCTGCTGGCCTTGAAAGCCTGAATCAGGTCCGTAATCAGGGCGCTCATATTCCGGTGTCACCACCTCGTAGACATAAGTGTCGTGATCGCCCCACGTAACTTTGGATTCCCTCCGCTCAAGTGGTTCGCCGATATCCTCGGATGGCTCTTTCGATTTGGGCTCAATGATGGGCGTTTCGTCCCCTGCAACACTGTGGACCTGGCTACCAGGCGGTGTGGGCTCAATCAATCCAAGAATTGGAACAGGCCAAGGGTGTAACAAAGGATCGTCATCCAATTCGAGGCCAAATTGTCGATAGGTGAAGGGGTCGAAGGGATGTGAGCTCCTAGGCTTGGGCGCTCCGGGAATGATCTCTACTAAAGTTGCTCCAAAGTCGTCTCGATGCTCAGCCTTGTCGTTGTGTTCTTGGAGATGTTCTCTGATTTCTGTGGGAACGAAGAATGCACTATAATCGTTATGTTGGACCGGTGATGGCGTTGAACGGACTCGTTGAGCTGCCATTCTGGCAATTCTTTCCTGCTGCGTCTCGGGTGACGAAGAGGGATCCTTCTCTCTCGATTTCTTTAAGCTGGACTTTCGGGTGGGAGTTGCCTCTTCGCGTGACCTACTCTTGTTATCTTTACTGGCGATAGAGTCCACGGCCACAGCTGCAGCCGCGCCGGCAACAGCACCTTCGACGGCTCTCTTTTGACTCGACTCTTTCCGCTTTCGTTCTTCAGCCTTTTGGTGTTCCTGATAGAGCCTCTCCAATTCACGGTCAATTTCAGCCACTCGTTTGTCAGCGTCGAAAGAGCTTCCATCTGCGTCAGACGAGCGTTTTGGCCTTGGTGCAGTCTGGTCGCGCAGGGGCTCAGGTGGCTTTTGGGTGGACTCCAGGGAAACAGTAGCATCGGCTAGCCTTCTTGGATCGTTGTCGCCGATACTACCTCTTCCCCTTCTGTCCCTACCATTGGCGCGTTCTTCCTTCTCGCGCTGCTCGTCGGTCAGGTTGAAATTAACGCTGCTTTTGGTCCCTTGGGAAGGCAACTTGGCTGGAATTGAATCTCCTGCGACAGGGCTCGACGCTCTCTGGCCTTTCCATCGTGTCTGTCTCTCGGACTGGGTGCCTTCTGAGATATTGTTGTCGATGAAAGGTGCGACAGGGACCATTGGTTGAGGCTGGTATAGGGGCACGGACGTTGACGATACTCTGGTAGTCTGCGGAGAGGTAGCCTTGGACGGTGGATCTGATATCGGCCGAGGTTCTAATTTACGCATCGGATCTAGCGGACTGTAAGTTGGTGGCGGATTAGATTCCTGCGAGAGTGCATTCGAAGCCATCCAGCCACCCAGGGCGCCTCCCGCACTCGCCAGGGCCGCCGTTTCGACTGAGGAGATGGGAAAGGATGGCGCATGCCCGAGGTTTGCTCGTCCCAAACTATTCTGGTATTGTCTCTGATCATCTTCCCTGAAGTTGTAGCCCGATACTGATGGTTGGCCGCCTTGAGTGAGATGCTCTCGGCTCTGGGAAGCAGAGAACCCTCCACCGTATGCCATTGCTGTATCCACACTGCTTTCGGAGTCGCCTCCGCCATCTGTGTCATACCATTCATCGTCCTGTCCGCCTGAAGTTTCGTGATCGGCCATGGAGATTCGACGTCCGTCTGCATGCCTGCCGGCTGGACCTGTATACTTATCAGCTTCCTGTTTTCGCCTACCTTTTTGCTCTCGTCGATTAGCTTCGCCAGCAAGGGCAGTACCCGTGATAACCAGGTCTTCCATCGCAGCCACGGGGTTGTTCCGATGCTGCTTGCCCTGCCTCTCTCTTTCTCGGAGTCGCTTCTGGGATATCGTTCTGCGAACGGTCCCCTCGCCAAATCGTAGATCTGCGTCGGATGAGGAACTCGAGGCATTTGAGAAATTGAAGAGGCCTTTCGGCTTCTTGCCCTTCCTTGAGTTAGCCGATGGGCTGGTGAAGAAGCTCATCAGTCCACCTGTCCCTTGGTTGGTCGTCGAGAGGTCGACATATGAATGCATTGGAGATACTCGTTTGGAAAAGTATTTCCTCCTCGAACTTGGTGATCGACTCCTGCTTTTACTTCGACGCCGGTGTTCTGCACCGAGAGCTGCAGATCCAAGGGCAACCCCAGCTGCGCCTACTCCAGCGCTCAATGCTGCGCCACGAGACATCGCGTGAGAACGTGAGCTCGAGGACGATGAACTCGATCGACGGGCTCGGTGTCCTCTTTGGGCCAAAGATGTTTTCCTTCTCCCCGCCCCTTGACGGCTATGCGGTCTTTCAAATTTCTCGTCATCGTATCGTCGAAGCTGGTGCTCTTCTTGAAAACTGACACGGCTCTGGTCCGCAGGGCGCCCGGCTCTCACAGGATACGTGTCATCGAAGTCGTGTTTCTGTTTGACCATTGCTTCCCCGAGTTTCGCCGCCCCATACCCGGCTAAGCCCCCTACTACCATCTTCTTCTTGACCGAGGAGTGTTTCCGAAGATTTTCATCCGAGCTGTATCTATACATCTTGTCTACCCGTGTCGTACTCCCATGCCGGCTCCCAGGGGACGGCCTCCTCCGGCGATAGTCATGTCTGCGGGGGGCATCGGCGGGTGAGCTCATGGGATCGAAGCAATATTTACAAACCCCAATTGTCTCGGTGTATTCCTCGAATCGCGCTACTGCTTCGGGGTCTCGCCACCAATCGATGAACCTTCCAAAAAGCCCCTGATGTTTATGTCGGTGAGCATGATGCATTTGGGTTCCCTGTGATGCAGGGTAGCCGTGGGCCAATCCGGCAGCGTTTGTTGAGTCTTGATGCTGGCCGGATGAGGGTGGATGGTGATGGTGGCCAGAGACGTAAGCACCAGCTGCTGCTCCAGCAAGCGCCGCGGCGCCGCCATACAAAGCTGCGTTTGAATACTGGTGTGAGCCACCAATTCCAGCAGGGGCAGAATATGGGGTTGACGCCATTTGCGCACCCAATGAAGGTCTGTTGGGCGTTTGATATGCACTGGACGATGAACCTCCACCTCCAGCTCCACCTGCACCTCCACCGGCGTAATACTCGGCGGCCAGGCCCATGGCAGCAGTCCCCGAGGCTGGGAAGGAGCCAATCGTGCCAGGAGCGTGTCCGAATGGTGCATGATTCCCTTGAGGGACGGGGCTGGTTCTGGGGCTCACCCCGTAGTAGCTATGCTTGGAAGGCTTATTGGATCCCAAGTTCAGCTTCTGAGGAGGCTTTGAAGGGGTCGTCTGCGATCCCACATCACCATCATAACTGGCATTATCGAAATAGCTAGCAGCAGCGCCGACTTGACCCATACTGCTTGGCTCAGGAGGAGGTTTGGCTTCGATGGTCGGCTCCAGAAGATGGGCCTGCTCTGCGCTGGTGACAATATTTGGGGCATTGGGGCGTACGCCGGGCTGGAAGGCCACTGATTCTCCGTTGTCGCCATAGTACTCTGCGGCTAGACCAGGTGGCCGGTATGGCTGAGAATAAGTAGACGGGACCTCTCCAGGGAACTGATTTTCAGGTAGAGAAGCGCTATTGTTCTGGTAGACGCGGGCGCTCTCCTTTCCACTTGACTTGCTGGACTTGCGAGAGTCACGAGGGCTATCTTCCTTCCTCGGCCTCCGTGAATCGTTGTCTTCCTCGTTCCCCCGACTCTTCTCATATTTCGTCCTTTTATCGGTCCTACTTGACCGTTTCCGCGTGTCACTGGGTTCGGAATCTTTTCGTAAATCATTTCGGTATCGATCAGATATTTGTGAGGGTTCTTCGGTGATCGTTGTCGCATAAGTGATATCAGTCTCTTCGTAGTTGTCGCGACGGCTGGATTTGCGGCGCGAAGATGGAGTGGTCATCGCATCTGCAGCGGAACGCCCCTTCGGAGAGTCTTGGTCGTCATTCCTCGGTCGCTCGGGCCTGGCAGATGCTTCTGAGCCGGCTCGATGCCGGCCTGAGCTGGATTTTCGCATGGCACATCAGATGGAAATGCAGAAGCGTCAGGGCGTTCTCGACATGCGGACTTGGCTCGATCGAACGGAAGAGATGAGCGCTGTCAGTACCACTTGTATCATACCTACGACGCGTTTGATGTCGATGGTCGCAGTTCACGGAATGATGATGGTCGGAAAGATGGTTGTCCTGCGCAAATGAATCAAAAACAGTACCGAGTACGGCCTGCTGCGCTGGCAGTAGCGATGATGGAATTGTCTTTCGCGTCTTGCAAGTGCGACCTGCTACGAGATTTGAGTGGCTGGGCATGGCGACCAGGCTACCTGTACCTATGCAGCCTGGGGTGGCCTAGGTATGCAGTACAACCCGAACTCCGAAGCCTGGGAACTTGCCACCATGGTCATTTAGGGCTCGCCTAGGTGCGTGCCTAGCGAGCGGTAGGGAGCTGCCACAACCCTCACTCGGGAAGCCCACAACAGCCTCAAATCAGGGCAAATCTACTCGGTTCACACATTTCACTTTGGATAATCTGTGTATACGTGGAGTTACTGAGCACTGATAAATTACCAGTCGTCGATTGAACACAACCAACCGTTCGTGGTTCCAAACCACCCGACAACCCATACGCTCCCTTCCTTTGGTTCAGCTGGACAGGGGACAAGGGATGCCGGAAGCACTCATACTGATTGGAGCAGTGGAAACCGAAGGCTTTAGCGCACTTTAGTCATTCTGTCAACTAAAAGACATGGATTGCTTTACTCCTTGTGAGTGTAATACTTCCTCCAATCGTGGACATCCTTAAATCCCAGAACTTCTCGGATTTTCTTGTTAGAGAGTGGCGCCTCCCACTCACCCATCTTCCGCGTGATTGGCGTGTTGGGACAGTGCATCTTCAAGAACTCCTCTGTCGGTACTGTCGTCGTGATAGTGTCGTTGGTTGCGTTGAACACCTGGAAGCCGAGCCCGTCCTTTGCGACGCACAGGTCACAAATCTGACCAAGATCCCGAGCATCAATATAGCTCCAGGCATTTCTTTTCCTGGTTTCTGGTTTGCCTACGTGTCGGGGGAAATTGAGCTCGTATTCATGTGGTTCAATCACATTGCCGATCACCAAAGCGTAGATATCGATATTGAATCGTCGGGCAAAAGTTCGTGCAATTCGCTCCCCAGTCAGTTTGCTGCAGGCGTAGGTATCCTCCGGGTTGCGATCGTAAGTTTCCTCATCCAGAGGAAAAGAATGGTAGTCATCGTCTCCCTGCGTGAAGCAAACACCGTAGGTCGTCTCGCTGCTGGCAATGACAATCTTCTTGACACCCAACTTGCAAGCAGCCTCGATCACATTGTATGTGCTCATGACGTTGCCCCGAAAAGTCTCGCTGTCTGGCACGATCATGTTTCGGGCATACGCTGCAAAGTGGATGACAGCGTCAGGAGGCCCAGGATGCTTCGGAAGAGCGAACTCGCTCATCGAAAACAACGACGACAATGCATTGAATACTTGAGCGCCATCAGTCAGATCTGTCTTCATCGTGTACACACTCTTTCCCGGAGGGATGTGGTCTTTCGGGAAGTCCACCAGATCCAGATTTAGCACCTGGTGTCCTTTATTCAACAAATACGGAATGCAGTGTCGTCCGGCCTTCCCAGAACCCCCCGTGAAGACAATTCTTTTGCCCAAGGATGTAGCCATTTTCAAAATTGAGGCTAGAAATGATATAGCAGGGAATCGAAAATCTGCTTTGAAGACAGACAGAGATGGCAACACGTTTCGAAATTTCTCTGAAGTCATGACATGAGGTTCGATCGGGGAAATCACCGATCAGATTCCGTGCACAGGGTCCGTGGTAGCCGAAAGAGGAAGCTCCATCTACTATCAAAACACGGCACTTCGCTTCCTTTGCAACTTGTTTGCATCCTGGTCGCTTCGACGCCGAAAATTGAAAATGCTCGATTTTGGTTTGATTTGTGGTTGCTGTGCAGGCACGGGCGTGAGAAAACTTGACTGTGAAGCAGCTCCCGACATGTACGGACCTGGGGGATATCCCCCCCAGCCGTTGACATATGGTGCCACGGGATATTGTCCTTGTTGCGTCTGAAGATAAGCTGATTGTCCTGCTTCGGAGTGGTGCCGCTGATCTCGAGGAGGAAGATCTGGACGGGCAGATGCATCTTCCCGTCCATACATTTGCTGGAGCCACTGAGTCTCCTGTTGAATTTCCGCATGCTTTTTCCTCCGGTGTTCTTTCTCCTCCCTTTCCAACAGCTGCCGGGTCAATCGTTCCTCCTCCTCTTCACGGCGCCGCCTTTGCCTTTCTTCCTCTAGCGCCTGCCTCCGCAGTCGAGCAGACTCTGCTTCGATCTCCCACTGAGTCCGCGGGTCTGTGGATGGTATTCGCGGGTCGTGGGTAGGGGAAACTGATTGAGGTCTGGCGTCGGATTGTAGGATTGCACTTCCAGCAGTTGGGCTAGCCGGGTTGGATTTCTTGCTGACAGAAAGGTTAAAGGCTTCCTTCAAAGAACCAAAATATACGTCACGGATCACCACAGCCCCAAGCAGGAGGACTACCTCGAACCCTTTCAGATCCTCAATGTCCACCCTCTGCAGATTTGGCTCGTACAAGGTCAGCTCTTTCAGAGCCTTGAATATTGACACCGTGATGTCTGGGTCTCTGTGTTTTCCTTTACCTTCTATATCCGTACTCTTGCCAGACATGAAGCATGCCAGATCTTTTGAGAATTTGCTGTCCTTCTTCCACTTGAAGACAATTTTGGGCGTGATTTCGGAAGCAGCTGGATCATACTGTGTCCGATCAAGCGCAGACCCGGATGGAGCCCGGAAGGTCTGTTGTGGCATCTCGAATTCCCATGATGCAGATCTGTTGAAACTTGCCGTCTTGTGTCTCACCACAATCTGTTGATCTGGATTGTACAGCTGTATGACGAACTCGGACGGGAGGATGGGTTCGGGAGGGGGTGGGATCGCACCATTCAATCTGGCTTGCTCGGAGAGAGGAGGAGGTTGGGTCCATTCAGGAATGAGTAGGACTTCGGCATAGAGAACTTCAGGGCTGAAGGCATCGTATAGTGCTGCCGCATATCGGTTTCTCGAAGCATGTTGGTCTGGGTCTAAATGTCGTACCGTGTAAGAGGGCTCATATTCGGCTCCATGCTGGGAAAAGAGAAAGGTGGACAATTGCTTGGGTTTGTCTTTGGATGGTTTAAGGACAAAGGCTGCAATTCTTAGCAATGGGGATGGTGGAAGGAAGATAGGCAGTCACACGTACTCGGCAGATTCTCATCTAGCATCGCGCTTCAGGTAGTCGTGATTTCCTTGGGGACCAGAGACGGAGCGTCCTGTGGCCAAACAGACACACTGTTCCTTAGTCGAGCGTTTGTGAAGTATTGCAAAACTTCGATCCGTCTCTACAGATGTGAAGACGCCGGTTTCGTCGACAGGCGCAGGCAGGAGTGTCCGACCGCGCCCTTTTATTCGAATATCAGAAACACAGCCACGCTTCGTGGTGGGCAAGCACACGACGCGGCTAGTGGGCTTTTAGGCGACCCAGAGGCCGCCAGGCTGTTCTTCCCCCGAAGCTCGCGCCTCAGGAACCCAGGCAAGGCGGCTCTCCGCCGCACCGAGAATTGCTCAGTACTTGTACACTAGTGGTTCAACTACTTCGAGGTATCGACCCGCCGTACGTAGTGCCTACCCTAGGTAGGTACTTCATCGAGCACTCTCCCTGCGGCTTACATGGACATTCCACAATCAAGACGCGTGTGGCGCAGTCTACAGAACCGGCCATTGGCCATGGCTTAGCTGTCAGAAACAGCACTTGGGAGTCTACAAAAGAAAACAGCATCAGCCCAACGCACACTGTGCTGAATATGATTAGGTGGTGATGGATTGTCGTCGACTTCAATCCATGTCCTCGTGGCTATTGCAACCGCAACGCCTCTTCGTCGAGGACACCAAACAGATTTTCTACCTCTTTCAGCACATCCTGTATCCCGAGGCTTAGCTGGCCTGTGACTAGGGCATACGTGTACAAGAGACTGTAGTCTTCATCTTTAGTCTTCTGTTCTTGCGCGTCATTCTGCCGATACTCGAAAATCTTTGCCAGGAGCCTATCCCGCGTCTGGTCAATGCTGGGCAACGCGTCACTCGTGATTGAGTATTCCAACTTCATGGAACTTGCAAGAACGCTGAACAAGTGACTGATTCGCCGGCACAGCTGTGCTCGTTCGTTGGCCGTGGCCTTCAAAAGTGCCTCCTCGCCAGGGGATGTGTTCAGATCCTTGAGAATCACCTCGTTCATTGCATGAAACGACTCAAGCATCTGCTCGGTGCTTTTAAGAATCCGACCATAAATCGCATGTGGGAATGGCCGGCGGAGCTCGAACTCGCTTTTGCTAGCCTCCGCCAGACCCTGGAGCTTAGCCAGGAATCTTTGCAGATAGAATTCCTCGCGCAGGTTCATATATCGGTCTGGAGGGACACCCTCGGTCAGTGTGGCCAGCGGGTCCCTCTTCCAGATCAAGCCCATACGAAGCCACAGAAGTGCAAGGCCGTCTTTCAGTTTTTGCCTAGCCGATATGGGCCAGACGGCGCGTGTAATGATCAATCCCCATATACAGCCGGAGATTACTGCGACGACACGATGTCCGGCTATTGCAAGAATCAAGGGATTCTTCGCAGCGTCCTCTTCATCTCCATCATCTTCGTCGTCACGACCAGCAAGACTGTACGCGTACAGGGCACTGAGGTTGTATGTCAACATGATGAATCGTCCCATCGGGCCTTTGCCTTTCCCAATGATCATGTATGCAGTCCAATACGCCATGCAAACCCCAAACAGGCACAGGACGAAGGGGTTGTCATGTGATATTTCCCACGCGGCCACCGCGAGAGCAGCTCCAAGACAGGTTCCAAGTACCCTCGAGTAGCCTGTCGTGTTTGACGCGCCAATTGTCATGCTGCACACAAGCATGTAAGACACTAAGCCCCATTCCCCTCGCCAGTGCTGGTATAATGGACGTGTCGAGGGGATAAAACTGGGAAGTGCGTACAACATGGCGCCTAGTCCGACTTTGATTGCAAATCTGACATCGTCGCGTCGGAGGAAAGACGCTACAGCGTAGAGGTAGCGGAAAAATAGTTGTTTGAAGCGAGGTTGATCGGGCCATTGAGGCACATCCTGCTGTGGAGATAGCTTGAGTTGCTTGTCGCTAAACTTGACATCGAGCTCTTCAGACCTTTTGGCCAATTTGGCAAAATCGGGATCAAGCCCAGCCAATTCTGTTTGGCTGTATGGTGATCGCCAAAACTTCAGCCAATTCCACGTCCTCCCGGCAGGGTGCTCGTCAACCTCAAGTTGGAGCTCGTCCAGGATGATCAAGTACTCTTTCACGGATTCAGCCACTTCCACCAAGGAGAATGAAAAGTGGCCACAACAAGCAGCGGCATCCTCCCAATCTGCTTGAACAGGGATCGGTCGAGATCGGTCCATATCTTTCTGACCATATACAACGAGAATTGACTCTTGTCGAGACTGTTTGTACAACTCTAACGCCCGATCAAGGCTCGCTTTGAATTTGGGATTGGTGGCGACGGCATAACGATTTGAGGCATCGAATGGGAAGTCATCAAGTATTTCCTTCAAGGTGAAAGCCAGAGATCTCATGGAAGGGCCAAGATTCTGAATGAAAAGCTCAAATATTTGTGCGGGCGACCGAAACGACGGATGTGTTGGGCCCGATAACGACCCGGACAGCGGTCTGACCGATCCCTGCACAGGCGAGGGTGGTGTGAAGAAGCTCAACAAATCTCGCTCGCCCGTGCTGACTTTAGAACTCTCCATAGAATCCATCCAGCGCGGTGTAGCAGTTTGCTCTGCCGCAAATTGCACAGAACCAAAGGCTGGTTGCTTGATGACGACAAACTGCATGGCTGCAGCACTCCGCAGGCCGCCAATGCTCTGTGATATTCGCTGGATACATTGCGCTAGCCTAGCCTCGATCAGGGCTTGTCTCTCAGTGCCCAGCAAGTAATGTTCATATCTTGCTTCTTTCAGATTCTGCGGGATGGTGGAGGAAAGCTTTTTGTGCTGCTCACCAATGCCCTGGAAGACGCTATCTTCCAGCTCTGCCTCCTCACCGGACAAGAAGCTGCTCGTGATCAAGGCGAGCATGTCAGCAAGTGCGTCAGTTACCTGAAGGAGATTTTTCCTCAACTTGTGTCTGGCGGAGATGGGGAAGATCAAGAAAGAAACAAGCATCGTAGCTATTACACCAGCGACGATCATTTTGAGGATCTGTGAGATAGACTTCGTGGAGTAGTCGCCGGCCTGAATGGCTCCTTCTTTCGTGAGGATGGTGACCAGGCTCAGAGATGCCAGAGAGCATGCTATGTTCACTAAGGGATCGTTCCTCCTCAGCTTGATCCAACCAACGAGTCCGAGACCACCCCCTACAAAGACAACCAGAACAATGGCATGCCCAACCTCAATAAGGTGGACGGTGTCTGCAAAAAAGGCGGCGATGGTCATGCTGAGGAGGGACACGACGGCCACATAGAGGAAGGCGGACGTAGCGAGCAGAAGGGCATCCAGCATACTCCCAAGAGACCTCGCCGGGTGAAAATACACGGTGATCGTGGCGACCATGTGCTTCGAGTTCTGCCTGCCAAACAGTTCGCTCAACCAGGGAACAAAGGTGGCCAGACTGCCCACAAAGTAGGCCAGTGCACACTTGAAGATTCCCTTTCCGGTGTCCGAGAGCATGAACTGTTTGGCTCGACTCACACATTCCAAGCTCTTTGACACCCAGGCGCCATGACTCGGTCCAGAGTCACGTGCGCTTACTTCTTCGATTTGCCCCAGTAAAGGAGTGGTGTCGTCCGCGGTGTGGTGAGAGACATTGACGCGGTCGAAGTTGTGGAGGGTAAAAGTTTTGCTTAACCGCTTGCCAGAAGAGGGATCGATATAGGATGATTGACGAAGCTAACATGCAGGACATTAGCCAGGGACTTCCGCAGGAGCTGGCGTAGACCTACGCTCGCTCTAGGATTCAGATCGCTGTTGGCACTCTCGGGATCTTCGCAGTTGGTGGCCATGCTTCAAACGGGCTTGGGCTGTCTGTCAAACTCCCGGAAAATCATCGCCGAGACATGATACAGACCATATCAATATATCACATAGGTTGATAGGTGAAATTGAGGAGCTCTTCCTAGGGAGGAACGGCACCCAGGGTGGCCTGGAGGAACGGATGTTGGATGGGTTTGTTTACGGCAAGTCGCCAAAGGAAATGGAACCGAACCACGGCCCGACATTCACCCGGCATCTCGTTCATCGCTGAAGGGTCTCGACAAATATGCAGCGATTTGGAAGCTCGAGCAGATGCTCCTATACCTGGACCTCCGCTGGACTCTAGATGTCAAAGGGAACCACTTCACTCTTCATTGACAGAGTATGTCCCTAGAGATAGAGGAGGGAGCGTGAGAGACCATGAGTGAATGTAGTTCAACTGCTTGCACCACAAATCTGGAACGCTTGGCATCTTGCTATTTCCACGATGAGATATTCTCACGAAATTCATGTCCCACAGCATTTCTGCATTTCCTATTTCCTGGCCTGCCCTAACAAAGGAGCAGACCGCCAGCTGGTCGTTGGAAACCATCAAGGCTACGCTGGCAAGGATGGTTCATGACGCCCGCGCCAGGCCTCCCGAATATTTGCGAGAGCTTTTCAAACAATGGCGGAATCGGCCTGTAGCAGAAATTGAGGCTGATCAGCAGATCATTGACCCACGAACCCCAGAAGTCAACAGTGTCTCAGCACTAGTGGAGTCTGAAGTCCTTAGTCAGAGCGACTTCGACTTTTCGATATCGAATTGTCTCTACAGTGCCACAGACGACCTCACACTGGAGGTCCGAGGAGATACATTGCCGCCACGTATAGCCTTCGAGGTGAACGGATTACCTGGTTCGCTCACTCTGGTGTCGGTCATCTCACGTCGCAGCTGACATGGGGTAGGTCTTTGGGTATTTCCTTCCCTCTTACCTCCTCGAGTTCAGATTGATTTGCTGAACAAGCTACTTCATCGTGATCTCTCCAATCCCACGCACAAGACTAATCTCAACCACCACCATCATATCTCCTACCCGCGGAGCATTGATGGTCCGTCCGTCTCCTCTTTCTTCGCAGCAGACCCCAACACGATGCACTACCCAAAGGATTCCGTAATCCACAAGCCTATCACCTCAGCGCAGATGCTTGAAACTAAATTGCGATGGATGACTTTGGGTGGTCAGTATGACTGGACGAACAAAATCTATCCCGCGGGCGAATCACCGCCGTTTCCCGACGACATAGCCGCTCTCTTGAGGAAATTATTTCCAAAAGTTGTCGCCCAGGCCGCCATTGTCAACTTCTACAGCCCCGGAGATACACTGAGTGTGCACCGAGATGTCAGTGAGGCATCCGAAAACAGCCTCATCAGCATCAGTTTTGGTTGCGATGGGCTCTTTCTTGTGGGAGGCGAAGACGAGGCTAACGCTGCCGTCATTCGGTTGAGGTCGGGAGATGCCATTCTCATGTCTGGAAGATCCAGATATGCCTGGCATGGCGTGCCAAAGATTCTCCCGGATACATGTCCGGCCTGGCTGCAAAATTGGCCAGCTATAGCGGACGCTGGACCATACCAGCATTCGCGAGGCTGGATAAGCAGAAAGAGAATCAATCTCAACGTCCGTCAGATGACCGACTAAGGCCGTCTGTTTGATGTTCAAGCAGTTTGTGGATGGTGACCACGACAGGTTCGGAGCGGTGGAATCATGCCGAAACAGGCAGGAGACGTTTGTCCTCATTATCAATGTGTTCTAATCTCTGCCAATGGGTGGTGGAGATGTGCGTCTCCGAGCTAGAATCGCTCGTGTACCCCCTCATATAACCGATCCACCTCACGAGGGGCACGGCACGATAGGCCTTTCTTGAACTTCAAGGATATTGTCAAGTAATTACTGGCTTCATTTGCATCCACCATCATGGTCGCCAACTGGGAAACTCTTGCTAAAGCTAAGAGAGAAGCGATACTGAACTCAATCCCTGAGAAATGGCGACTCGAAAAGATCCCCAGCCCTGAGGAGCAAAAAGACGTCACTGGCTCCTACATTCAGCAATTCCTAGATGAGAAAGAAATCGTAATCACCGAAACAGACGCGGTCGGCATCGCCGAGAAGGTCGCAGCCGGTGAATGGTCCGCGGTCGATGTCACACAAGCTTTCTGCCACAGGGCTTCTTTGGCTCATCAGTTGGTGAACTGTCTGCACGAGACTTTCTTTGATGCTGCTCTGGAGTCCGCCAAATCACTTGACGAGTACTTTGCGAAGAATAAAAAGACAGTTGGGCCTCTCCACGGAGTCCCTGTCTCTCTGAAAGATCAGTTCCATGTTAAGGATGTCGAAACTACGATGGGATATGTCGGCTGGATAGGGACTTTTGAAGGCAATGCAGCTGATTCACGCAGAGGCCAATATGAAAGCATAATGGTCACAGAACTCCGAGCCCTCGGTGCAGTGCTTTACTGCAAAACCAGCGTCCCACATACTTTGATGAGTGGTGAGACTGTCAACAACATCATTGGCTATACCTGGAATCCCAAGAATCGATATCTCTGCTCCGGTGGTAGCTCTGGGGGCGAAGGAGCGCTGATCTCACTGAGGGGATCTCCAGGCGGATTTGGTACGGACATCGGAGGCTCAATCCGTATTCCTGCCGCGTTCAATGGGCTTTATGGTATTCGGCCCTCGTTTGGGAGGTTGCCGTACGAAGGAATGGCCAACAGCATGGATGGGCAGAACAGTATCTTGTCGGTTGTCGGCCCGCTGGCCACTACCGCTCGTTCTGTCCGACTGCTCACAAAAGCTATCCTCTCACAACAGCCCTGGCTTCATGATCCCTTGGTCATCGACATGCCATGGCGTGATGCCCAAGAGCAAGCGATCCACGATATTGTCAAATCTTCTTCGCAGGGAGGTCGACTGAGCTTTGGAGTATTGGAAACGGATGGCATTGTGAACCCTCTCCCTCCCGTTGCTCGAGCGGTGTCTATGCTCACCGAGGCTCTTAGCAAGGCGGGACACCAGGTCATCGAGTGGAAGCCACCTTCACACCAGACAATATTGGACATAACATTCATGACATGGGCTTATGATGGTGGAAAGGACGTACACAGTGCCTTCGCACTTTCTGGCGAGCCTATGTCTCCTCAAATTAAAATGAGCTTCGGTGATGGGCCGAAGCAGGAACTGACCGCCTCACAGATCGCCGCTAACAATATTGCGAAGCGGAAATACCAGAAACAATACATGGATTATTGGAATAGCACTGCGCAACTGACGAACACGGGTCGACCTGTGGATGGTTTCATTTGCCCTCTTGCGCCTTACCCGGCTGCGAGACCAGAATTATATAAGTATTACGGATACAGTGTGTTTGTCAATGGGCTTGACTACACAAGCGTTGTCGTACCGGTTACCATCGCGGATAAAGCGACCGATAAGTATGTGGAAGGATATACACCACTCAATGATCAAGACAAGGAGGCTTTCGAGGCTTATGATGCCGACTTGTACGACGGCGCTCACGTTAGCGTGCAGATTGTCGGGCGGAGGTTTACAGAAGAGAAGATGTTGGCAATTGCAGAGTATGTCGGCAGCTTGGTCGGGAAATAGATGGACACACGCCGTGAGAAAGAAGGTCGATGCATGGATATATCTATACAAAGAGTCGTCCGGCAATGCGCAGACTCGGAACCACGAGACTTCACTCGGTCGGCGCATGGTCCAATCCAACATCTTCCAAGCACGACCACAAGTCTGGCCCGACCAGTTCGCGCAGCCTTCTCTCCTCTTCAGCAAGATCATCTTCCAATGAAGGCGTCGATGTTTTGCCTGAACGCTTCTTCCTGCCTGCAGACGCATTTTTATTCTGCTTTTTTGTATTCAATGACTTTTCTGACCTCGATGTCTGTGACATTGTATCTGTATAGATGTTCTCCAAGATTTGGTCAAAGTCGACGTTCTCGTTGGCTTTCGACTTGGCCCCATCTTTTCCATCGACCTCAGCGGTCTGAGTTTCTAGTTCGGGTAATGGGTCGCAGACCGGAGCATTCGGAAAAACCAGTGTTGCCTGAGTCTTGACAAGAGGATGTGAATTAGCAGGATACCGACACTGACTCGGAAAGTCGCAGTGTTGGCAACACCCCGAGACCCGCTCATTCTCGAGGAGTTTGAGAATGCCTCGGCGCCATGCTCCCCAGCTTTTCCAGGCCACATAGTCAAATTCACTCGAACACGCCTTGGGCTTCTTCTTTTTCCTCAGACTCGGTCGGTCGGTCTGGCCTGAACAGTAATAGTGTCCGTCCACCAGGCAGCGGCGGGTAACGCCAAGCGGATATCGCGAATGACATAAGTGGCAAATCCACATCCATGGTACCGGCTGCTGCTGAGGAGGCGGAGGAGGCGGAGGAGGGTGAGGGAGTCTGTCGTCGCCTTTAGGGCTAGATTCGGTGGAATACTTTGTGGGATCGAAAGGTGGCATCGAGTCAATTGACGGGGATACTGGTTCATACGTTGGCGTCCTCGGTGATCGCACTCCCTTGTCGGACTCGAAATCGACATAGGACGTGTCGAGTCTGGGCCTCGACATTCTGCCTTGTTGCCTAACAGTGCTCAGAGATGGTAATGGTATGACAAACGTGCAAGAGCCGTGAGATAATCTTGTGTCGAACCCTGATGTGAAGGACAGCACGAACGGAGAGGAAATCTGTGATACAGCAGCATCGCACCGTTCTTTGTCATGTTGCAGAACAATGAGACCGAAATAGGAACGGAATAGCGTTATGATCATGCGCGGATCCCAGAAGGTGACAATGGAAATGGAAGTCACACTGGTTTGGGAACAAAGAACATGTGTATGTAGGGCACAAGAAAAACTACCGCGAAAGAAGGTCCAACAACAGTGAATCGCCAGGCTGAAAAATAGAGTGAACTGACTCCAATTCATTAGGAAGGGACACACAGAGCACCTCTCGTCAGGAAACACAAGTACTTCATTGCGAAGAAATCAGGATCCAAAAATAAAGGGTGATAGCAGCAGAGCCGGCTCTGATAAATCGGACCCGAGACATCAACGATGGCTGCTGTTTCTCTTAGGTTGCTGCAAGAATAGCTCCTCGTGAGGCTGCACAAGATCTGGCGGAATGCATCCCAAAGGCCCCTCAGAAATGGTGCTTCGTTCCGCTGCTCGTTGTTGTCTTGGAAGTGAGTTGGCAGGCGAATGCCTTCGTGGGCACAATTAGACTCGCACGTTGTTGACGATGCGCTGGGGGGCAGTGGAAGGTTAGAGTCAAAGTTGCGCAGTGTGTTGCAACACTGTGAAGGGTTAGGAATGCCAACCAAGTCGGAAGTGCAGGGACAGTTCTGCTCGGCTCGAGCCTTGGTAACGTAGACCCTCGCCGTCAGAGCTCAGTACTCGGTACAAATGGCATTGGCACCCAGTCGATGTCTCAGTCTGGCGTCTCTCGTGTGACTTGAGCCGCCAATAGTAGTTGACCCAGTTGATCAAAGGAGTGCCGGTGATTGGCCTCCACAAGGTACTCGGTACCCAGTACGGAGTCCTACTGGAACTGTCAGATCTAGAAGGATGCAGCTTGCTCAAAGAATAGGGAGCCCCTTTTACTATACCGTACTAGTACGCGAGGTACCGAGCGAGCGAGCACACCGTATCAAGAGGCTGGAAGCGGAATACGAGGTACTTGAATTCCATTGGCTCCTGATTGGGGCTCACGTGATACAAGCTCCACATCAACACAAGGCGAGAAGGCCAGTTGCCAGCCTCGCCATTACCAGCATGTGCCACGCGTTAGTACGTACCTAGCCAGCCTCGCGTTGTCTCAAGGTCCGCATCCTGCCACGTCGACTGCAGCCAACCACCCATCTTCGCAACCAGCCATCGTATAATGACCGCAGAGAGTCGACGAGGCTGGGCCTCACGCTTGCGGATAACTACATGTACCTCGTAGTCCTTTGAATACTCGAGTTCTTGGTAGCATTCCATCATCCTCGACCGCCTCTCATTGCAACCCAGAATACGAAGCCCCAAGCTTGACCACTGCGCAGTTGCCATCATTCCTAACACAGACTTTGTTATTTCCCCTTCGAGAACATAACTTGTACACGCCTATCCAAGATTGATCCCACGGCTCCGCGAACTGTTTGTGCTTCCTTGCCGGGTTTCGGGTCCCCTCCTAACTCGCCGCGACCGCTCTCTCCTCGAAGCCATCAATCAGAACCGGTGCCCATAAGGAAACTCCCCGACAGCGCCTCGCTTCTTTGTGGACCCCGACTCAGCCCACCGCCTCCTGTCCGGTTTCGCACATTGACGTCTTTGTTTCACTCACGGACCCAGAGCGAACCATTTCCACACGACAAAACAGCCCAAAGCACCTGCCACTGTCGACCACTACCTTCTTCACCCCTCATACAACCCCCATTGGAACAGGACCATGGTGCAAAGAAATTACGTGATTGCGATCATTGTGATCGTCCTGTTCGTTGTGCTGGCCATTGTGGGCTACGCCATCTATGCGATTCAGAACAGAGTCAGCCTGTTCGCGAAACGGGAGAAAGAGATAGAAGAGGGAGAAGAAGAGGAATAACACTCTCGGAAACCCCACGCGTACGGAAGCGTGTACGTTTCCAACTTGACGACGATAATGATCTTGACAACAAAGTTTCGGCGAACAAAAGGTCGGTTTCGGGATTGATCTACTCGGAAGATGAGCGGCATGCTTGGTTTTGAAAAAGTACAATAAGGATCTGACATGATATGATGAAGCCTTTTGTTGGCCCGCACCGTTGACGGACTTGCTACATGGAATATGCTAATTAGGTTGGAACAACGTATGTGAATATTGTCAAGATGGGAGTTACAATATCATTACGGCAGATTGCCCTGTCTCGGTTTTACAGGTCCGAAATAATGCTGATATTTGCCTTTGGATTTCTCGCACTCTTTCTTCTTTCGTCCACGCTGGTCGGGGACTGTCCATTGGACAATCCATTTATCCCCGGCTCACTCTGCGTCTTCTTGAGTTCTGCAACTTTCACACCCGGTGGGCCCCCCATGCTGCCACCGTTACCGTCCACAGACACAAGAGACTGAGGCATGCGGCGATTCTTATCTTCCCTCACATGTGTTTTCCACTTGTTGACCAACTTGTCAAAGTCCCACTTGTCACCCAACCTTGTATTGACGTTCTCCGTTGGCAGAGAGACCATCTCTTCAGGTGCGTCAGATCCGGCTGATCCAGCAGGCACTTTGTTTATACTCAGTAGTCGCAGCTCTTCGCGCATAGAAGCCCCAAACGTCCTTCGCTCGGGCGGCCACAGCGCCATTTCGCGCGGCCACTGACATCGAGAGAGGTATTCTACCTGTTGCTGTAGCTGGTTCGCCTCTTGCTGTAGTCTCTCAAGTCTTTCTTCCATCTCCTGCACTTTCTGCTGCTCAGTGTTGTATGCCCTTAGCAGTTCCACCTGCCACAACAGATTACGAATCTCGATCGGGTGTGCCATCCAATTTTGAAAGCTTGTTTCCAAGTGTGCAAGGGTGGATTCGGTCCATTGCGCCGCACTTCTCGTCAGGAAATCCGCCTCCTCCGCAATGTTGGAAGTCGTGGGTTGTGCGAGGCGCAGGGCTTGCCATTTCCAGTGGTCGATTGTCGAAGTCAGCAGTTGACGTAGAGGGGCAACTTGGTCGGGACCGGGCGGATTGACTGGGATGGATTGTGGCGTGGAGAAGGGAGACGCTTGGAACAAGGTTGCTGGCGCAGGTAAGAGTTTTAAGCAGAGCGAGGGGAATGTTTGCGCCTGTACGTCAAACTTGAAGGGAGAAGGTTTCGGAGAGGCATGCTTTGTGGCTGCGCGGAAGGAGTCGAGGACCTCGCGCAGAGCGAGTTCGAGAGCGCGAGTCGTTTCGGCATTGCTGGCGGGGTTGAGATCCTGGGCATAGGTAGAGAAACTGCGCTTGATCCCAGAAGGGCTGGATGCGGCACCAGGAGTGGGAGGGACGGCGGCAGCAGTGGCCGGCGAGTCGAGGGTGGTAGGATCCGTAATGACACCGGTAGCTTGCCAGTTGAGCCTGTTCAAGCGCACGTGCATGCCGCCGGGAGGGACACGGTTGAGTTCGATGGCGGAGGAGACGAGAGTGCCCGGTTGAGGCCCGATGCTGGGGCCTGGCGATGCCTGTGATGACCGGGTGTCGTCGTGGTCATTCTTGTCCTTGTCCCGTTTGCTACTTCTCGCCGTGCGGCGCGTGATGCCTCCTCGTAGCCTCCGGATCTCGTCGACATCATGGATCCCATCTGGTTTCTTTTTGGAGATGAACTGATCGAGATGGCGCCCGAGTGAGGAGGAGGTGAACTGCTGGTGACAGTATTGACATTCCTTGTCCTTGACCGCAGGCGCTTTGGCTGGCGGATGCGCCGCGTTCGACTCTTCGGCCGATTCTGGCTCTTGTGATGCTTCGGATGAGGGTGATTCGGCCATGGCGGGCGGTCCAACGTCGCTGAGACATGTAAATGCAGGCCAGGAACGCCTTCTCCTAATCCGAGGAGGGAACAACAGGAAGGAGGAGGCACAGCAGCTTGTCAATGCAATATGAGTGGCGTGAACTTTGGCTGTCCAGTTCTTCGTCCGAGCAGCCCGAGTTCACGGACTCTCGGGATCAATACTAGCCGGCCGTGCGCGGCAGGATCGTCGTCAGGCTGGCAAAGGAATCTCTTGCGAGCACTGAGCACACGCACTGCCACCGCTTATGACGTCGGTCAAGGCAATGGATGGGAAAACGGAAGACGCATCTTTATGTGGTCGTATACGGAACCACGAAGATTGACTGATCGGTGGGATCGAGCCGGCGATAATAGGACAGGTACTATGTTCAGCCTACTGTCAAGTATCGTACATGTACATAACTTGAGATTGCGCTCTAGCCTCGCGCCAGACTCGTCAAGTTCTCGTTTCTATCGGTCGTGAAGGTCCATTTCCCGTGCATACCAAAACATCGTGGGGTATTTCGTTGCTGTTACCAAGAGAGGCTCAACTGCATAATCCAAACAACGCTCCGACTTCTAGAGGAAACTGCCGCCTCCTTCAGAATTGGAGGGTTTCCAACTCTGCCGTCGTCCGGTGGCTCTCAACCGCCTCTCTTCTCTTTCCCTTTTGCTCTGCTCCTCAAACCGTCTTCGGGTGGCCTCTTGATCAATGTTTTCTGTCCGGGCCGCCTCATAGTCGTAGGCGTTATTCACTCTTGCGTCCTCGGAAACTCGAGCTAGGTGATCTTCTCCACCTATCCTGGGTAAGCCAGGGTCCTGATGCTGGATCGTGGTCCTCGGAGGGCTCATCGATGAATTCTGGAAACGGCCTGACACTGCTGGTGTGGCTCTGGCCTGTGTCGACCCTCCGCCCACCATCGTTCCTGGAATGGGCCGTTCCTCGTTGTTGTCGACTGGAGGCGAACTCCTCGTGAGCAAAGGCGGGGGATGATAAATCCTCGGCGGACTTGGCCTTCTCCGGCTGCTTGCCGCCTCGGGTCGTGGTGGTGGTGGTGTCGTCGAAACCCGGTTCGTCTCGCTCGGCGGACTCGCGGTGTTCATCATCTGCCAACCGTCAACCTCGTCAGAATATGACAGAGAACGTTGAGGAGGAGAAGGGTATTGGTAGGGATGGTAATCATCAACGCTTGAAGTGGAGCTGGACTGAGAATGAGAGGCTGAAAGGGCATAAGAGAGGGGCTGAGATGGGCGCTCAGGTGAGCGAGACGATTCATGCTCAAGCAAAGCAACGTGAGAATCACCCTTGACAAGTCCCAATCTTTCCTCCTCGGAGGCATTCTTCATAGCCCGTCTTTGTTCATGGCTGCTAGTTCGATGCGAAAGATTCGGTCGTGAAGGCACGGGGTCTATCTCGGGAGTGCGCGAGCCAGGTCGAAGAAAGTTCGTGAAAGAGAATTGTCGCCTTGCTTCGTGAGGTAGTTTGAGGGCAGGGGATGATGACGGTTTGGCGGGCAGGGGTTTGGAACGGGGTGAGGATTGGGCTGCGATGGTGATTGCTCGTTCTTTCAGCTGCCCTTGGGGGAGTCCATAAATCCGTTCTTGGGCATCCTCGAGGCTCCCTGGGCCGTATGGGACGATGGGTGACTCGGCTTTGGATGGAACAACCTTTATATCGGTCAGAGCAACAGGGTGTATTGGGCTCCGCAGAGAATCCTCCGGCGTGGCAGCATGTTGACGGGGACTGGGGTGACGGATCACGCTCTGGGCACGATTGCGAAGGGTTTCAAAAAATCCGGGTTCGTGCTCGGCCTCTTCTTGGTTTGGATCCGGAAAATGCGACATCCCTAGCGGCGGATGAACAGTCTTCCTTCGAACAACTGTCCCGGGTTCGCCAATCACGGTTTTCCGGCGGCGGAGTCCATCCCATTCCACAATCTCGTTCTCGCGAAGCGGCTCGAGCTGATCTTTGAGTTTGTCTTCCCGCAGCCGTCTCGCTTCCTCTTGTTCCATCTTCTGCCGAGAGACGGAGATTCTCCTGATCAGAGCCGCGGTACCACGAATAGCATCAGCCTTGGGCTCGGTTTCCGGCTGCTCAACCTCCGCAATCTCCCTGACTTGATCGAGATCACCCTTGAAAACGGCGGCATCCGGAACGTCTTTGGCAGACTTGGACATTTGCAAGAGAACCACGCCGGCACATATTTGGAAGAAACCCATGATGACGGTCGTGATGGACACGGCTGTGCCCTTGAAGCCTCGGAAGAGGATCGCGGAAGTGATGATTGTGGCGCTGGTGAAGATCACGTAGTAGGTTGGAGTGACAAGAGCCGCATTGAAAAGATTCAGAGCTTTCTGGGAGATGTTAGCGGCGGACCGTGCCTAGGAAGTAGCATACTTGCATTGAGATAAATGATTTCGGTCAGAAGTGTCGTAACGACAAAGACCAGTAAAACGTAAAGGAACCATTGATTGAATTGAGGTTTCCCGCCAGCTTGGGCAACAACCGCACTGCCCAATCCCTGTGTTGCCACGACACTCAGACCACCGATCAAGCTGCAGATGCTGAGGTAGACCAACATGCTTTTCTTGCCGTAGCGCGGCCCCGCCCACAAGGCGATAAACACACAGGCCACGATGACGACGCCGGCATAACTGAGAAAGCCAGGGGCGAGAACAAAATGCCGCATTTCTTGAATGTCGGCGACAGCGCTTTGCTCAGGAGCATTGAGAACAATGACGATGCTGCCGACGATGCAGTTGAAACAGCCCACTTTACCGACAAAGCTCAGGCGCTCCTTGAGAAAAATCGCGGACAGAATGGTCGTGACCACAACGCTCAGCGCTCCCAGAGGCGTGACGAGGATCGCATCGACAAATGCATAGGCGACAAAATTGCAGATTTCGCCCACTATCATCAGCGTCATCCCTCCCCACCACCAGAAATTCTTGAGGTAGCCATAACCCTCACCAGCTTCCTCGTTGTATTTAGCATTTGCTTTGAGCAGTCCAGTCTTTTTCAGCACAAATGAGGTACCAATGAATAGCCCAGAGGCCACCGCCAGACTGAGACCAATTGCTTTATAGACTGGCGGACGATTTGCTGTGGTGGCACCAGAATCCGTGGAGGTTGAGTTGGCTGTCTCATTGCGGGCTATGAGGGTGTGAGCAACTGCCCATACCTGCGGAGGTACATTTTCCATGGTATGGAGGAAAGCGGCTGAGGACACCGCAAGAGCGGGCTACCAAAGCAGGACAGCGCTACGAGTTCAAGGCCATGGACAGCGGTGAAACCTGTAGCGAGGCTTGAGGGAAGATGTGAGGCTCTTTTTCAAGACACTTCGAAGTGCTCTATTGAGGTGCCCCGGCTGCTTGAGGTCGGTCGTTCGAGCTTCTACGGACAGTGTCGTTATCCGAGTGAGGGAGGCTTGATTCGTGATTGCGAGCGCACAACCAAAAAAGTGGTGGCAATATGTTGATATGCTGGCTGAGAGGAATCGGGAGTTCTGTTTGGAGGTATGTGAGGGTTCGAAGCTCGTTGTTGGCGTGGTACCTGAGGAGGAAGAGGCTGCTGCGATGTGGGATGGTGAAGGCGTTACAGAACTACGAGGTACAGGAGAAGCGTGGACAAGAAGACAGAGAAGAGACCTAAGGAGCTGAAGATGCGACATGGGAAAGTGAGATCTACCAACCACTGACGCAGTTGTGGCTTGTGGTAGCGCTTGGGGGGTTTTGGTAACAAGGGAAAAAGGTTGGCTGGCGCGGACCCGCTAGCCATCGTGGCCCTGGAACAAACCCGCAGGAGTCCACAGGAGCCCACAAGGCGCCAGGAGGCCACCAGGCAAGAAGCAGGTAAGAAGCAGGGGAAAGCCCGCAAGAAGACGACGTCGTGGACGTTTGGGGTCTGGGCCAGCCTGTTCGGAGGCCTGCGCGTGGGCCGTTGCTGGGGCTTTGGTGGCTCTTTATCGATACTCACCCGGGTCAGCTCAGCACCCAACCACTCCTTGTCAGCACACTCATCTACGAGCCTATCTACCAGGTACCTAGGTAGGTAGGGACTCAGAGGCACTACCGAGTACCTCGTACAAGTACTTGATGATCCGTCCTCGTCCTCGATAGCAGTGACCAGCCCGAGAAGCTGCACCTCTGCTCCATGCTCTGTCCTCCGTCACTCTTCCATCACAATTCTCTTCTATCCAAACGTACGTACGGTAACCTTGGAACTCGGTGCCATGGGCGGGTGTTTTTCCATTCCTCACAATCGGATCTGCCTCCCTGCTTGCATCAGTCCACTCTCCTTGGATACTGTGGCCACTGGCTGGCTAACAACCCAGGAATTGCGCAGTGTGGCTTGTCACTTGCGCGTCTTCTCGGGCGTGGATCACATCCAAAACTTCCCCAGTCACGGTATTGCATTCGAACATATCCTGTCACTGGTCGTGACCCGTCGTCGCGCTGTGCTGTGATGCTGAATTAGTCGCAGACTCGCAGATGCAAAACTCCTTTCTCCATAACCTACCATGGTCCAACCATCCACCTGTTTCAGAGGTGCGTTCCCCTTTGTCTCAGATCATCGAGTCGTGCAGGAGCCCCAGTCCTTGGAACAGACCGATCCGTGATGGAGGCTACGCAGTATTTATTGTCTACTAGGTACGATTTGCCATTTCAAGGTTTTCTACCGTCATGTTGTCTTCGAATCTTGCAGGACATGGACACTCTGGGGTGGCCCCATCTGAGCGATGAGACTTCTTTTCACTCGATTGCCAATATTGTCGTCTAGCTGTTGGGATTCTGCTGCTTCCTTTCAAGGGCGTCTCAGATCCTCTTGATCTGTGAGGTCCATCCCCTGGATGGCACTGGCTACCACGGAATATTCGAGCCTACGCAGTTTCCCGATTATACAAGATACGACTTGAAGATTCGTGGGCCTCCCATTTCTATTGCCTATCGAGAGAGTCAAAGACTTGCTTTGACTCTATCACATTAGGTTTCTTTTACCCGCGTTCTCGACATGATCCCGGCCGAACAACTCCCGCATAGATATGTCTACTTGGTACTCGGGTAGGTACCAACAACCGGTAATCTTCTTGTGCATGTCTCTACAGCCGCCCACGCGACAAAGGTTCGAAATAAATGAAACTTGCGGACGTGTTCTTCCCTTTGCCACGTGTGCTAGCCAGATCTTTGTCAAGCTATTGATAAGGGGTATGCGGGAACTCGAAGCGTTTGCGAGACACTTATCCTCGTATAGCCCTTGCCAAGTAGATGGGTTTGACAAGCTCAATACTATTCAACGCTACTCTGCAGGGCGTATCTCTCTCCCTAGATTCCAGCAAATCAAGACTTCGTGTCGACGACTCTCGGTAGGGTCTAACAGGCATGTTGAATGATTTCCTGAGTGCGGCCGTGCACCATCTTCGATGCCAACTGGCAACCATTGGCGAAACCGACGCCACCAGACGTCAGATTCGAGAGCGAGCCACTGATAAGGCCAGCACACGTACTCGAGCTCCTGTCGGGCATCCCACTTATCATTCGACCGCACCGATTTGAATTCAGACCGGTCTTCTCCCGGACGTCGCTCATTACCCAAGATGCTTTCCAACGCCCTGTCATTTTTATGCTCCTGCTAATTCGAGAGATGGTGGCCCTGCATCTTGATGGCGAACTAGCTTGAACCGCCACGAGTTATCGCGGTTGTGCTACTCCCAGGATATTGGTTTGCGCCAGTGGGGACAAGCTTATCATGCCTCGCTAAGAACCAGCAATGGCGAGCGACGCTTGGATGGGAAAGGCAATAAAGACCTGCTCGACTCCCTCTCAATGCGGATTTACCTTTCATCTGCGAAGTTGTCACAATTCATCGACTTTTGAGCTTCTATGAGCATGGACCCCCCTCGCAAGCATTCAGTGACCGTCATCGACGAGAACGCGGTTGGCGTGACATCCATCTTCTCGAACCGCGGCGCTCATGCTGTCTTGGAAGAAGGCGCCAACCTTGACGAGGTCACTTTGGGTGCTTTGGGCTATAAACAAGAATTCAAAAGGTTTGTGCCTCCGTCTTTTCACCGAAGCCGCCCTGCTGATCGACCGCCAGAGATTTCACAATATGGGAATCGTTCTCAGTGTCATTCTCCGTTCTAGGCCTTTTGCCTTCTATTGCATCTACCATTGGTTACAGCTTGGGCTATTCAGGAACGGGTGGCGCCATATGGGGATGGCTCATTGCGTCGCTTTTCATCCAGTCTACTGCCTACACAATGGCTGAATTGTGCTCAAGCATGCCGACCGCTGGCGGTCTTTACTACGCGTCCGCCGTTCTTGCGCCGGAAGGATGGGGTCCTCTCGCATCCTGGTTTGTTGGCTGGTCCAATTTCTGTGGCTTCGTCACTGGCCCATGCTCCGTCAACTATGCTCTGGCTTCCATGTTGGTCACCTGTGGCATGATTGCTTATCCTGGCTATGAGCCGGAAACTTGGCATATATACCTCACATTGCTCGCCATTCTCATCATCAATGGTGTCATCACAATGCAATCAACCTGGTTCATCGGCTGGGTCAACAAAGTCGGTACAATATGGAATCTCATTGTCATAGTTATCTTCGTCATATGGTTCCCAGTGGGTTCGATCAACCACCCAAAGACAAACCACAGCCACTACGTCTGGACCAGTTTCCCCAACGGGACTGAGTGGCCGATCGGCTGGTCCACCATCATGGGCTTTCTCACTACTATCTGGACGCTTTCCGGCTATGACGCCCCGTTCCACCTCTCAGAGGAATGCAGTAATGCCAACATTGCTTCGCCCCGAGCCATCGCCTATACCGCCCAGTCAGGGCTCGTCTTGGGCTTTGTCATCATGTTGGTGATCGTGTACACAGTCACCGATATCACCGACGTCGTGGCGGGTCAGTATGGACAGCCGTTTGGAAGCCTGTGTCTGCAAGTTTTGGGCCAGAAGGCCGGGCTCGCCATGTTCTCTCTCAACATTATCGCTCAGTTTTTCGTTGGTGTTGGTTGCACTGTCACAGCGACTCGTGTGATCTTTGCTTATTCTCGAGATGGAGCTATCGTGGGTTCCCGTTGGTGGAGTCAAATCCATCCAAAGACCAGGACACCCGTCTACGCAACCTGGGGCGTTCTGCTCGTCGCAGCCCTGCTCGGGCTATTGATGTTTGCGAGCCCTGTCGCTATTGGCGCCGTATTCAGTATTGGCGCCATTGCCCAGTACACGGCATTCACGACGCCTGTGGTTTTGAAGTTGTTCTTCGACCACGGCAGATTCAAACCAGGTAAGATGGCACGCGAATTCTATTCACCAATTGCTGACTCCGTATTCGGTAGGTCCTTGGAACCTTGGAAAATACTCGAAGCCCCTAGGAGCTGTTGCCTTTGGTTGGTGGTTGCTGATTGTTCCGGCTCTGTGCTTCCCCGCAGTAAAGGGCAAAGACTTAAACCTCCTGACGATGAACTGGACCTGTCTCATTTACGGGGGCTCTATGTTCTTAGCCATGTCATGGTACGCTATCGACGGCCGAAAGTGGTTCAAGGGACCTCGTATCAATGTGCATTATACCGCCGAAGGGACCGAGGTTCTCGATGGCCAATCTGCACACAGCAGCGAGGGAAAGCCGAAGGAGCTGGAATCAAAAGAGATCAAGTCGGAGGTGTAGCCAATGGTTTCACGGACGGCAACATATCAGAGGGTGTCCAGCTGGATGATTTTGCAATGTGCATTGCTTTCCATCCACCCACCTCCTACAGTCAGCTGAATTTGTCAAAGTCATGGCCTGCCTGGACCACTCCAGAGTCGTAGCAAGTCGTACAAACCCCGCGGTCTGGAGGCATTATTCGCCGATAGGTAATAGACGATTCGTATGGGTTGCGTTCTAGCCGACCAACTAAGCTGCAGAGGGCCGTAGTCCCCACAGTGGTCCCGACATCTGTGTCCAAGCCATGGCCTTGGTAGCTGACCAACCCGCTCCAACACACCAACCGCTCGAGCTCCCACAAAGTTTTCCGTACAAAGAACGCACCCCATCATCGTAACCGAACCCCAGGCGCCCTGGAATTGCTCAAACACCATGGTCTCTTGGAGCCAATTCGAAACGGCCGATCGTGTCTCCGAGGTCCCGATAGAACTACACCTTCGGTTGTCCCACCTGTTCGCTAGCAGTTGACAGTTCGAAGGGCGGCCTAACCGGTTGGATAAAGACTTCCTAGGACGGCTTCGTGGCAATACGACGATGACAATAATATCGCCGATGTCCAGCATCCTGTTGCAGCAGTTGATCATCTTCCACTGTCCAAATTCCCCCACAGCTTGACATTGCGCCGACTTTTTCACTCGCCTGCCTTTTCACAGGGCCAAACCTCGATATCTGCCTGTTTCAGTCTGTCCCCACGATCATTCCACAAGCAGAATGCCGGAATCCCTACTCTGGATCAACAAGGACAGCGGCTCAGCGGTCTTATCGCGGAGTTCAAAGGCCGAGACTAGACAGATTCGCAAACACGTCCAGCACGAAAGACAACTCAGAGCCAAAGCCGCCCATGAAGCGGCCGCTAAATCTACACCAGCAACAGAGCAAGACAAAACCCCTTACAGAACCAACAGAAAGGATCAATCCGGCCCTGAACAGACACCAGTCGACCTAAGACAGCCAGATCTCCGCCTGGATACAAATGTACAAGTTCAAAGTCCTCAATATCGGCCGTCTTTGTTCTCGGCATCTTTATCCCCAAGTATCAGATCTCCGACCACTCATTCAAACCGGGTTTTGCAAGCCGTGAACACATTCCCTGGACTCGAGCCCCAAGAACTGCGCAGCCTGGTTTTCTTCTGCCAGAGAACGGCGCCAGAATGGTCCGGCTGGAGGGACGCAACATTTTGGAACAAACTTATCCTTCAAGCTTGTCACATGAACCGATCTATCCTCCACGGAGTAGTGGCTCTCGGTGCACTGCATGAGTCGTCAGAGGTAGACGGAGAGTCAGACGAACGCTCGAACTTGCAGGAATTGGCTCTACATCAGAGCAGCAAAGCTTCCCGCATGGCATATGAAACCGCAATGTCAGATATCGCAACTCTGATCTCCTGCGTTATCTTCATATGTCTACAGAACCTGCAGGACAGCCACACTGCATATCAGCTGCTCAAGTCTGGATATAGTTTGATTACCGATATTGACGAAAGACTACGATCTGGCGATCTCACTCTCTGTGACAGCGAAAAGACTGTCCTGAATAACTTCCTTCGCCCAATCGTCGAACGTCTGCGTATGAGGTTCTGCAGTATTGTCGACCTTCCTTCTGCTTTGGCCCTCAGCGCAGGGATCAAACGAAGCAAAATAGAGCACCGTATGACGCTGCCAGACATTCCATACTGCTTTGGAAACCTCCTAGAGGCCCGGAACAAGCTTGAAGAGATAGTTGATTGGGCGCAAGAAAATATTGATCCGTCTTTCGCGCACAGTGAACAGCGTTCTCAGGTGCAGGCTTTGCTAGCAAGCTGGAATGCCGCTCTCGAAGATACAAGGATCACTGCTCTCGAGCGGTATGAGGCCTTGAACACCTCGAAGAAGCTCCTCAGAGCCGCTGCACTCGTCGCTTCAATCCTCTGCGATACCCTCGGGACGAGTGAGGAATGCAGCTACGATCACCATGTTGACAAATTCGCAGAGGTTGTTAACCTTTATAGAGACGCAATCGGCGACCCTGCTAGAGCTCCTAGAAGAACCTCCTTTGGAATCGACTCTGGCGTGATAGATACACTGGCCTTTGTAGCTGGAAGATGCCGCGATCCAGTCATTCGAAGGTCAGCTATCGATTTACTAGCCCAGACAAACAGAACCGAAGGTGATCTCCAGGGCTGTACAGGTAGCACCATCTTACAGACACTGATGGAGCTCGAAGAGGATGGTGCTGATGCGACCGAAGCTTGCCATGTTCCAGAGTCTCAAAGGTTACGCATCTGGGAGGACCACCAATACTGGGATACCGGCAAGATTCATATTTTCTTCGTCAAGTGGCCCTACGACCCATCATTGGGTGCCGAAATGAAAACAGCTTCTGTCTACCTGCCCTTGAAGTCTCTGAGGACGGCAAAGGAAAAGGCGGCTCCCGGTAGTCCTACAGGATTGCCGAACGTCAAGTATGGCCGGGGAGTCGGCGCATTTTTGGAAGAAGGCACGCAAACCTATCATCAGATCACACTGTCTTCCTTCTTTATGCCAGTGCCGAGGCTGTGAAGCCCTAGTAGCCGCTGTGGAGGGTTCACAGAGAATGGAGATGTCTCGAATCCACTCTTCGCTAGTTCTCAGCACCAACGGTACTCTTAGTATGGCAGTTGACTGGACCGCAAAACAAGCAATCATTCACACTGCCTGGGATGCGAGATTCCAGTTTCAGGAGAGCGTCTTTCTAAGTCTCAGAAAACGAATGCCACGCCCAGAAGCGTCATTGGACGGACGACCACGTATTGCACACACGACCCAATTTCTCCCTCTGCACTCTAGAGGCATGCTCACACACTCACAGGGCGTATTGGCGAGGGTCGCGGGAGGTCGGACTTCCAGCCAGCTACTCACCTGGGAATAGTTGCGATAATCATCTGAATTCGCCGATTGGTCTTCACCCTAGCTACGATGGCCAATCATATCTGTGTTCTGGCCTTTCAAAGACTTTCGGCCATGTCCAACGTTCGCAGCAGTGTTCTTAAAGAACCAAAGACCGGTTGGGAGTACTTCCTTTTCTGGGAACAGGTCCAAACTGGAATCTAGGACGATGCAGATACATGAAACGCGATATCTGGAGGAGCTACCACATTGCGTATCACCAGAAGGGTGTCCAGCAACATCGGACTCAAATAAGCGATCTCGACCGAGCGTTTGCGTATATCCAGCAGTTGATGGCGATGCCCTAATCAATTTATATAACATGTGGGCTGCTATGAAACTGCCTCGCAAGATTTTGTCAACCTACTCCTCCAAAGGCTCAATATGTCGCCCAAAACCGGGTGTCTGCCTTCGTACCAACCTCGGGAAAACGAAACACGTAACGAATATTGGCGTGAAATGTCAAATGCTAATTGCAACTTTACCAAAGCAGAGGTCGTTATTGTGGGTGGAGGCATATCTGGAATGTGTATGGCCATCGATCTGTTGATCAACCGAGGGTTCAAGAACATTATAGTCCTTGAAAAAGGAGGCGGGTTTGGAGGAACTTGGTGAGTGCCTCGATACCTGCTACAAATCGTACTAATAAGACCTAGGAGAGACAACAAATTTCCTGGTTGCTGTTGTGATGTCTTCAGTGTGCTTTACTCGTACTCCTTTGCTCAGAACCCCACTTGGTCTCGTCGGTATCCGGGTCAGGAAGAGATCCTGGTTGGTGCTGTTCTCCACGTATAAGGTCACACACTGATGGTGATGTAGGAATATCTGACCGACGTCGCTCAACGATACGGTCTCTACAAATATACTCGATTCCACACGACAGTCGAGGCGGTAAACTGGGACGACAAAACCCTCAAGTGGGAAACTACGGTGACAGTTGGCGAAGGGAAAGAGTCGGAATTCACTCCTACCTACAAAATCACCAGTGATTTTCTGGTTGCTGCGACTGGTCAACTCAACAACCCAAAAGGTATTGAGGTCCCTGGGTACACCGATTACCAAGGGAAAATCATGCATTCCTCCAGGTGGGACTGGAGCTATGATTTAAAAGGAAAGCGAATTGCTATCATTGGGACAGGTAGATGTGTGGGATTGACTTGTTCTTTGCTTCTCTGACACATCGCAGGTGCAACCACCGCCCAGATTGCCCCAGAAGTCGCGAAACTGGCATCTCAACTTACTATCTGTCAAAGAACACCAGCATGGGTTATCCCACGACATGATTCCAAAATACCCCACTGGAAGCAAACGATGTTTGCGTTTCTCCCACCAGTACGCTGGCGAGCACGCGCAGAGGCGATGGACTTCCGAGAGTCATTTCACTCCGCAGTCACACAAGCTGACTCTGCTTATGCTGATCTAATGAGGTCTATGAACTACAATCTCTTGAGAGAGCAGCTTCCCGATCGTCCCGACCTCTGGGACAAACTCTCCCCCAACTACCATCCTGGGTGCAAAAGAACGGTAATCAGCGATGACTATTATCCTACCCTTCTGCGAAAGAATGTTAGGTTGGAGACCGACAAGATCGAACGCTTTACCATTGATGGCATCAAATTCGAAGGGCATGATTCCGCAGACAATTTCGACTTGATCGTGCTGGCGACGGGATTTGACACGTTCTCATTCTTGTCACCAATCAAGATCACAGGGCGCAACTGCAGGCCATTGGAGGAGATTTGGACAAAAGCTCCGTACGCTTATAAGGGGGTCACGGTGCCAGATCTTCCAAATTTTGGCATGCTTTATGGCCCAAATACAAATCTCTCTCACAATTCTTTGATACTTGTCATCGAGGCCCAGACAAAGTATATCTCAGTCATTGTCGACAAAGTTCTGCAGGCCAGGCGCAAAGGCGACGGACTGGCATTGTGCCCGTCGGAAGAGAAAACGCTGAACTATTGGCTTGATCTACAAATGGCATTACAAAAGACATCCTTCGCTGACCCCAACTGTAACAGTTGGTGGAAGCGAGCTGACGGTCTCATTACGAACAACTGGGCGGGTACGGCTATTGATTACCAAAAGAATTTAGCAACAGTGGAGTGGGCAGACTACAATGCGTTCGGCCTTGCTGGCTTTGAGGTTGACATGTTTGGAGCAACCGGCAAAGTCACCAAGATCCGAAGGGTGGTGGAGGAGACGACTCTGAGTAGAGCTTCTGTCGGAGTCCTTTTTGTGGGCGTTATTGGGTTTATTGTGCAGAGTATTGCGTGGAGAATGGGAGCATAAAGCTAGAGTACTTGGAATGGAGGTATCAAGATCGTGTTCTTCATTTCAATAATAGCAGCTGGAATGCTGAGAGATCGCCTGTGGCTCCGAGACTGCAAAAAGCATGCTCACCCGGTTAGCCTTCAAGCTTCAGTCTTGACGCACAACTCAAGGATCTATGTCATCTACCTCGCGCGGAATGTCGAGGGAATGCATTCACTGCTGCACCCACTCGTGCTTAGCACGTATCCAACCGAACAGGAGAGAGGAGGCGAGGTGGGCTTACCTGGGGGTATAAATGCGCAACCCAATCAAAGGCCCCTAGATCATCAAAGATGTGGGTAAAATCTGTGTCTGCTTCTCCCATCCAGCCATCAAGCAGTCCCGCCTGCTGGGAATCCTGTTCGACCCTCCGTGAAACATTGTCCTCATCCTCACCGGAAACCATCGTTGGAGTTGACAGATGGCGGTACATTTCTTGCCGTAATTCCTCCAAGACGATCGCATACCTTTTCCCAGGGGAGTTCTCCCTGGCAGCCTCTGCGAGCCTCTGCTGACAGCTTTCTGCAACAGCGAACCAGTCTCTCTCTTTGCTCGAGACTGCGATTGATGGCTGAAACGATGTCTCATTCGAAATGACGGCTGTGGGAGTGGAGATCAACTTCTGGTGTTGTTGTATCGCGTAGATGTAGATGACCGCTACAGCGCAGAAAGAGACATATTGTGTGAACCACCATGAATGGAAAGGTATTCCATTGCCATCGAAAGTCTCCAGAATGTCCACGATACTACGAGCAGCGGTCACGCAGTCGGAAATATAATTGACGGCCTGTTGTGGTAGGTATGGCGGATTGGATGTATTTGCAAAGTTACTCAAAAGGAACGGCCTGTTGGCATGAATAGCAGCATGCGCGTGGGCCAGATGTAGAGTGAGGGATTGTCGTTGAAACTTGGGAATGAGGCTTGAGGCGGGTATTATACCAAGGAACGGCGGCAGCTCCTTTTTCCATGCTGCAAGGTCTGCAGTGATTCGTTGTGCTTGCAAAAGTCTTTCATCTTGACTTACCCGTCGTAGAGGATAGACTTGAGCAGAGCTTTGGGCGCTGATTCGGGCAAGCCTAAGCTCGGAATTAGCATGTACTTCACTTTGCTATTAGGCTGCGGAAAAGATACTTGATATGCGCGATTGGTGCGTCCATATCACAATCAAATTGGCCATCCCTAGGCTTTATGCCTTCGAAGGTCAATTCATCGTCATGCAACCTTGCCGGAAAGTCCTGATCGGTATCGAAATCCTGGAGAGTCCGCGGACGGCCGCCCATGACACTGAGATATCTATCGAGAACGTAGGCGACCCAGAAGGCTCGTTTACGGCACTCGTGCTCGACGGCTCCCACTTCCGATCTGTAACCGCCGGGGCGCTTGCGACGATGTAAACCGAGGGTGATAATCAAGGCAACCGTGGTTCCGAACTTCGAGTAGACTTCATTTGCGTGCCGGGTTGATAAAAGGTGCAGACATTCAACAAGCCTCGCCTGGACTGAGGCTAGAGTTGGTTCACCCCCTTCTCTCTGCAAGCGTCTTTGTGCAGCCTCGAGGAACAATTCACTGAAACTCGGAGAGTCAGTGAGGTTATATCAGTAGTTTGTTCACTCAATGCACCTTTGTTTGTAGTCCCCGGTGTCCACGGAAGCGATCTCTTGGGCATTCTCAAAAGTAGCCGCGGCAAAAATCATCAGCAACAGCGTGACTTGGCTTTGAGATATAAGTTGATGAGCAGTCTGTTGCTCGCCCCCCTGTTGATAAAGCGTTTCAATCAAGCTCGTTACTGTACCACGGTGGAGGAACTGGAAAAAGGGTGTAGAGATGTCAAAATACCTCCCAACTAACTCATATGCCTGGGACTTTGATGGCATGTAGAACAGCTCGTCTGAGAGACGCAGTCCCTGCCCGTCACCGGTCACCAGGATCGACTGCTCGGCAGACATCTCCTTGTCCAGCGTCTTGGACATGCTCGAGGCATGATTCTCTCGAATCCGCTTCCATGCTCTTTCCAAAAAGGTAATCGGAGAAGAAGGCCCATGATATTGGCCGCCAATGTTTGCACTGGGCACTGGTGAGTTCCGTGATGAGATATGTGCTGGATGTCCAGAACCAGAGTGCTCATCGACTTTATCCACAGGTCGAGGGTCCTGTGTTGAAATAAGCGAGCCTCGATCCAATATGGGAGTGACATTATTCAAACCACCTTGCGGACTGAGGCGGGCATCCCCCTGAGCAATCACGGGAGCCGTTGGAACGGTAGGTAGACGCCCCCTCGTGTAGATAGCAAAGTAGTCACAGGAAATTCCTAGGTGTCTGCAACGAACACACGGTTGGTCTCCTGAGCAACGCGTGCGCTTCCTATCCTAGAGCTTAGTAGTGCATTTTGGCAACCTGTGCCCTTGGCTCCTCACTGTTTGCAAGCGTCGCATGCTCTGCTGACCTTAGTTCTTTGCCCCTTGCTTCTGCCGCCTTTCCTGGATCCAGTGATCCCGGTTGGTGTTCGCCCTGCCCCGGAATCCTGTTGCTCGGAACTGCATTTGTCACTGTCCAATGTCCCCGATTCTTGCAGACCAGGGCTGAAATCGGTAATCTCGTCGTCAAAGCTGTAGGAGTTGGGCAAAATAGCGCCATTGACTCTGGACCCCAAGTCCAGGGTCTGTTCCGAAGGGACAGGCTGCAGCATGAATTGACCCGGTGATCTATCGGTATCCATATTCTCAAGCTCGACTGCATGAAGAATCAACTGGCTCGACACGGATATGTTAGGGAAATATTACCAGACTCTCGGAAATTATGTGTCCGCTGTGAAATGACCTTTAGTTTGCTGCCTCCGTTCTCCATGGCTCTGGTGGAGAGAGGGCGGAAAAGGTTCGGATTTCTCGCCACCTCGCCAACCGGCGTATCGCCGGATGACGGTTTTCCGTGGTCCTATAGGATTTTGTCGGTCAAACTAGAGGCCTTCTTGGAGACTCGGATCGTCCTCGGACATTGGCCAGGAGTGTGTGCTGGGAATGGAGCAGCATATGCAACGAAGCTCTCGGTCCACTTTGCAGAATTCAGAGACTCGAGCAAATCTCTACTCATGTTTCGATAACTACATTAATAGACTTAACCATGTCTGCATGTGAGCTACATCTGTGTCATAGATTCAAGCATCATGGCTTCTTCCAGCGGCCCATTTACCACCATGAACGAGCAACTTCTTGGGAAGACCATTCATTCTGTGGCAGCTTTAACGCTCTTTGTGCCGTTTTTATACGTGATCATTAACGAAGTCATACGCTATACTGCACGACTGCCGGGCATATCTGGACCGGCTGGGCTGCCTCTGGTAGGGAATTTGTGGTCCATCCGGAAGAATGCTGCAGAACAATACCGGATCTGGTCCAAGCAGTACGGAGATGTTTACCAAGTGTTACTGGGAAACGTCCCCATAATCGTGGTCAACTCTGCCGAGGCAGCAAAAGGACTTTTTGGCCAGCACACTTCGGCATTAAGTTCCAGACCAGAGTTCTATACGTTTCATAAAGTGCGTATGCGAGGTATACCGTCCTGCATGTGTCGAGCGCTAACTGTAAGAAGGTTCTCACTGGTTCTGCAACCACAGTCGGAACCACTCCATACAGCGACAGCTTGAAAAGACGCCGTAAAGTCACAGCGACGGCTCTTAATCGCCCATCCGCCCAAAAATACGTTTCTCATTTCGACCTCGAAACGAGGGAGTTCATCAAGGATTTACTTACCGAGGGACAGTGGGGAAAGAAGGCGTTTGACTGCTATCCATGTGCACAGCGTCTCAGCCTAAGCCTTGCATTGACGACGAACTGGGGTATCCGAATGGACTCTCGTAATGATGCCCTTTTCAACGAGGTAATTGAAGTGGAGGACCAAGTGAGCCGTTTCAGAAGCGTTACTGGTAACCTACAAGATTACATTCCACTTTTGAGGTTGAATCCATTCAACCAAAAAACAATCAAAGCTAAAGCTACGCGCCGCCGACAAGATGCTTATCTTGACCAGCTCAATCGTGGTCTTCTGGACCGCATGGAGAAAGGCGTTCAGAGTCCCTGCATTCAAGCAACAATCATCAATGACAAAGAAATTCAACTGAACGAGGAAGAAGTTGCCAGCATCAATCTGACCATGATATCCGGAGGTCTAGACACGGTCACCACAGCTCTGGCTTGGCTTATAGCGGTTTTGTCCAAACGGCCCGATATCCAAGAAACTGCTTATCAAGCAATTCGAGAGGTGCATGGGGCTGATAACCCTCTCTGCGACGCGAACGATGACCAAAAGATCCCGTATATCGTGGCTCTCGTGAGAGAGGGATTGAGGATGTATACAGTCCTCAGATTGAATCTGCCACGAACCTCCACCAAAGAAGTTTTCTACAACGGCATGGCTTTCCCAAAGGGAACAACATTCTTTTTGAATGCCCACGCCTGCAACATGGGTACGCATTTGTTCTTTTCCCGCCTGTGTAGTCTGCTGATAGAATGGTTACAGATTCAAAGTTGTGGCACGATCCTGAGATCTTCCGACCAAGTCGTTGGTTGGAGCAACCGGACGCCCCCCTCTTCACATACGGCATTGGTTACCGTATGTGTGCTGGGTTTTTGCTCGCTAATCGTGAGCTATATCTCATTATTATGAGACTTATCAGCTGCTTCAAGATTGGACTCGAAGGCGATGTGGAGCTTGATCCAGTTCGCGGCACGGCCGACCCAACCAAGCTGGTCGCACAGCCTCATAGGTTCCAGTCGATCTTTATTCCAAGGGATGAGAAGTTGCTCCGAAAGGCGCTAGCAGAGTCTCCCATGGCTCAGTAGAGAGTGTTGGGCCTGGGTTCAGGAGTCTTCGGAAAGAGGAGAGAGCCAGAGAACGTGCGGAGTGAGCAAGGTTTAAGGGGGGCTTGCTCGGAACATGGCGATGAAGCTGGGGAAATCAGCAACCGAAATCTGCTGCAAGATACTTACTAGTGAGAAGTGGTCTGCTATATTTAACTAGCAGCTCCAGACCCTAGACCCAATTCCAATGTTATTGTTGACTTCAAAGAGACTGTCTTGCCATTATTCTACCGCTTTTCCCGGAGTGCCTTGCTACACGCGTATCTTCTTTTAGAGTCAAGTTTGACCACTTGCGGCAATATGCAAGCGACTTCGATAAATCGTACCTCGTGAAACTCGGCTGGATGCAATTTCTGGCTGAGGTCCACCTCTATCGTTCAGTGTCGGCAGCCGGGAAGGATTTCGTGATGAACGTATACCCCAGCTGCTGCTAGGTGACTCCCTGGGTGAGGTCTGGGGAGTCAATCCCCGGGAGACATGACCCCAGAGTGATTGGGGCTCCCCATACCAGGAGGGAGGGATGGGGGAATATTGAGTAGTTACCAGCCAATCAGGCACAAAACCGGACCTTTTCCAGAGTGCCGGATATGCACAGCTTTTCCGCTCGAACGCCAATCAAGTAATCCTACTTTTCTGATTCGCTGAAAAGCCAGGCTTGGAATAAGGGTCAGGATAAAGGCCGAAGTAAACCTGCTCCAAACTTCGGGGATGCACGGAGGCACGTCCGGCTAGTTGATTTTGTCTGTGACCATTTACCGTGTGTGGGTATGCTGCCATGCCGATGGAATCTTCCTACAGTGCTTATGGATTCCGTCGGTCTACCCCAGGTCGAACTGTTCTAGGCCCATGATATATTGATATGAATTCCCTTCTCCCTTGTTGCACCCGAGTTGTTACTTCTTGTGATTTGCAAGAACAGTCACAACAACCTTTGGCAGCATGGCTTCTATCCTCAAGAAAATCATCCGCAATGATGCCATGAAAGAAGATCCCGTCGAGATCTATGGATGGAGAGCTTTCGTCTTGACCTTGACAGTATGTGCCTTTATATTCAGTCGCAATCTCGATTGATTCTATCTCGCTCCATGTTCTCAAGTGCGCAGTCTCTAACTTCATTCTCGCCAGGCATGCATGTCCGGTATGCTTTTTGGCATGGACACTGGTATCATTGGCGGCGTCATCGTTCTGCCTGCTTTCACCAAGTATGTCGTTGGCTTGATCCTGCCCGCGTGCAGCCTGGCTAATAAGATTCCAGGAAGTATCACTTTGATGGCCTCAGCAAAAACGATGCCGCAACACTCTCGGCCAACATCGTCTCCTTCCTACAGCTTGGTTGCACCTTCGGTGCTTTGGTGGCGTATCCTTTCGCCGACAAATACGGGCGCCGTGCTTCCTTGATCGTCTCTGCCTTCATTGGCCTGGTGGGGATTGTGATGCAATTTGCAGCCTCGGGCTACCTTGGGTGCATGTATACAGCTCGGTACGTCTTGACTGCGGCACTCGGAGTGATATCATCTTTTGACCACTATATAGGCTCATTGCTGGCCTCGGGGCAGGAGCGTGCTCTATGATTGCTCCTCTCTATGTCTCAGAAAATGCTCCTCGGGCCCTTCGCGGGGCACTTACTGGAACCTTTCAGTTCTTCAACACCTTTGGCGTCATGATTGCATTTTGGATTGACTATGGTGCCGAACTCCACCTTACCGGATCGGCCTCCTACATGGTGCCTCTTGCAATGCAAGGAATACCAGCAGTCCTCTTGATCATTGGGATGTTTTTCATGAATGAATCCCCTCGGTTTCTTGCCAAGCAGGATGAATGGGAGAAGGCCAGAAAGGTCCTGTCTTTGGTCCGCAACCTCCCCGAGGACCATCCCTACCTGCAGAGCGAATTTAGAGACATCGCTACACAGCTGGAGCGGGAGCGGCTCCTGATTAACGGTTCTGGGTGGCGAGCTCTACAACGCGAAATGTGGACCATTCCAGGCAACCGGAAGCGAGCATTGATCAGCTTTATACTCATGATGTTCCAAAATCTGACTGGTTCCAACGCAATTAACTATTATGGTGAGTCGGCCCCGGTGAAAATGTAGTTGATTGAGCGAAGGCGCTGACTCGATATTTCCCAAGCACCGACCATCTTCAAAAACGTTGGAATCACTGGGACTTCGGTCAGCCTCCTAGCAACCGGCATCTATGGCATTGTGAAGATGACCTCGTGTGCGACCTATCTGATATTTTTTGCTGATTCGCTTGGGCGACGACGATCGCTTCTCTGGACAGCTATTGCAATTGCTTGTGATATGATGTACATTGGGCTTTACGTTCGCATCTCGCCACCCAAAGCTGGTGTGCCAATTTCCGGTGCCGGATATTTTGCCCTTGTGTGCATTTACTTGTTTGCGGTGTTCTTCCAAATGGGTTGGGGGGCGACACCCTGGATCTACGCTTCAGAAATCCCTAGCGCGCGATTGCGTTCCATGAACGTATCCATTGCAGCTTCCTCCCAGTGGCTGTGGAATTTTGTTGTTGCAAGAGCTGTGCCAAACATGTTGGTGAACATGGGAAGTAATGGATATGGGTGAGTCAAATCTTCGAGACACTGGAACAATGCCATAACCCCCCCAGTTACTAACTGATGCTTGCAGAACATATATTTTCTTCAGCGTTTGCTGCGCCTGTTCGTTTGTGTTCGTATGGTTCTTTGTTCCCGACACCAAGGGTGAGTACAAGAGAATCGGTTCTAGAGGATTTAGATATCTAACAATTCTCAATAGGATTGTCGCTGGAACAGATGGACGACTTGTTCGGAGTCACCGAGCTCGTGCAACAGAAAGTCGGAGGCGAACTCGCTATTGCGCACGATCCAGAGACAAAAGACGCTCAAGGGGTTGAGACACTGGTAGAGAATGTTGGCAAGGTGTAATTGGAGGTATTGAAGGATATTCGGAGAAAGGCAGATTGTCCAAAAATTGGAATGAGCATGGTCAACTATGCAGATGCTGTAAAACCGACCGAAAGGACAGGGGGGTAGTGATCTCGAATCTACTATAATCATTACCGGGCTGAACACATCAACCCTGTCAAAGAGACATTGAATGGAAAGCCTTTCACATCAATACTTCTCAGCCCCCCATATTTGTATCTAGCAGACATGATATACAGCTATATCTATATCTGGGGTAAATATAAGAGCCATTGGTGATCCCCACAGGTTGTGACGAGCAACGGCTTCGGGAAAGGGTCTAGGAGTGGCACATGATCTCCACGTGGGGACCTGGAGACCGGAAAGGCAATGAATTTTCTAAAGGGCTCGCCACTGCCGATCGCGACGCGTCAGTTGCTTATCCTCCACCGCCAGCAGTAGTGGTCAATTTTTGATCTCGCTCAAAAGGGAGTTGAGGCCTGAACGTACGAGGTGGAGACATCACCCAGCCCAGGCAAGACCAAGAAAATGTCAGCAGAGGTCGCGACGTGGTGTCTTCAACGACCTTCCAGTGTTCGGACTTTTATATTCCCCTCGCTCCTTGGCTTCTGGACTAGGGATAATGACAATATCCGCCCGGAGACCCTCTTGCATCCATCTTGTCTTCCAATGTCGCCGGAATATGTCTCATCTTTTCCCTTTCAACGCGTTGCTTGTAGAATACAACTTCATGCAATTGTGGCGGTTGAATATCTACATATTCCATCGGAAGTAATTGCCTTGCCACTGAAGAACGTAAAAGAAGGAAATTCAGCTTGACTCCCCATGGAGGCAACTGCACCGAAATTCCAGGTCTCACCCTTGGACTTGCTGCAACACTAGACCTATTCTGTGGCGGCTCCGTTGTCCCACCGGGGCTTTCCTCCTTTGCGATGGATCGGCGCTTAGATCTAAAGTTCTGGAACGGCGATAAAACCCGTTCACTTCAATGCGGAGAGGGCGGAGACATCCACGGCATGTAGTCTACGTGGAGACGTTGAGATGTAGGACATGGCCTCCCCGCTTGTAAAGTTGGAAATGCTGATCTTAGGATCAGACTACATAAGCCTGGGCGAAACCTGTGGAGAATCTTCTTCACATCTCTCGTTGTCGGTCACAGTCTGTGGAAAGCGAAGCAAACCACTGTCCCGGCGTTCTTATTCCAGCTCAATTCACAAGCTTCTATCAAAACAGATCACACCTAGGAAGAGCATGGAGGATAAAACCAACGAGAAGGTTGGGAGGAAAGAGGATATCGATACGGAGCATCACGCTCCCTCTGATAAAAGGTCTACAGAATGTCTCGAAAACCTTGCACCTGTCCATACATATCTCGACCGCGAAGATATAAACAGGCTCTCAAACGAGCACAAAGATTATCTTCTACATCGCTACGGTACCCTCGACTTGGATCCTATCCCAGATCTGAATGATGCCGACCCATACAACTGGCCAAACTCGAAGAAATTAGTCAACCTCGTCCTAGTCGCTTTCCACGCTATGATGGCAACTTTTACTGCCGCATCAATCCAATCGGCTTTCGAAAGTGTTGCCGCTGATCTTCATGTCAGTCTCCAGCGGGCGACATATCTTACCTCCCTTCAGATTGCGATCCTCGGCGGCGCTCCACTACTATGGAGGCCATTGTCGAATCGCTACGGGCGACGTCCTATCTTCCTTATCTCTCTGATCTGCAGTCTTGTCGGCAATATCGGGTGTGCGAACAGTCACTCATATTCTACCATGGGCCTGTGTCGCGCCATTGTCGCTTTTTTCATCAGTCCCCCCCTTGCGATTGGCAGTGCAGTCGTCGCCGAAACCTTCTTCAAGAAAGATCGAGCACGGTACATGGGCGTATGGACTCTCATGGTCACAATTGGTGTACCTATCTCGCCTTTTATCTTTGGTTTCGTTGCACAAAGGGTGAACTATCGGTGGATATTCTACGTGTTGGCCATTGTAAGCTCTAAAGCTCACTCTATCCCTCTGTATCCGCTGACGTACCTTAAGACCAATGGGGTACAATTCGTTCTCTACCTCTTCCTCGGCCCCGAGACTCGATACATTCGTACCGGTGTCACGCATACTGGCGCAGTATACAAGCAAGAATATTTCACCTTCAAGCGCATCGACCCTACCCCTTTGACGTGGTACGATTTCGTCCAGCCACTCCGATTTATCCGTCGCCCCTGTGTAATCATTCCAGCAGCAGCGTACGCCATGATCTTCCTCTTTGGAAGTGTCATGCTTACTGTGGAAGTGCCGCAGCTTTTTGGACCCAAGTTCCACTTCAATGATCAGCAAATGGGATTGCAGTTCATTGCGATGGTCATAGGATCAGTTGTGGGAGAACAGATTGTGGGTTGGGTCTACTCGAGAGAGATCTGCACTAACAGCTCTGTAGGGCGGCTACACTTCCGACTGGTGGATGAATAGACGAAAGAACAAGCTTGGTCATCCTGCTCCAGCTGAGTTCCGTTTGTGGCTCAGCTATATTGGTCACTTATTGACCATTGTGGGCATCATTGTTTTCTTGGTTCAGATTGAACGATTACAGCCGCTTCATTACAATATTACACCGCTTGTTGGTGCTGGCATTGCCAGTGCTGGGAACCAAATCGTTACAACAATCATGGTGACCTATGCAGTCGATTGTTACCGAGAAGATGCTGCAAGCGTGGGAGTATTCATCACTTTTGTGCGCCAGATTTGGGGGTTTATTGGGCCTTTCTGGTTCCCACAGATGTTTACTGAAACTGGGCTTTATGCTTCAGCTGGAATTGCGACAGCATTGATGGTCGCGGTCAGTATTCTTCCGACAATCTTCATTCAATGGAGAGGTGGACGGTTGAGATAAACACAATAACCAGCCGAGTTAGGCTTGTCACACTGAGATCTCGAATTTGCAAGAGACTTTCCTGCCCTTCTGTGAGCTGCGAGACCCGGACATGCAGACTGAAGCCCGACTGGAACATGTCAGCAAACTCGTGCGGATTGAGCCAAGGCAAGTCAAACCTGCATAGTAAGAACGTGGAAGAAAGTGGAAAAATGATACCCAAATGCTGTACTCCTCAACAAGAGCAGAATTTTTGACGGTTGAAGAAAAGTACATCGTCGCCTCCACCAAGAGAAACTCATAAAATACTCCGGCGACGCATTTGGGGAAGTGGAGTGGGTGGCGAGAGAAAGCACGTTCCTTCTCCAATCAGCGCATGTGGGGTCGAAGTCAGAGAAAGCTGGCACCATTTGGAGCAAATGTGGAGCAGGAATCTGGCAAGCATTCAAAAGGCAATTTGTCTGCGAGGCAAAGCTCATCAACCATCGTGTTAAACAACCAGAAGCTCTGGCGAAATGAAGTTCCCCATTCGATATAGTGACCCCGAATATCAACAGAATCATCGCAACCTCTTTGCGCAAGCTCTCCTGTCCCCTCTTGCGGATGTCCTTCCACCAGGTGTGAACCAACAAGAGTTTGATCGTGCGTATGTCGAGTTTGAAGATGCGGTCGGGAAGGAAAATGCATTTCGAGGACAGTCATTGGAAGAGTATGTAGATCCATACGAGCTCTGGGAGGAAGAAGGGAAAAGGAAAATGCCGAGTGCGGCGGTGTGGTAAGTTTCGTATCAGCAAAGCGTGTGCACGTGTAGCTGAAGCTCTAGCCCTTCTTCGATGGACGAGCTACGGGCAATCCTAAAAGTTGCGAACAAGTTCAGCATTCCTCTTTGGACCTTTTCGCGCGGAAAGAACTTAGGGTGAGTGATGGCTGAACTAGTGATTCATTGAATCCAAGAACTAAGATTGCAGATACGGTGGACCAGCACCAAGGCTTAATGGATCGGTTGCGCTTGACCTTCATCGCATGAACAAGATCATCGAGGTCAATGACAAGTTTTCGTACGCGGTTGTGGAGCCAGGAGTCACTTTTACTGACCTATACCTCTACTGCGTCGAGCACAAGCTCCGAGTCTGGCCAAGTGTACCTTCATTGGGATGGGGAAGCGTGGTCGGAAATGTACGTGGCGCAGCTGCATATCCAGGCAGAAATACTGACTTATCAACGGACTGTGGACCGGGGTACCGGCTTCACACCAACAGCAACACATCACCAGCATATCAGTGGGATGGAGATTATGCTTGCGGACGGCGACCTTGTGCGCACGGGCCAGTTTGCGATTTCTAACTCACCGTCGGCACATCTATCGAAATTTAGCTTTGGCCCATCTATCGAAGGTTTGTTTCTGCAGAGCAATCTCGGTATCGTCACCAAGATGGGAATCTGGCTGCACCCACAGCCGCAAGCTTACATGTCTTGCACGTTTGACATGCCCAATCTTGAAGACGTGGAAATCATTGTCGACATCTTCGGACCATTACGGAGAGATGGCCTGTTGCCGAACACCGTATACGTCTCGAACATTGTTGAATGGTTAGGTGTGACCGGCAAACGTGCTGAGCTGTGGCCAGAAGAAGGTCCTATTCCTGAATGGCGGCTTCGGGAACTTCAGAAGGAACTTGGTTTCGGTTATTGGAATGTCAAATTTGGTTTGTATGGCGCGAAGGAGGTAGTCCAATCGCACTTCGATGAGTTGAAGAGAATCATCGCAAAAAGAGTGCCAGGCTCGGAGCACCGTCTTCAAGGTCACCTCTTCTCTGCAGATGATGATAAACTTCTGGAAGCAACCTCTGTCCCGGACCCTCATGGTGGCTTCTTTGTCGGAGTGCCCAGTCTGTGGAGCTTGCCAATGGTGAGATACAGACTGCCAAAAGAAAAAGCCGGCATCGGCGCACATGCGGATTATTCTCCCATCATTCCTTCTGATGGTATAAAAGTCCTCGAATGGGTGAAAACTGCTCGAAAGATCTGTGAAGACAAAGGGTTTGATCTCTTCTGCGACTTCTTCATGCACGAACGACATCTTATTTTCGTCAACATGATGGTGTTCGACAAGGCAAACCCAAGTCATCGCAAAGCCGTTGATACTATTTTCCGGGACCTGTACAGAGAAGGTCGGCAAAGGGGTTTCAGCAAGTACCGGTCTCACATCAATTATATGGGTATGACAAATTGCACCTATCTAAGACCGTTTCTCACAGAGCTATAGATCTGGTTGCAGACGCTTACGACTTCAATGATCACGCGTACCGGAGGTTGGTGGAGAGATTGAAGGTACGCTATGGAGCGGATCGCCTCATCTAGGACTCGCTAACTTTTTCTCGCAGGATTCTCTTGATCCAAATGGGATCCTATCTCCAGGCAAACAGGGTATATGGCCTTTGAAGTATCGTCACCTGAGGGAAAAGCTATAGTAGGGGAAGAATGTTCGCCTATTCGCTCAAGCTCATTCTCAGGTAATATCCATCAATTTCGCTCTTACTATAATAAACGATGAGATTGATATATTGATATTGTGAAGAAGTCGGGGGAAGACCAATAGGGATTAACACTCCTCTTTGGTTCGCACGTACAAGCATGATGCTCGAAGCTATAACCATAATATTGCCATCTGCGCTGCTTGTCGTCCATGAAACGTCGAGGGCATCATAGTTAAGAGTTTCCTTCGTACGGGGCTCGGTAAGTAGATTGGCATAAGCGAGACCTCAAAGCCTGACTTTGATTCGGCTTTTTGTCGCTCAGTCTGCCGTATTTCCCCTCAAGGCAAGAAACATAAAGAAAAGCACTCATGTGACTGCCTCGCAGCCACAGTTTGAGCCTAGGAGGCTCTCCAGCCCGCAGAACATGAGACATGGCTTGCTGGAGACAGTGATTACGCTCCGGCCTCGCTGCTGCTCCTCACGTTCTGTCAACGTTTGGTAGACACTTGACTTTCATATCACGTGGTCACTGAGAGGGATTCCCAACCTCATGCGTTTCCCTTGTATATAGGCTATTCTTCAGGCCCTAAGTCCTTCAGACCAATCAATCAACCTTTCACACTCTGAGAGGCTGTAGTTCATATAAGCGTTCTGTTCATATAGCCAGATTCTTGGCCGAAATACTCGGTCGACCAAACTTTATGGGCGTTGCAAGGAGGCGTCTGGTAGTGGCGAAGATGACAGTGCTTCTGGTGTCCATGTCTGGAATCTGACGGGGTCGTCACCCATAGACCCAAGCGCTACACACTAGTGGCCAATCTCCAATGTTCGATATCTGGAGCCGTGTGCCGCTGTTATGCGGGGGACTGCCAACCAGGATGCCATAGTCTTAAACATTACCGATCTAACTCTTTCAGATCCTGATCTGAACTTTCCGTTGTTTCTGCATTTGATACCCAGGCCTCCTAACAAGAGGTCTTACCAAATCAAGGGCAGAATGGGATGGAAGCTTCGTCAACAGGGCAGCTATGTCCCCGTCCGCAGACAAGTCTTTCGAAATCGACGTCCGAGTCTGGGACGCCACACGAACAGCAACGACTCAACAAGACTTCCATTACCTATCTATCCGAAAATTTCCCCATGGCTATTGTCCTAGATCGGTTCCAAAACAGCGGTGAATTCCGACTTCATCATCGGCTGTCCTCGCCAACCTTGCCGTCCACCAAACAGCTGAAACATCTCTCGGACGAGGATCTATCCTATATTGAATCAAAAGGTGTGTTCAAACGACCGCTGACACATATCACAGACACCTTTCTCTCCGTTCTTGTGGTTCTCCAGTAGACCATCCACTTGACCTACCGGCTGGGTGAGCCTGATACATCAGACAATTATTACTCATGGTAAAGCACGGCAGTGACCACGGCCGAGCTTCGAAGTATCCACAGGTCGACTGCGTCCGTGACAATGTCCGCGAAGGACAAGGCTCTATTGGAACGGTTGTGGTAGGTTCTGGTGACCAGAGATACCTTCGCTGCTGTCTGCTGGGGCATCACGAGCAGGATTGAACTCACGCAATGCGACACTGAAGTCGTGAACAAGTATGACTTTACATACGACTGCGAACGACAAGATGAAGCGATGCAAGAGCTGATGGCGAATACGGTGGAATACCAGATACATATGTGCCAATACTCGCTCCTTTTGGGAGAGATCATCCCGCATCGTGTGATACTGAGTCGAACCTCACCGGACGCCTTCCTGGAGCGAGTGAGGCTTGAACGAAAGCTGGAGCACTTACGATCATGGCTCAATCTTTTGTCTTCTGACAAAGACATCTCGCCTTGTTTCACCATTTGCAGGCTTGAATCTGCACTATCCCTATTCCATGAATACCTACGTATCTTGCTATACCTGCGCAAATCGACCATCCGGAATACGTCTAACCATACTACGGAGCCACAGATGTTATCTGTCGATGACTCACTTCGAGACCGTGGAAGCTATTCCCACTCTGTGCTTGTCAGCGCCTCTCATAGCACCACCACAATGGCCACCTCGCTGACCACTCAGGAACTTATCTTTAATCTACCACACGAATACTTGGTAGGGATCTTCTCCGCCGAGGTAGCTCTGATCGGTCAGCTCATACCCTCTGATCACGCAGCCTCCTCAATTGCCGCGAGAGATCAGATATGGGTGTCTGAGATGGTCATGCACACTGTCAAAATCTTTTTGGGAATCGTCCGTCTCGGCTTTAAAGATGTTCAAAGAGATCTCATCAATCGATGCAATCAATCAGAGATTAATTGGGTCCTTGTGGAAAAGCAACTGCGCTCGTGGGATCAGTTGTTTCAGAGAGGTAAGATAATCCGGCAATCATCGGCAAGATGTAGCATTTTCACAGAGATGTACGCTATTCTTCGAACTGATTGGTCCAAGAAAGTATTGTTGGCATGGCATAGAGATACTAGGAAGCGAAGAACTTCATGGGATTACGGTAGGTGCATAGTCAGAGTCTGTTTATAGCTCAAGTTCGATTTGCACCACTGGGTCCTCATTGACATCAACATAGGAACGGCTCCAAGTAGAAGAAAAACAAAAATCTGGGAGTTGCCCGGGTGGTTGTTGTTCGAGGGGTTTGTCACGTCAAAGAATGTATTGATGGCTCTGCTTGCACAAATGCCAACAGGACAGCTATCTGGTATTACATACCCGCCCGCGGACAACGAATAAGTGCACAGAAAGCTTCTTGACCTTCCGACGGACTTGTTAGCATTTCAAGCAGCAGCCCCGTCAAGATGGAGTCAGATAGGTAGCAAGGGGCAAAAGCGGATGTGGTATGACGGAAGCCTGGGCAAGGCTGAGGTCGTATAGGTGGTGGCGACGATACCATCGTGTTGATAGCAGTGTGGTAAAACCGGCAGTGGTAATATCTGACAATCCTACAGCTTACGATATACCTTACGGGCACAGGATGAGCCCAGTGTTGATCGCCCCGAACTGGAGACCTCCAATTTGGGGCCCCGGAAAACCGGTAGACGGTACCAACCACTTCTACAGTGAATCGTCAAGGATGCCTGAAGAGGACTCGATTCGGCTCATATACCTCAAACCAGTCTTATACTTGTATGTCTAACCTGGGGAAATTGCATGTTAGTCTTCCCTCACGATATCGACCTTGTCTGCCTCCCGGAGCCAGCTCAACCATGACTTACCATCCCTCGATTCTGTTGGCGGTGGTCGTGATCGGCTTTCTAGCAATCAAGTACTTCAACAAGACAGATATACCCAAGATCAAGGGTCTCCCCGAAATTCCTGGCATCCCAATCTTTGGTTCTCTATTGAAATTGGGTGATAGTCATGCCCGAGCTTGTGCTCAGTTAGTACCCAAGTATGGTCCAGTATTCCAAGTGCGGCTGGGAAATCGGGTAAGTCTACCCCTTCCGAAGAACTGATCTACACTCCCAGTTGATTGATCACGGCTAACTCAACAGCGTGTCATTTTTGCCAATTCATTCCAAGCAGTGAAAGACCTCTGGGTCGGCCATCATGCTGCCATGATATCCCGTCCCACCTTTTGGACCTTTCACAGGGCTGTTTCGAAAGACAGCACGTTCACTTTGGGAACTTCTCCATGGAATGACTCGGTCAAAACTGTACGAAAATTGGCCTCGACCGCCATTAATCGTAGGGCTGTACAAACATATCTCCCCCTGATTGACCTCGAATGTACCACCAGCCTCAAAGAAATACTCGACAACTCTGTGCATGGCGATATCAACCCCAATGGATATTTCCAGAGGTTTTCCCTCAATATCAGTCTACGCTTGAATTACGGCTTCCGCATCAAAGGCTCTGTTCAGGACAAATTACTCAATGAAGTTGTTGACGTCGAGCGAGAATTGGGTCTTCTCCGAGGCTCGGCACACTGTTGGCAGGACTATATACCAATCCTTCGCTTATGGCCCGGTTATCGAGCTCATGCACGGTCTTTATCCGGAAGACGAGACGAATATATCTTATCATTCCTGGATGAGCTGAAACGCAGGATGGAGAACGGTACAGATAATCCTTGTATTACAGGCAATGTATTGAAAGACCCAGAAGGTAAACTTACTGACGGTGAGTCCATCAATCGACATCTGAGACTCCATGCTGGTGCTCACAACCACTCTCACAGCACAAATTAAGACCTGTTGTCTCACTATGGTTGCCGCCGGCCTTGACACGCTACCATCCAACATCAATCTGATGATTGCATATCTTGGTTCCCCGCACGGTCAAGAAATTCAGGCTAGGGCTTACGAAGAGTTGAGCAAGACTTATCCCGAAGGTGACGGCTGGCATGCATGCAAAGAGGCCGAGACCTGTGAATACCTGGTGTCATTCATCAAAGAAATGCTTCGCTACTGGAGTACGTTGAACTTGGCTTTCACTCGCGAGACGGTCAGGCCTATTGAATACAAGGGGGCTGTGATACCCGCAGGCACTCCTATGTTCTTGGTGAGTTTTCTTTCCAACGACCGTCCATGGCAGAAGCTCATGTCAATCGATTCAGAACACGTATGCCGCCAATCATGACCCTACCCACTTCAAGGACCCGGAATCTTTCATCCCCGAGCGCTTCTTGGGCCAAGAAACGGTGGGCGGTGGCATACAACAGATGTCGTACGGAGCTGGCGCCAGGCAGTGTGAGGGAGCTCATTTGGCCAACCGGCAACTCTATATCATCTTTACGCGAATATTCCTAGGCTTCCGCATCTTGGAGACGACCGACATGTCTGCAAGACCGATCTTGGATCCCATCGAATGTAGCGTGGACAAAACTGGCCTGGTCTCGATCCCGAGACCTTTCAAGGTCAAGTTTGTGCCCCGGAGTCGACCACAGTTGGACAAATGGATTCATGAGTCGTTGATTGCCACGGAACAGTTTGATGTGTGAGATGGAACGAGAACGATGCACGCGCGGAGATCTATGCCAAGGACGAGGCAAAGAACATCTTATCCTTCTTGGTGGCTTCCGTCCATGAGGATCTGTGTTACGTATGCCTACCTAGGTATTTACAAGGAAACAATGAAATTCATTTGACGTGGGTTGGAAAAGAGTTTGAGTTTTTGGTCGGTTGGTCATGCTCGCCTCGTTTCACCAGAGGCGTCGCTGCGCATTGTAAAACTCGACCTAAAGGACGCGCTCGAGCTCGGCGTGATCTGCCACCGGGTTCGGAAAAGTTGCCCCTCCGCATTGCCTGGGGGCGAGACTTGGGCGTTGCGGGGGAGCTGCCGGCATCTCTCGTGAGATTCTATAAGTTGTTGTTCCCCTCGGCATGCCCTGTCTTCCCACCACCGCCCAGCGCCCATCACCCTCGCAACGCCTGAATGAAGAAATATCAGTGTTCCCGCTGCGCCAGGCAATTTAGTCGGCATGAGCATCTCAAACGACACGATCGATCTCGTAAGATCCTTGACTCTGTCGCTTGTACGCCCACGCTAAATTATGTCTGCAGACACGAAAGAAAAGCCCTATGCGTGCGCGAAATGTGACAGCGCATTTACAAGACAGTATTCGGCCCGGTGTCTTGTGGTCTGTAACGTGTGCTAACGGCTCCGAAAAGGGATCTCCTTACTCGCCACAACAGATTGGCACATGCTCCACCCGTGACAGATCAGCAGGAGTCGCAGCAAGCGCCTCATGCCACCGCTGCTGCTCCAGCCAGGCCAAACACGCCCGGAGGTAGAGAGCAACTACCTTTGACTGCACAACTCCCATACAATGCCGCTGTCGCTCCACCCACAGGAGACCGGCCTTTGTGTGCACCACCATTCCACAGCGTTGACTCTGCAATGGCTTCAAATGGTGACCTGCTTGACTTTGAGGTCTTCGACATTGCCACGAAGGATTCGACGGCAGTCCCAGACCTTGACCTGTCCGCCCAGCTAGGCGACCCTGAAGCCACGAACCAGATCTTCTCCCAAGATTTCGACCAGATCATGAGCATGCCTTACGATTTCATCTATCCGCTACCGCAGATAGACCTAGGCATGCCCGACGCGAGGAAATCTAATATCCAGCCGGGGCGTCAACTTGATGTCGGATCAGGACTTTCGAGGTTTGGATCTCGATTGCCTTCCCTCGAACCGATCAGTGGCAGGACGTCATCGGACTCGCATATTCAGCATAATCAGACAGAGCAGCCCATGTCGGGTACCGCGGATGACATGCCATCCCCGGACCTCAAATTGACCTTTGCGGCGCACCCGAAACTACAAGTTACAAACAAATGTCGGGAACGAATATTGTCAGAGATGGTGGCATTCGCAGCCGTGCTTCCTCCACAACTGGTTCTGCCCACAAAACACGCGCTTGGTCGATTTATGGCAGCATATACCATGGGCTATTACGACCACAACCCAGTCATCCACCTTCCAACACTCGATCTTGAGCAAGTTGCACTGGAGCTTTTTCTCGCATTAGCATCTATCGGAGCGCGCTATTGCCGCGAAGAACGTAAAAGCGACGAGCTCTTCCAGGCAGCAAAGGTAGTAATATTCGAGCGCCTGAAGTCCAACGACAGCAGCTACACCGAAACGCACGACGGAGGTCATCTGAGTCTTCCAACGGAGAGTCATGTCACCGTTGGTGACAGACGGCTTACGGATCAGGCTCGAATTCAAGTAACACAAGCTCTCATAACCCTTGTGGGAGCTTCAACGTGGTTCAGCACAAAGATTTCTGCTCGTGCTAGAGACACTGCCACCCTTCGAACTTTGCTGGGTGTGGTAATCAGCGAATTCAGCACTAAGCCGCTTGTTGGGCAACCTGGAACTGAATGGGAACATTGGATCAAGCAGGAAACGCTGAAACGGATACAATTACACTCCTTTTGCCTGTCGAATATTCAAACCATTGCCTACAATACCACTCCAACCCTGATCTGGTCGTCCGTCGACCTCCCACTTCCTTGCTCCGAGCGCCGATGGCGAGCGAGGGATGAGGCCGGCTGGAAACAGGCTGGAGATCACGGGGATGGTGTCGAACCTACTTTGAAGGAAATGCTTCATCGTTTGTTTCAAGACGGAGAGGACACCTCGTTCTGTTTCACGTCACTTGGCGGATACGTCCTCATTCATGCAATCCTTCAACACATCTGGCTTCTGTATCAGTCTGCTCGAATACGCCCAGGACCTCCCATACTGCAACCTTCGGACTGTAAAATGATCGGGGAAGCCCTTCGTCGATGGTGTATCGGGTGGGAACAAGATAAAGAGTCATCCATGGACCCTATTAGTCCAAATGGGCCACTGGCATTCACATCTACGGCTCTGCTACGGTTGGCCTACATTCAAATCAGTGTCAGCGCCAAGCTAACACCTGTGCTGAGTGTGTGGAACTCCACAGAGATCGCGCGACTCCTTAGTTACGCTCCACCTCTACAGCGGAATGATAGTGTTACCAGGGCTGTCCTTCACTGTGCACATGCGCTCAGCATACCCGCCAAGCTCGGCATTGAATTTGTTGCTCATAACATGTCCTTTTTCTGGTCAAACCAGCATGCGCTTTGTGCTTTGGAATCTGCTATGCTGTTATCGAGATGGCTGGAAGCTGTGACAGTCATGAACCCACAACCACCACTGACAAATGGCGAGGTTCAACTCCTCCAGTTTGTGAAGGAGGTTGTTGCCGAGACTGAACATGGTTGCGCCGTTGACAGTGTCAGTGGGACCAACGTGCGGCTCAATTCGGTTGTGGTGCGAGTGTGGTCAAAAATCTTTCGTGCCGGTAGCGTGTGGGAATTTGTGGATCTGGTAGGAGACTCTTTAGAAGAATACGCTGACCTGCTTGAGGGTCAGTAGAAAACCGGCTGTGGCGATTTGGGAGGAGCGTAAGGAGAAAAACCAAGGACAATTTTCTGGTCCAATGTCCTGCCGCCGAAATTGTGACCGATCCGTTTCTCTCGATTGGGGTCACTCCAAATCCAGACCTGAACAAGTTCCAGTGCACACCAATCAGCAATGAAGGGTCTTAACCAAACCCAAGAGCCAAGATAATAAGATCTCGAAGTTCTGGATACATGCCGCGTCTTCCAACTGCGCCAGGAGTCCTTATCCGATCAGTCTACAAGTATCCCGCCCGGTGCTCAGGTTGCGGCTGCCAGTGAGAAAGAGTCATACAGTCACACAATGAAGATCAAGGTTGCGGAAGCTACGGCGCTCGTCAAAACGGCGCTACAAAAGATGGGATACAAGCCCCACGATGCTGCAATCATCACACGACATCTCATAGACAGCGAGCTTCGAGGCTTTGGAGCTGCTGGCATCGCTCGGGTGCTGAGCATCCGCGAGCGATTGAAAGAAAAGGGTTTGAAAGATGAAATCACGATAACTCGTGATAGTCCTGCGACTGCGCAGCTGGATGGACAAGACACTTTGGGGTATCTGGTGGCTCAACAGGCAACAGAAATTGCAATACGCAAAGCCAAACAAACTGGAGTGGCTGTTGTGGGTGCCAACGATACGTGGTACACGGGCATGCTCGCATACTACGCTGAACAGGCCGCCGAGCAGGATTTGGTCACCATCATTGCCTCCAATGCAAGCCCTTGGGTGGCACCATCTGATGGCTACAAGCCTATGTTCGGCACCAATCCTTTCAGCGTGGGGTTTCCCTCTGGCAGTGGCACCCCAGTCATCTACGATGTAGGCACATCCAAAATCCTCCATGCCGACATACTTCTTGCGCAGCGTCTTGGAGAGCCGCTGCCGCCAGAGTCAGCGTATGATGCGACTGGTCAAGTGACTACCGACCCTGCGGAGGCATTGCAAGGCGCCATTGCCGTATGGGGTGGTCACCGCGGCTCCGGCCTGGCCATCACAGTGCAACTGCTAGGTGTTTTGGCTGGGTCGCCCGCTCTACCTGGGAATCTGGAGCAGTTTGGTTTCTTGATTATCGCCGTCGATCCGGCCATGTTCAGGCCCATCGATGAGTTCAAGGCAGAAATCGATGCTTATTCCGCCAAGTTGCGACAGAGTCCTTCATTGCCTGGCAAAGGGCCATTGAGAATGCCTTATGAACGGTCATCAGCGGTGCGGGCAAAGACAATCGAAGCCGGTGAGTTCGAGGTTTCGGATGAGGTCTTAGCGATGTTGCGGCGAACGATCAACTACGAGCAGCAAGACCAGGGAGTCGGGCATCGGCTCTGAGGCGAGAAAAAGATACCTGCTCACCAACAGTGTGAGAGCCAGAAGCCACAGGTGTGACATTGGTGGAGATTGCTGGTCAGATCTTGGCCCCTCGTGTTCGCAGGTGGAAGCACGTGATGGAAGCCTCAAGACTGAGCATTGAAACTCCTCCTCCACTTTTGATGTACTGTGGCCCCCTGGGCAGTGGGGCACTGGATGCAGGTACGAGGCTGACCCAAAGTCAAAGGTTATGTCTCCAACTTGGAGACAGGAAAAGCGTCCAGTATAGACCATTGGTCGAGAACCGCCTTCGACGGTCACCAATCAAATGTACGGGAAGAGAGGCCTCATTGGCCAGAATACATCTTCGTTACCTGCTTCAACATGTTGAAAAAGTCCGCCGTAATGAAGGAGCTCGTCTTCAATGAGCAAGGATCAAGTTCTGGTATCTTTGTGTAGGCATTCGAAAGCAGAATTCCCAGCTGCCAAAACCACGACGCTTGTTAGAGATACTGGCTCCTGCTATCAAACTTTTCCATCAGATCCAACGTCTTCTCGTAAATGGTAAACACAATTCCGCCAGAGAGCGTCAGCCTACCAAGTCGCGGCAGAGCCCCGGCCCAGAACACCAATACGCCTTCTTTTCGAGCGATGCTGATTGTGCAATCGACACTGTTCTTGTACTCTGTGCGTGCCTCGAGACTTTGCATTCTAGTCTTGATCGTGTCGAGAGGCATTGTGACATAGACAGTGACCACTCCGGCAATCCCGCCTATTCCGAACGTCGTGATTGAAGACGGCTTTTGTCCAGGATAGCGGCCCTCGACCAATTGCCGTAGGGTGCCATAGGTTCCGAATCTTGTGGCGCTATTTGCAGCTTGTCTCGCGGTCGTCGGCACCAGACCCTGAAAGAACCCGGCGAGACCTTTCTCTCTGGCAATCACTATGCTCCCATGGATCAAGCCTTTCATGCGAGGTTGAGCTCGTTTTCGATCATCTATCAACTGCGTCTTGATACTTTCAAATGGCGTCACAGCAAGGAGAGACTCCGTGAAGCCGGCACCGAAGCCAGCCAAGATTGCTCCAGGTCCCGAGATCCGACCATTTCTGTCCGAAAGGAGACTTTTGTAGGCGTCGTACACAACAAAACGGATGCCAGCTTTGAGGGAGTTCCCGACCATCAAGGTGGTGCAGCCGGCATACCATTCGCGAGATGGGAAGGGCGGCCAGCCGAGTTTCTGCGCACTTGGCAGGCTACGATTGAGTTGCACCCGTGTTTTCGCAAATTCAAAGGGATAGGTGACGGCCGCCTCGACCGCACCCGCCAGCGAGCCAGCAAAAATCAAGCGCAAAGGGCTGTGCTAGATGAACTGTCAATGATACTGACCTGAACGTTGGGAAGACTACCACGTACTTTGCGATCTGGCGTGAAAGAAACCGGCTCCACGCCCGCAGTTGCCATGCCGCTTTGGTTGTCCTGCTATTCAAAGAGCAGGCGTAATTGACAACACAGTCACGACCGCAAGAGCTCCATGAGCTGGTTACTCCAGGGTACAGATCTGCCACAACGAAGCGTGCTGATCTCACAAGACGGTGAAAAATGCAGGTTGGACATACTGAGCTAAATCGACAGGAGAGCGACTATGATCAATACAACGAACCACGCATAACCGTCAGTGCGTAGCTACGCCATGATTCTCGGATCCAGGTCCTTTGTTGTCACTCAGCCAGGATCCACTTTTCGAACAGTACCGCAGACAAAGGCCGAGTCCGAATTCAAAAAACCACCCCCACAGACCACTCAAGGTTGCCGGGCGGTAAGGTGCGGGCGCAAGGAATCGTGAGCAAAGTGCGGGATGCAGAACTCCAGGATGCGGGCGAGATTTGCCGACCGAGGAGAGACACGGAGGCTGACATGGGACTTCCTGAGGGCATTTGCAATTTTGATAACCGATCAGCCGGTGGGAGGGTGGTTTCCGCAAACCCTCCAAATTGGCCGCTAAGGGGACACTTAGTCCTCCTGTGACCGCTCACTTGCACAGGTCAAGGATCCACCTTCTCAAAAACTATCTATATGCAGATAGATTATGGAAAGATCAGAGTCGACAATCTCCTGTATCCCCGAGACGATATGGCTTTCCAAACTGTTTTGCTGGCTGCTGCCGTCGTGGCATATCTGGTGGTCAAGTACCTTAATCAAACAGACATACCCAAGATCAAGAACCTACCAGAAATACCTGGAGTGCCCCTTTTTGGCAACCTATTGCAGCTAGGGAACAGCCATGCTCGAAGTTGCCAGAAGTTGGCCGCAAAGTACGGGCCGGTCTTCCAGACCAGATTAGGAAACAGAGTGAGTTCATCTCCAAGCTTTCCATCCTCCAACTGACATGTCGAGTGACAGCGCTTCATCTATGTCAACACCTTTGAGGCCGTCAAGGACCTATGGGTAGGCCATCACCAGGCTCTCATTTCTCGTCCGACGACATGGACGTTTCATTCCGTCGTCTCCACGTCACAAGGCCCTACGTTGGCGACGTCGCCATGGAACGAGAGCACAAAGCGCGTTCGCAAGGCAGCTTCCACCGCGATCAACCGGAAGTCCGTACAGACTTACCTTCCGTCTATTGATTTGGAGTGCACCATTGGAATTAAAGAAATCCTCGATGCCTCGAAATCTGGCGACGTTGATCCGATTGGCTATTTCCAACGGTTCTCTCTCAATATGAGTTTAAGAGTCAACTATGGATTTAGGCTTAAGGGCGCCGTAAATGACGAGAAAATCAGGGAAGTTGTCGACGTCGAGAGAGAGCTGGGCACACTACGGGGCGTGGCGCATTGCTGGCAAGACTATATCCCCATTATGCGCCTATGGCCCAGTTATCGCAAGCACGCTAGTTCACTGCGCCAGAGACGGGACGACTACCTTCTCGAATTTTACGAAGAATTGGTTCGTCGTATCGCAGAGGGCACCGACGTCCCTTCCATCACCGGCAGTGTGATCAAGGACCCCGAAGCAAAGCTGAGCGAAAGTAAGTAGTGCGGGATACGTCTCCTCCAGATAATACTGATACCGCCGCCAGACGAGCTCAAGACTGTCAGCCTGACCATGGTCGCCGCTGGCCTCGACACTCTGCCTTCAAATATCAACATGACGATTGCGTACCTCTCATGTCCTCATGGCCAGGAGATCCAGAAGAGAGCATACGAGGAGTTGATGAGAACCTATCCTGACGGTGACGGCTGGCACGCTTGTCTCGAAAACGAAACTTGTGAGTATTTGATCGCTCTGGTGAAGGAGACCCTCCGGTTCTGGAGCACAATCAATCTCTCAATTACCCGACAAAGTGTCAAAGATATCGAGTATAAAGGGGTCACCTTCCCAGCAGGGACACCGTTCGTGATGAACAACTATGCAGCAAATCATGACTGGTCACAATTCAAAGATCCAGATACCTACAATCCTGAGCGCTACCTAGGTGTGCCCAACGTTGGGATCCAGCAGATGAGCTACGGGGCCGGCGCTCGCATGTGCGAAGGTGCCCACCTTGCGAACCGAGAGTTGTATGTCATCTTTGCACGTTTGATCTTGGGGTTCCACATCCGAGAAACCAGCGATATCCAGAGCCGCCCTAACCTGGATCCTATCGACTGCAACTCTCTCATGACGGGAATGGTCACTCAACCGAAACCATTCAAGGTGAAGTTCGTTCCACGAGACGAATATCAACTGCAGAAATGGATCACAGAGTCAAAAGACCGAACTGTAGCATTTGATATCTGAATGCTCAGGAGGTTTCCTTTTTTCGCTTGGTCAGAACATAGTGAAGAAAGTATGTGTTCATTGAGGGCTGATGGTGAGGAGTGGTCCACATTGTTTCACTAAGGAGGAGACAGTTGAGATTGTTTGATTTTGCAACCACGCTGTGGCAGGATCTGATTTGTATCACTGTCGATAGACCACTCACTTCTTGGCACTTTGGCAGCTGCGTCACATTTCATCACGAGTTCACTCCTCTGATCACAATCAAGTCTACGAATATCATAGCGTACAATCAGTTGAACAAAGGCCGACTCGGTTGTTCCGTTAATAACAGATATCAGTGATACCGTCACTTGATTGTACATGACTTGCTCGCTGTCGAAACGAAGATTTTCGTGCCGTCCGATCTGAATAGGACTCAAGTGCATTCGGGCAGACTTGGGACTAGTGTCCCACGTCCAAGCTTCTGCGATACCGCCGTTTCCACTTTCCAATATTATGGTCGACATAGTTATCGCGCTTTGTTAATGGAGTGGCAATTCCGTCTTCGAAAGACAACATGTATCCATCGGCGAATGTTACCACGCGAAAGATGGCATTGACCGCCGTACAAACTCGTCCAGTCCCAATCCATTATATCACACACACATGTGGCTCTTTTTTAGCCATTGCGTTGTCGTGAATCCGATGGCGGACCAGGTCTACGGGGGAAGTGTACCGGAAGAAATGGGGCATTCAGAGAGTTACGGTCTTTGGCCACATCGGCAGTCTCCATGTCAAGCATGCCCAGAGACACATGCTTAACCCATGACGGAGTCAGGTGCGCTGGGTGAGAATGTACAAGATTTATCGTGAAGGCAGAACGGCCTCGGGTCGAGGTATCTGAATGCTCTGAACTTCCTGGCGAAGGAAGGGGGACTGATAAGAAGGTGCTTGCTGGCCTTTGTGGCGGCGGGAGCTGGCAACTGAGCTACCAACCAGGCAGGCAACCATTAGGTAGTTGGCACCATCCAGTTTGCAGTAGATAGCTAGAGAATCAACAAGTTACCAGAGTCCACGTGTAGACCTATTCTACTTCCTCATAGTCTTTGCCAGGTAACAAAGAGCTCCAAATACTCAACCAACGTGACAAAAGCAAGGATGGGTAGGGAAGTGTCTGGCAGCCAGCCAAGGTTTCAGGCGCCTCACACTGGAGGAGGAAAAGATGATGGAACGGAATTTTCTTTGATGTATAAAGTTTGGCCTTTTGCTAACTAGAGCTTGATCGAGAAAGGATCGCGAGCTTCATTGCCGAGGTCCATCATGACATTTTTCAAGCGCGTATATTCGAGTAATGCTTCCACTCCTCGCTCTTTGCCATAGCCACTATGGCCATATCCTCCAAATGGCGCAGTTGCAGAGCTCTGGCGATAGGTGTTGACCCAGATCTGGCCAGCATGTAGCTTACTCGCCATGTCGTGTGCGCGTCTCAAGCTCGTCGTCCATACCGCAGCGGCAAGGCCAAATTGAGTCGAGTTTGCAATCTTGATTGCCTCTTCGTCCGAGTCGAACGGAATAATGGCCAAAACAGGCCCAAAGACTTCTGTGTTCGCTAGGGAACTACTCGGATCGACGTTTTTGAAGATAGTCGGGGCCACGAAAAGACCACCAAGCTTTTCACTCTCTTCCTTACCGCCCGCGACGAGTTCTGCTCCGTCCTGTTGTGCCTTCTCAATATGTCGCAGAATGGCCTCGCGCTGACCTTTATGGACGACGGGACCTATGTCGGTGTTTAGGTCTTCGGGATCACCGAAGCGGGACGATTTGACGGTGTCGAGAATACCTTGGACGACCTTGTCGTATACACTCCTCTGAACTAGCAGTCGGGAGCCCGCGATACAGGATTGACCCGAAGCAGCAAAAATGCCTGCCACACTTCCAGGTATGGCACGATATAACTCAGCGTCATCGAGAATAACGTTTGCTGACTTCCCCCCTAGCTCGAGCACTACTGGCCTTATGTTCTCGGCGCCTTGCTGAGCAATAAGTCGGCCTACCCCTACACTGCCCGTGAAGCTGATCAGATTAATTGCGGGATGTGTGACCAGTGCTTTTCCAACGTCGGCTTTCCCTGATACGACATTGAATACCCCAGGCGGGAACCCTGCCCGTTCAATAATTTTGGCAAAGTATAGGGTGCTGGCGGTGGTAAACTCGCTCGGCTTGACGACGCAGGTGTTGCCACTAGCCAGACATGGCGGTAGCTTGTTGGTTAGCACGGAGATTGGGCTATTCCATGGAGTGATGAGAGCACATGGCCCATACGCTTCGCGGAGCGTGTAATCGAACAAGGATGGGTTATCCATGGGCTTGACCTCGCCGTTCAGTTTGTCGGCCATACCTGCGAAGAACCTATAATTTCTGGCAGAGAACAGCATCTGGCTTTTGGTTTCGCGTCTCATCTTGCCATTATCTGACGTTTCGATCTTGGATAGAGTATCAGCTTCCTCCTCGATCAAATCCGCAAGTATGTGCATCAGTCGAGCGCGTTGTAGGCCCGGCAATGCAGCCCAAGCGGGGAATGCAGCTTCTGCGGCGCGAACTGCATCGTCCACGTCCTGGACAGATGCTTGAGCGATCTGAGCCCATGGTCTCTGTGTATAGGGATTTATTGTCTCTTCATAACCATTGCCGCCTTCGCGTTCTTGGCCGTTGATGTAGAGGTTGAATTTGGGAAGTGCCATGGTGTCAGTAAAGATCTTGAGCATTCGTGGAGCGGAAATGGTGTACATGGTAGTGAAATCATTGCAACCGCTCTCATCTCGGACTCGCCCTTCGTTTGAGCATTTTCGAAGCGTGACGCGCAAAAGAGACTTTCGTCATGCACCCGAGGCTACCTGGGTACTACTTGTGGGCAGAACTCGTGATAGGGCAGTAAAGACCCAGAATCACGAAATTGTTGGGTCTTATCGTCCCGCCCGCACGCCAACACGCCCGCACGCCAACACGCCCACACGCCCTCACGCCCTCACGGTCCAGGAGGAAAAGCTTACTCACAAGCTTTGAAGCCTCGTATGATAAGGCCATGACCCCAATTTGGAGTCGTCAGGGATCCCCCCAGGGACTCAGGACCCTCGCCAGCCCCCTCAGTCGGGGTGACTCCGTAGCACCAGCGATGCGCCTCGAAACGATCGTGAATTGCCTCACGGAGGAACAGGTTGTGCATACGCCTGCTCTTGGATGACCCGCTTGCGAGGAGGTAAGCGTCGGAGATGACAACCAATATCCTCCTGGTAACGGAAGAAGGTCACCAATTTCGAATCTCGAACGTAAATTGAAAAGGAAATCGTTCTGAAAAATCTCTGCTAGGGTACAGCACAACCTGTGGCTTCTCTATCGAACTTTGGAAGGCGTACAGAATGCGTGCTCAAGTCCTCGAAGCCTACAACGAGCCGTACCGGCTACATGAAGTACCCCGGCATAACTCTCCTCAAGGTCAAGATCTTTTGATCAAAGTACAAGCTGCCTCATATTGCCATACGGATGCTGTGCTTGCAGCTGGACTCCGGCCCACAAATCTTCCACGAGTAGGCTCCCATGAAATTGCCGGTGTCATAGAGGAGATAGGGCCTCAGGTCGACCCGAGTCGTGGCTTCAAGATCAATACTCGCGTCGGCGTACCTGCTCGGACCTACCATTCTTGTGGCACTTGTTCCGAATGCCAACACCCTGAAGCCGACTCACCCGGCTACAGTATATTTTGTGAAAAGTCACAAGGTGTGGGTCTCGATGTCGATGGCGGTTTTCAGGATTATTGTCTCGTGGATTCGCGACAGTGTGTGGTCATTCCTGATAGTCTGAGCGCAGTCGACACTGCACCGTTGATGTGTGCCGGTCTGACGATTTGGAATGCCCTCCTGAGAGCAGGCGTACCCTTGAAGGAGAACGGTGGTGCGAATCGAAAAATCGCCATCCTTGGGGCCGGAGGCGGACTGGGTCACTTGGGGGTACAGTTTGCGGCCAAATTGGGTTGCAAGGTTGTGGCAGTGGATGCTTCTGACAAGCCCCTCCAGCTCTTGAGGAATGTCGTGGACCGACTTGGACCCGATGGGAAACAGGTCATGGTCGTCGACGCTCGAAGTCAGAAAGTCGAGGAGATCCGCACGAAAGTCAATGAAGGGTCTGGGAGCAGTGTGAACCAAGGTGTCGACGCAAGCATTGTTCTGCCAGAGAACCAATTAGCCTTCAACTACGCCATGAAGTTACTCGGCAATCATGGAACCTGTGTCGTAGTGAGTTTTCCCGAAGATGGCTTCAAGGTCGATGCGAAGGACCTGGTGTATCGGGACATAAGGTTGATGGGATCGTTATGTGGGCGCATACAACAGTTGCAGGAGATGATCGACTTCACCGTCAAGCACGGAATCAAATCTGAAACCCGTGTGTATTCCCTGGAGAACGTAAACGATCTTGTCGCCGATTACCACGCTGGTGTGGGCGGCAAACTTGTGGTGGACTTGACACTATCAGCACCAACAACGACATGAAAAGATTTTTGATCATATGATAGAATGGTCAATGTTGCCACTTGACTGGTCAGGAATACATCTTTGTCGATCATGTCAATAGTCTCCTTGGGCTCTTGGTCGAACATTTAGACAATTCTTGTAGTAGAATCTCTTCGTGAGTGATGAGGAAGCGCTTGTCTTGGGGCTATATGTGTTCCAGGTTCAAGTCAACCGGCCAGGTGACAGTTGACTCTCCCAATAAACGTGATATCGTCTCGGGCGTGAGTTGTCCAGGCTTAACGTCACAAGCGGCGGTTCGACAGGGGCAGAGCCAGGAAATTGTGTCTCAATACATCCAAGGCGCAAGGGATTCGAGTCCGAGTCTCAGGGCAGAGCTCATGTGGAAGTTCTGGACTCCCTGTCCTTGCTCTGAACAATCTCCACCGCCCGCACTTTCCACCCCCAAGCCCCAGTTCTCCAGACCAAGCGAACGACATGGGAAACACTAGCACCCCACACACATTCCCCGAATTCTACCTCGTAGTGAATACCCCTTTTCAGTTCCAAGAGGCTGGGCTGGGCGACCGGATGTTTAAATAGCGCAGGATCCGGACACAGTTCGATTCTTCATTCACAAGTCGACCTCTTTAGCACAGAATGGCCCCTTCCCAGAAAGCAGATACTACTGAGATCAGTACCGCCGACCCCTCTCTGTACAGAAACGACACAAATGCCTCCATAGCGATCCCCAAGGATGTCTTCGAGAAACTCTACCTGACCCCCCAGCTGCCTGCCAAGGGCCAGTTGAGGGCGACCTTTGGCAATCCAACTCCGCTGTGAGTATGCTGTTGCCTATGGGAGAAGAGATGCGTGGGCTGACTCCGTTCTTCAGAGGTCTCGTGGGTTTCATCATGACAAGTAGTCCTTTTGCTTGCATCTTGATGGGCTGGCGGGGTGCTTCAGACATCGCAGCATTGATGTACGTGATTGCACGCAGTCGCTTCCCCCTGATCATCGTCTCGAGGCACCATCGAAAGTCTCTTCTCTGACAAGCTGCGCAATAGAGGTGTCCTCTACTTTTTCGGAGGAACAATCCAGATCATTGCGTGCATCCTGGAGTTCTTCCTGGCCAACACCTTTCCCTGTGTTGTTTTTGGAACATTTGGTGAGTTTTCACACGAGCCGACAGCCGACAAGCCTCCGCAAAATCATCTTCTAAAAAACAGACATTTCTAATGTGAGAAAACAGGAGCGTTTTGGCTCTCCCTGGGCATAACTGAGCAATATGTAATTCCCCAAGCTGCCGACCCAACAAACTTCTATGCGAGCTTCGGTATGTCTACGGCTTTGAGATTATTATGGAAAGGCAAGCTGCTGACGCGTTGAATCCTTAGCCTATGTTCTCGCATTCTTCGGTGTCCTCATGCTGATGTTCCTTGTGTGTGCCTTGCGCACCAACGTCATCTTCGTCACTTTGTTTGCCCTGATCATCATCATAGCAGAACTTCTCGCCGCGGCATACTGGAGCCTGGCAGACGGTGCGGTTTCGCGCGCGGAAAATCTTCTCAAGGTAAGCCACCGATACTGCATGCAGAGGTGTCCCAGTTAACGCTTTGCAAAAAAGGGAGCCGGTGCCGTTACATTTATTCTATCGGCCTTTGCGTTCTACTTGCTTTTCACCATCCTTCTGGAGGCTGTAGATTTTCCTTTGACACTCCCAGTGGGTGACCTCAGCACCAGGTTCAAGGGCAAGCGGGGGAGAAAAGCGGAAAAGGAACGCCGAGATCTGGGTGTGTAGGAAGAATGACAAGGAAGTCTCGTTTTCGCAAGGCAGTCTCCGTGGTCACTGTGTATAACATAGACGGTTGGACGATCGAAAGGAAAGGCCGGACCTGAGTGGCTTGATGGTGGCGTCGAGTGCTTCAATGTTATTTGCCGGAGCGCGGCAGGGAGGATACTTCGCAAGACGCCTTGACGGAGATGCAAGAGGCGGGCCCAGTAGAGGCTGTGAACTTTTGAGATTTAGGATCTAATCTCGTCTTCGCAGTCGCCCAAGCACTTTCTATCTAATGGCTGGTGTCACAAGGTACAATGATCTCCTAATGAGTTTCTGGTCATTGTTGATTGTCTTGCTCTACCACTATATACTGGATGGTAACCGAGTACCTGGTGGTTGCCTACCTGGTTATCATGGCAGCCTAATGGCCAGATCCTGTGTCATCTATGTTTGCAGTGGAACAGTGTCAGCGAATAAACCCTTTGCGGCAGCCTCGGGATACCGATGACCGTGAACTTGGGTGGCCTCAACCATCTTCCTTATTTGCTGGTTCTCCTTCTCGGTAAGAGTGACTTTGAGAGAACCCATGTTCTCGTCAAAGTTCTCGATTCGCGTAGTACCTGGAATGGGGATAATCTGGTCTCCCTGTGCCATCAACCATGCAAGGACAAGTTGACCGGGGGTGCAGTGCTTGCGCTCAGCCACGGCCTTGAGATCCTCGACCAATTTGAGGTTCTTGGAAAAGTTTTCCTTACTGAATCTTGGAGCGTTGATCCGGAAATCGCCTGGTTCAAAATCGTCGGGGCTCTTGATAGCACCGGTCAGGAAGCCTCTCCCAAGTGGCGAATAAGCGATGACTGCCGTCCCAAGCTCCTGGCATGTTTTTAAGAGTCCAACCTGTGGATCCTCAATGTCCAGCGTGAAAGGGCTATATTCGATTTGGACCGCATCAATGTGAACGATCTGAGATGTAGAGGTTAGCTGGCACAAACAAGGAAAGGGGTCTCGAGCATTCTCCGTACCTTGCACGCTCTGCGCAGGGTTTCAGAGCTGCATTCACTCAGCCCAAGATATTTGACCTTGCCTTGACTTTTCAATTCTTTCATTGCTGTAACTGTCGTCTCGATTGGCTGATTCTGGTCGATCCGATGAGCGTAGTACAGATCCACGTACGGCAAACCAAGCCTCTTGAGCGATTTCTCGATTGCTTCTTTGATATATTCCGGTTCATTGCGCGTGTGTCGAATACCGGTTGCAGGATCAATCCACAAAGAGAATTTAGTCGCGAGAAAGATGTCTTTCCGCTTCTCTGGGTTCTTTTTAAACCAAATGCCGAGTAGATCCTCGTTATCTTTGTAGATATCGGCACTATCCCAGAAAAGCTCCCCTGAAGCGTAAACATGGTCGAGTAGAGCCAGTCGTTCCTCATCAGGCTTCGGAGTGCCGTAGTACGCTGAAAGGCCCATAGCGCCGAAGCCTAGTGCTGTCACTTGAGGCCCATTCTTCCCCAGTTGACGTGTTGGTAGCTTCTGAGCCATCCTGATTCTATGAAGTGCCGCAAATGATGTGTAAAGCGCAAGATCTAGACGTCGAAGGGTTTGAAAAATTCTGGACCTTTGCAATAGAAATATACAGAGTGCTTTTGCTGTGAAAGTCGATCAGAGAAGTCAAAATCCAGAGAGCTGTTTGTAAACGTCTCCAATTTGGGGCACCAGTAAAAACGGTTTGGCGTATTTTCTCCTTATTATATTCGTCGCTATTGCCGTCATCCCGAAAATCCGCCAACGACACATCGTGTATGCTGGAAACCGGCATGGCTATAATGATGCATGTTGAATGGACTCCCGCTCACCGAACTTCGCTACCATTTGGAGGCTGTAAATCTGGAACCAAGAGCACGTCCGGCGTCAGTTCTGATCTGAAAATCACCTTTAAGCAATCCTACTCGGAGGCTGAATACTTTTCGACTCCAGATACCAAAAATGCGTATCATCCAGTTGTTGCAGGCTCACCCTCCTTTAAGATTTCTTCGTAAACTGCTGTTGCTTGCGAATGTGGCAAAATCAGCACCAAGTAGGCACAGCACGCTAGGCACGTAAAAGACGCGATGGTATTTTGGGATGTCCGCTAACGCTCCTGGTGCAACGAGGATATCGTTGGAAGGAGAGGCGACACTCTGACAGATTGAAGCACAGAATCGCCGAACTATAGAGGCCAGGAAGAGCCAAGAGAGGAAACCACGTCGTGTGCGATCTGTTAGTAACGTGATCACCTGGATCACCTCGATTACCTGACTTGGTACCGGTTCCAGGATGCCAAGCCGTCTGATTGAATCGCATCAATATTAATATTAGGCTGACGCACCCCAGCTTCCCGCGCTGCGCTTATTCCTGAAGTTCTCCAAACCACCGCATACTACACGCGACTTGCGGCTCATCTCGACGTGTAAGCAACGATTGCGGGAGCTGCAACCTGTACTTCACTACTTCAGCATCTCACACCCTGCGCAAGCCACAGGGAATGACACAATGGCAAAGCATCAGTGCCACCGCTGCGAAAGGAGTTTTGGCCGTCTGGATCATCTGAATCGCCACGAGAGATCCCGTAAGTCCCATCCACAATCGGTACTCCCTTTGGAGATATCCTGACACGCCTCAGATACCAAAGAGAAACCTTACCTTTGCTCATTCTGTCCAAAAGCGTTCACTCGTCGGTACGATTCTATTGGCATCCCCAGCGCCTCACCTGACTTTGTGATAAAGAGATCTGCTCACTCGCCACCTTCGGCTATGCCATCAACCAATCCAACCTGGTCAACCAAGACTACACAGTCCACAACTGTCACCGTCACTGTCCAATCATCCTCCTGTAGACTCTCTCCCAGTGGTACAGGGACCGTCAACACAGTCACAATATTCTGCAATCCCATCCTCCATGGACAATGAAAGCTTTCCTGAAGGGGATATGCAGTATCCCATCAATGACTTGGCTACGTCTCTCCAGTTACCAGGGGAGGATGACACCGTCAGCGGTTCGCGAGACTTGACCCAGAGCGCTCCGACCGATCTCTTCGACAATTACGACTGGTCGGCTATCTTCCAAGATGAAAATTTTGGTGAAATCATGGTCGACGTTGTATTTCCTGACCCTGCTTACTCCCTGAGCTACGACACGACACTGCTCGACCACACTCGACACAATCCCACCTCAGCATCGATGTCTGCACAGAATCGCAGGGCAAATTGCCCGACTTCACAGCCACTGCGCGCCGAACCTGGTGATCTCTCTCGATTCGGCTCACGATTACCGTCACTAGACCCCGAAGACCGTCAGCAGCAGCGACCGGAAGCAGGTGGTCAGGGAGTAGAAGGGCATTCGAGTCCTTGGCAACAGTCAAGACTACCACATTGCCTACGAGAGGTTACCTCCACATGTCGCCAGAGAATGCTACAAGAGCTTGCGAATTTTACCAATGTCGTTCCTGCTCAGTTTGAACTTCCGTCAAGACACACGCTCACCCGCTTTGTAGCCATGTATATTGCTGGCTTCAATGATCACAATCCCGTGTTACACCTACCGACATTGGCATTGGACTCGATTGCTGTTGAGCTCTTTTTATCCATTGCTTCGATCGGAGCTCGATACGCTCACGAACGAGAAGCCAGTCTTGATCTTTTCGAAGTTGCTCGAGCCGTTGCCTTTGAACGCGTAAAGAGAACGACCGACTGCTCTGCTGCGAATGTGCCTAGGCAGGTGAATGGAGCTGAAGGAATACCACTAAGTGATCCACCAGCGGGTTCGGTAAGCCGTGATTGCTGGGATGACCAAATGCGTGTTGAGGTTATACAGGCCTTGGTACTCATGATTGGATCCCTGTGGTTCGGACGAACTCCTGGAGCTCGATCAGGTGAAGCTGCCTCTTTCAGGAGTTTGCTTGAGGTCATGATTCGCGATCTTGCCGAAAGTGCCACTACATGTCAAACCGACGTGAGCTGGGAGCAGTGGGTGAGGCAAGAAACGATCAAACGCATCGTGCTGGTCACATTTACCTTGATGAATTTGCAGACAATCATATTGGACTGCGCTCCCTCGTTGTGGTGGACAGAGGTTTTACTCGATCTACCGTGCTCGGAAGAAATGTGGAACGCCAAAACCCCCGCACTCTGGAACCTGGCTCGGGCGCGCGATACAACGGCAACTTCGGTTCAGACAACGATGGAGAACCTCTTCTACACGGATCCACGAACATATCGACCTTTCTTTTCGTCCCTCGGCGGCTATTTTCTTATCCATGCAATCTTACAGAGTATCTGGATTCTACAGCAGTCCAGGCGTCTCCGAGCAGAGTCTGCAAATGCTCAAGCGCAAGATATCAAGCACATCCAGCAAGCATTACGACAGTGGCGTCGAGGTTGGGAGAGAAATCAAGAATCGTCTATGAACCCAATCAGTCCGTCCGGGCCTCTTACTTTTACATCTACAGCACTTCTGAGGCTCGCGTACGTCAGGATCACTACCGAAACGCGATTTATTCCGTCTCTGAATACTTGGAACCCTGATAGAGTCGTCAAAGCGTTCCTTCAGACCCCTCCGGTCGAGCGAAGCGAGCAAGCAACTCGAGCAGCCTTACATTGTGCGCACGCCTTGAGCATTCCAGTCAAGATTGGTCTGAATTTTGTCGCCCGCACGCAAAGTTTCTATTGGGCGTCTCAACACGCGCTGTGCTCGCTAGAATGTGCGCTCTTCCTCTCCAAGTGGCTGACCACTATCACGGCTACAAGCCCAACAGAGCTGACGAAAGAGGAGACACTGGTTCTTGACTTTGTCATTCAAATTGTGGCCGAAACTCCCAATCGCTCGTCCCGTGAAACTCTCCTGAGAACGAATATCCGATTGAGTAAAACAGTGGTTAGCACGTGGGCCACCCTGTATCCTGGTGGCAATGTTTGGGAAATGGTAGATCTCGTTGGCAAATCGATGAAGGCATGCGCTGACGCAACATGCGCAAATTGAACACCGACCAACCCTGGCACAAGTCTCGGTATCTTATCGGTAAGATTCTTGAAGACCGGTGCTCGTCTGTGACTGGCATCCCCTCTCTGCCTCGATTGCTTTTGCCGGGGGCGTCTTCCATTTCAGCACGCTTTGCTCGAGTGGCATACAAGACCGGTGATTTCCCATGCAGACAAACGGCTCTATGGAAGATGATTTCTTCCATCTCTCCCAGCCTCATGGCCATCTTCATGCGCGGTGTTCCGCTGTCGCCAGACTCATGCCTACCTCTCTGATTGCACTTAAGTACTCGACCAGGAAATCCTCTTCTCAAACATGAGCATTTGGATCCCTCTACCTCACACGTATTGCACGTGATTTGAGTCTCCAATTTGGAGGCTTGGAGCCACGACCGTAAGAGGCCGCCCTCTCTATCCCTGGGCTTTGCGCAGACCCAAACAGCGCGCAGTGGACCAGACTTGTTGAGACTCGGAGAGTGGTCGCACCTCATAACACCACGGACAAACCCAGCCAGTCTTGTCTCGGACGACTTCTTGCTGCTGACACCCCTTGAAAAGCTCGGTGCTTCAACACTACCAGCCGCATACACGCTTCCTTCAAGCAAAATATGTGCAGTATTTCTCGATAAAGTATTAGATTCGACACACTCACAAATCTCGCATCCTTTCTTCTCAGTTCTTGAGATTTTACAGTCATCAAAATGTCACCCACATTTACGTTATCAGAGGTTGATGCACATTCATCGAACAAAGACCTTTACTTGATCGTCCATGGCAAGGTGCACAACGTCACGGACTTTATCGATCAGCATCCGTAAGAAATAAGGATTTGTCGTTTCACAACACATGTTACTGATTATCGGTTAGTGGTGGCCGAGAAAAGCTTTTGGAGACCGGCGGAAGTGATGTTACGGAGCTTTTTGAGAATGCCGCACACAGTGAAGACGCTCGAAGTCTTTTGAGCGAAATGTATATTGGCGACCTCCTCCCAGAGGTATGCACTGTCAATCATGGAAACCATTCTGTGGTACTGACAATGCGCCAGGAAAACTCAAAACCAGCCAGGAAATCTGTCGAGAGGAGACTTCCCACCAACGCGGATGGCATTCCGTCAGTCTGGTTGTACACGATTTGCGTCGTTGTTCTCCTCATCGCGCTGGCCGTCTATCAAAAGTCTGAACTTTTACCCTAGCCGATTGTCAATTACCTTGGGGTGTACACTACACATGCGAATCTCATGAAGGACATGTACTGTAACAAGAGTCATTTCCAAGCTGCGCATGTCAGCAAGGTGCAGTGCATACCCAGTGCGGCCTCATCAATACTCGCACAAGCAATGATTCGACCCGTACAAATGGTCCTAGCACCTACATCGTTCAAGGAAAGTCAGTCACCCGTACGCAGGGCAGCAGGGTAGCAGGGCCGCACGGCCGCACGGCAGCTCGAGTCTTGACACCGGATCAAAGACCTGTGACTTCGATTTAGGTAGTAGCAATTGAAGAGCTGGACCACGGCACGAGTCTACATCACGGCTGGGTTGTGGGCTCTGCAGAAGTGCTCGACTCTGCTGACCCATACTATGGTCCCAGTCATGGGCAAGGTGCTTGTAGGCTGTACACCAAGCAGGCGCTTTGGGAGCGCTCTCGTAGGCTATTGCGAAGAAGCAGTGGTGAATATAGGGTACCAATGAGCAAGAAAAGGAGCGGATGAGGGTCCGACCCGAGCGAGTTCCAGCTAAATCCAAACTCGTCGTGAAACATGATTTGACGAGGCTGTAACCGGCATCTTGCTCTCTAACTCTGTTTTTGGCTCTATTTCTGCAGTTTAGCTTGTGCAATGTGATCCAGGCTTTTGATGATCTGCATCATTTCGTCGTTTTTCAGATCGGGGTGCATGCTACATATCCTGATGACAAGTTTCCCCGACAATCGCGTGGTCAATGCTGCAGCCACGTTGTTCTCGATCGCAATCCTTGATATTTCCTTGTTGAGGTTTTCCAGGGCGAATTCGTCGAGCCCGGGGGGTTGATATCGGAAACAAATGATGCCCATTTGTGCCGGTGACAGGACTTGCCAGTGTTCAAGCCTCTCCAGAGTGGCTTGCGCCGTTTCTGCCAGTTCGAACGCATGTTCAATACCCCTTTGTACAGCATCCAGTCCCAACATCTGAAAGGAGAACCATAGCTTCATGGCCCTTGCGGGACGCGTCAATTCTTGGGTGTAATTCCAAAAGTTGGGATACTCTTCAGGTCCATCTGGGGCGTCTTGTGTATACTCGGCACCAGTCCGGAATGAGTCCATGAGAAGTTTCCGGTCGCGAACCAGTACCATTCCGCAGCCGTATGTCTGGAAGAGCCATTTATGGGCATCCCAAGAGATACTGTCACAGAGCCCCACATGTTTGATCAAAGACTTCCGGCTCTTGGACAGTGCTGCGGATGCACCATACGCTCCATCCACATGGAGCCATAGATCTTCCTTTTGTGCAATCGCAGCCAGCTCATCCAAAGGGTCAACGCTCCCCGTATTCGTTGTACCACAACTCCCCACGACTAGGAAAGGTTTCTTCCCAGATCGACGATCGTGCTCGATCCGCAGACGCAACATGGCCGTGTTCATCCGGAAATGTTGATCACATTCGATTTTGGCGACCTGCCGGTCGTGGAACCCGAGAATGCGGAGACCTTTGACAATGGAAGAATGGGTTTGATCAGAAGTGTAAATGACTGCTCGTGTCCTTTCCTCGAAATCCAGCTTTTGATCACGGGCCACCATGAGCGCCGACAGATTTGCCATCGACCCGCCCGAAACGAAACAGCCTCCCGCAGTCGGGGGGAAACCGAGCAAGTCACAAGCCATCCAGGAGATTAGAGATTGCTCGATTGCGCTTGGCCCAGAGCTTTGAAGCCAGCTGCCAGCATGTGTGTTGAACGCTGTATTGAGCACCTCCCCCAGCCAAGACCAGTCGGACGCGGGAGACGGTATGAAACCAAAGAATCTCGGATGGTCCATGCGGATCCGGTGGTCAAACACTTCTCGCGCATTCTCGAGGACGGTGTCGATCGGTATAGGGTGATGCTGGGGCCTCGCAAGACGAGCGAACTTCTGCGCGACTTCGGGCTGGGTTATTTTCACGATCGGCTGGTCGGATATACCTCGACGGTTATCCACAGACAATTTCATGACCTTCAGGGCTGAGCCAATCAGCTGGTCCGAAGACAAGTCCAAAGCGTCCTGTGCCCTGGTATTCATCTTACAGCCAAATAATGGGCTCACACAGAAGACACTCGTGGTTGAAGATTGCTTGGGACAGTAAATATGTTTGCTGTGTAAGACGCCGTTGACTCGCCGACACCGCCTGCTTCCAACGAACCTCCTCGATCCTCCAATTCGTTAAGATCATTGAGGTTACCCACAATGCCCGCACGCTACTCTGTGGAAATACCGGAGGTCTAAAATCCGCAGGGAGTGCCTGTTCGCCACCACCCCAGCAGGTTGGCTGTTGCAGCCACGGAGCGCCCGCTTGCTAGCCGTTATACTGTTTCACGCCTCAGGGAAGTTGGGGTTCGAGAGGAAGGGATTGAGGTCGAAGAGGAGGCGGGGAGAGGAGAGGTGGCACCCAGAGAGGGCTTGGCAAGGAGGGGGATTTAACTTTGGACTATTTGCTTATGAGTATACTCATTGGACATTCACTGGCATACCTCCGAAGGCATTAGATTATGTTGGTCTTCTTCTTGTCGCAAACTAACGGAAGAAACCATGGCCCAAGCTACCAGAGAGCATTTGCTCTTCATGCTCTGGAAGCCAGAAGAGAAGGAATTAATCTCTCAGATCAAGTCGAGATTTCCACATATCGACATTACATACCACCAGACTGCGGACAATAAAACGCGCGCTGAGTCCAAGGGTTCTGTGAAGGATCCCATACTAGAAGGTAAGAGTCCTGCAGAACGACAGAAATAGCCGGAAGGCTGACCATGACCAGAACTGTATCGACAAGCAACAATTTTGGTAACTCTGCATGATATCCCCGCCAGCACCGACGAGGCGCCCAAGTATGTGACATCCCTACACTCTGATTTCCAGCGCATGCTGGATGTCCAGCCTCCGCAAACGCAGCACTAATTTGAGAATTCAGCCTACGATGGATCCATTTCTTCACCGCGGGAATCGATCGGTTCTTGAGTCATCCGTGTGTGACTGACCCCAAGATCACCATCACAACGAGCAACGGCATCCACGGTCCACCGGTAGCTGAATGGGTTCTACTGAACAGCCTGGCTTTCAGTAGATTCCATGACCTTACTCGGAATTGGCAGAAAGAACATACGTGGGGACAACTCGACCAACACTGGTCTGGCTGCGACTGGTACGGGACGCGTGTGGGAATTGCGGGCTACGGCAGCATCGGACGCCAAAGTAAGCTTGTTTTCTTGATTCATTCATTCATTCATTCATCGTGGTTCCGGCAACGTATGGTTGACCACTGCACTTACACAGTCGCGCATGTCTTCGACGCCCTTGGGGCAGACATTATCGCATACACCGCAACACCTCGGCCAACAGTAGCTGAGCGAGCAGACCGAGGCTATATTTTGCCAGGCAGCGGAGACCCGGAGGGCAAAATACCCAAAGCGTGGTATTCTGGCACCTCACGTGAAGAATTGCATGACTTTTTAAAATCCGGCTTAGATATGCTGGTGATCAGCTTACCACTCACGCCTGCGACAAGGCATATGTTTGGAAAGGCTGAGTTCGAAGCTTTGGCTGAAAAAGGGCCCAGGCCAGTATCAACCTCTATTGGCGACAAGCTGCGTGGTCCTAAGGAAACGGGATGCTTTTTGCTGAATATCGCACGTGGTCCGATCATAGACCAGGATGCGCTCATAGACGCTTTGAATTCGGGCAGCCTACGGGGCGCGGCATTGGACGTCACGGACCCAGAACCACTTCCGAAAGAGCATCCGTTATGGGAGGCGAAGAACATCATCATCACGTCACACCTCAGCACTCTTGGGGTAGAATACTTCCATCGTGCGTTAGACGTCTTTCTTACGAATCTGGAGCGACAAGGTTACGGGCAAGAGATGTTCAACATAATGAAGAAGGACTAGGGTAACTAAGTCTTATAAGATAGGATTCTCAGAGGAATATATCTATGCACTACTATAAGTCGCGCCCTTGTTCAAACGGCTACTCAGGTGAAGTAACTATATCCTCCTAGCATTCCGGCCTCGCCCATCCATGATGTAGTCATCCATCCCCTTCCAAAGCATGACCTCCAACCGTAATAAGCCCAGCTTCATCTGCTCGAAGCTACGGCTCTGAAAGCGCAGCATACGTCGCCAGTTCTGCAGGATCTGCTTGGCGGCGAGCAGGTGCGTATCGTCGGGTGCCTTTACGAGCAGGATCATGGCTAGATTCGACATGGTGGCGAAGCCGATGCGAGACCCTACAGTGGCGAGGGAGAGGGGTAAGCTTGTTGTCAACAGAATAAATGGGAAAATAGGAATTCTGAGAGCAGAAGAGAAACCGAGAGGAGAAGAGCAAGAGAGATAGAGAGTAGACGAGAAAAACAGACAAAGAGAGCAGACATACAGGAATACCAGAATCCAGCCGAGAACTTCTGCGAATCAAGTCCAGCTGTGAAATATGTCACGATCTTCGCGCACTTCTCAGCAGCCACAATGACGGCCTCAGCCGCGGCGCGATTATCCTCAATCACATCCGGCAGCGAATTCGGCGAGTCGTCCGTCATACTGTGGTCGCCATCGCCATCGTTCCCATCGCGATGATGACCTCCGTTGGCGGCGACGGCAAGGTTGACGTTGGCACCCAGTCTCGGTCCTCGCCGCAGGTTCATAGGCCGCAGTAGCGCGCGGTACAGCAGCACCTCGAGCGTCAGATAGGCAAAGTGCAGGGCCGAGTTGGATTCCAGCTCAGCGAAGCCCGTCTCGTCGAGCATCGAGCTCTTACGGATCTGGAGAGAGGCTGGCAGAGCTGCGTACCATGCTTTCAGGCGCAGGCGGATCGGCTGAGCCTTCGCGAGCGATGCGTCAAAGTCGTATGAGAGCTGGCGTGCCGCGCGGAGCGTACTGTCAATGGTCAGCTTTGTGCAGGTCTAGTCAAGGAATCTCCTCTGGGGCTCCGGAGGCCATAACGTACTAGAATGAAGAGTATACTTCCTCGCTGATGATGGACAGCTGTGCAAGATGGCAAAACCGCTCCCCAGATTCCACCACCCAGCTGTTGCCTCTATTGCTTCGGTCACCATTATTAGCCCTGTAGCGGTCATCATCGACAAGGTCGATGACAAAATCCTTCTCCGTCAACTCGGCGACGTCCCATTGATCGCCATGAATCAAACTCGGATACCCGCCCAGCAAGCACCTCCACTTCTCCTCGACATAAACCATCCACCACAGCCGTCTCCGGAGCCTCTTCTCCCACGCTGGGATGTTCCAAGCCTGACAATCCAGGTGCAACGCGAGACTGGTCGACAGGGCCATCAACATACTCATCAGAGACCAGTGGAACGGCGTGTCGCAGGCCAAGCTGCTCTGGCCTGTTCGCGGCTTCTGGAGATACAGCAGCATGGCTTGGACGAGCGAGAGATGCGGCGTGTGGATCTCGCGGAACATCTCCTCGTAGACGATGCGCCAGATCTTGGTCGCCGACGGTTGGTGGTATACTTTCGACACGCACAGGTAATCGTCGTGCGGGCAGTAGACGAGTGACGAGGCATAGATGGCGGCGAGGAGGTGGGTGGGCATTGTTTCCAGTGTCGATGGGGACACGGTCGGGTTGGTGGGTGTGATGCCCAGCTGCGAGCGCGAAATGGCTGGGAATGACGGGAACACGTATTTCAGGAATCTGGACAGATGTTAGCATTGCACATGGGCAGTTTCTCTGGCTTGGGCTACTTACAAGTCCATCAGCCGGCAGCCGTCCTCAATCGAGACCAGGTCGTAGAGTTCCTTTCTGATCGTCTCAGACGATACGTTTGGACGAATGGTCGTTTCTTCCTTGATGTCTCCCTCGAGATCGTCTGGAGAGACCTTGAAATAGACGGGCACTCCGTTGGGAGGTGGCGATGACAGCCACTTTGCCGACGAGCTGTCGTCCGCCACTTTACGGTACGACAGTTTGAACTGTGTGAATTCCCCACGTTCGTCGTAGCGATAATGCTGCAGCAGATATGGGTCTGACTCGCCGGACAGGCCAAAGAACTGTGCATTGGTGCCTTTCTTGTCGTCGATGGAATTCACAGCCAATCTAGAATTGTAGCTCATCTGACTGTCGAGGGGATTTTCCGACGCCTTCAACCCCGGTTTTGGAACATCGACACTCTCCCTGCGCCCATAAATTCCATACGACTCAGATGCCGCCACACCCTGGGATGCCGCGGCAGTGAGTGGTTGCTCTGCCGCATATCCCTCATCGGGCGGGCTGACCGGTTCGACCAGGGCAGGCAGATCCGCAAACACATCACCGCCCAGCCAGTAGTCAAACGGCATATAGGGCTCGAAGTCGAGCTCTGCCAGAGATGGCAGCAGAGGCGTCTCATTCAACCGTGCCGCCTCGTCCCGCCACACAGCGTCGTGCGCCTGTGACTGAGCGGTGCTCCTCCGCTCCAATGGGGTCGGGAAATGCAACGAACCTGCCCGGCCCATCCTGACCTGCCCCTCACGGTCAATTCCTCCTTGATCACGAGCTGCCTGGACCTGAGCCCGAGCCCGAGCCAGGTCATGGCCTGGAAAAGAAGGAAGCCCCGCACTTTGAGGCGAGGTGTCGTCGTGCTGGCCGCCCGGTGAATCGTCGTCGCCTTCCAGCTGGACCCGGTTCGAGGACCGCCGCTTGGACGGCTGCTGCTCGAAGGTACAGTTGAGGCCCAGCTTCGCACAGAGGCCGCATGGCGGCGCGGTGTTGAGGCGGCAGCAAGCCTTGCGGGAGCGACATAGGTCGCACGGCCGGGCTCGTTTGGATCGGTATGGCCGCGAGCGAGAGGACGATAATGGTGTAATGGCCGCAGAAGTCATGAGATGAGAGAAGACGGTAGTGATGACTGATGGCTCCCTCTAGTCACGATGTCGAGTAAAGATAGTATAGCTATGTTGGGATTTCAAAACTGTCGTCTGAGGTCTATGCGAAATGGCACCCCGCGATAAGATCCCAGACTTCTGGGAGACGATAAGAGAGCGTGTCTTCCTCCCTAGCCAGAAGAGGACTGCGGATAAAATGCATTGTCGACCAAAAAGGCCACTCATATCACAGGAAATGGGGGGAATTCGGCCCACTATTATCTCAAGCCTACTAACACGGAACCATCGGGATTCGGCTCCCGTCTCGTTACCGCTGGAGACTCAAAGATTGGTTCAAGAAACATTGCTAATTCAATACACACCGACAGAGTCAGACAGAAGAAGATCATTTACAACAAACAAAGTCTCTATGCCGCCGCCGTGATGGCCAGCCCCCCCTCAGCCTGGAGCTGCTTCGCGGCAGCCTCTTCCCTTTCCAAGGCGAGCGCGGTGCCACGACTATGGCGATGCTGGATCCAGTCCTTGACAGTCTCGACCCGCTTACCAGTGACGCACGAGATAGGTGGCGTCTTCTTGACACCGCCCTGGATGCCCTCGACCATGGCGAGCTTAGTGTCCTCATTAGCGTGACAGAAGTAGACGCACGAGAAGCGCTCCTTGCCCTGGTCCTCGGCGCGAGGTGAGCGCGCAACCCGATGTAGTGTACTCTTCATTAGTCCGCCTGAGAGGAAGGTCATTGTCTCGCCGATATTGACTAGTACGGCACCGGGGATGATAGGTGCATCTAGCCATTGCTCGCCTTCTAGTACCTCGCCGGTCAGGTTCGGCGGGCGTACCTGTAGGCCCATGACCTTATGTTGAAATAGAACCGTCACCACGGTGTGGTCAGTGTGGGCCGGCAGTCGGACTGGCGTGGCAGCGTCGTCGCCAGTCAGGCCCGGGTAGTGGAGTAGTCTCAGGGTGGTGAACGAGGGGGAGTCGAAGTCGTGCAGCTTGGGGAAGTAGTCGGCGGGAAGCTGAAGCAGCATAATTAGTATGAAGATTGACATAGGAGACGTGTCACTTACTCCCAGGGACACAGAGAGGCATGCCAGTACTTTGAGGGCAACCTTTTCGTGAGCAGTTCTCATGAAGCCCTGGATCTCGTTGTTGACTTTCTTGAGAGTGGGTGGCAGAGGTTGGTCGTAGGAGTTAGTCTTGCGGAATGCCTGAGAAATTGTCAGCACTGGCGGAGTCTGCAGACCGTGACTTCCAGGTGACAAGACTCACAAATGACTCCTTGGGATCGTCCTTCTTGGTCACTTCGTTCTGGCCGTACTCTTCGTAATTTCTGACAACTTGTCAGAAGACCCATTGCTACCTAGGTATTCACTTTTCACCTCTGATACACACCTCTTCTCTTGCTTTCGAGCTCGCCTGTCATCGTAGCCGGCATTCTCAATGCTGCCCCAGGGTGTGCTCGCCTTCTCCTCGGGACTGGTCTTGTTGAAGAAGACATCGGCCTGACGAGCATTAGTGGTGAGTACACCTCCCGTGAGAACATCCATACAATTTCAAACATACGATCAATCTGCTCCTGCTGAATACCGGTGTTCTTGATGTACAGGAACCCCCATGTTGCAGCAATCTCCTTGATCTCGTTAGCCACTCCCTCGAAATCGGTCTCGAGTCGGGCAAAGTCGATCAGAGGAATCGTGGTGGGATCGATGAGCACCATTTTGGCTGGAGATGCGGTCTGGGGAATTCCTGGCCCAAAAAAAGGGGCAAGGTTTATTCTCGACAAGTAAGCTTTTCGTTACTCTTGTCAATCAATGTTGACAACATTACAGTACCACCTTCTTCCGCTCGACCCCAGACTTAAGTACCTCTTCGCTACACCAGAATATCTGCTCAATCCAGACAGTACTGTCTGATCCTGCCCTCAATTCTCGATTCCTTGTTATCTCCGGAGGCCTTGTCTGTCCGGCTCAGTGTTATCGCCCGCGCACGGAAGTTCGGCACCGCATACGAGGCTAGCAAGACCGTCAGAATGGCACTAGATAAGAGCAAGCATACAAGCAAGAAAGATAACC